ATTTGAAGAAATGATTAAAAAGCAATCAGAATTTTTTCGCATATCTTCGATCATTTGATGAAAAGGGTATACAAATTTTCATTTATTATGAATGACGAAATACCTTTAATATACGTCCATTTGATTCCAACAATAAATGCATTAATATCGATTTAGTATGTTGATAACGAGGCACGAACTAGAACTATTGTATTATCCAGCAGTAATAAAAAAATTAATATTTGAAAGATAACGAAGGCAATAAAACAAAAACATTCTCTCCACTTTCAACTGAACGGTATTGTAAAAGGGAAATCTGGTGAATATGTTTTTAGATAGCATGGGGGCATTTGTTTAATAGTGAATTTCAAGGAATGCTAAAATATGACACATTCTCTTTCCTTCTTTCATTTTCGTTGCAAATCCAATGAACATACAAATATGCGACAATATGCAATTGTTGTAGATGTAATAAAATACGGCGCAACAAGTCAGCCGTGTATTTTGTTTGATATGATCAGAAAATTCTCGTCGTAGCAATTTGATGAAATTGTCCCATGAAATGAATCAGCTTTGTTTGTGAAAATAAAATGAATTATTAAAGAGAAGATTTATTTAAGTTTATAAGTTGAACAAAAATGTTTCTTAATTCGACATTTAGCGAACGACGTTTCGAAATCGCTATAGCAACACAAATCGTTCACGTCTTTCATAACAATGCAACGAGAACAAAATATTTTCGAACTAGGGGCTTTCATGTAAGATTTTCTTTTCCGAATTCGACGGATAAACAACAGTATATCAAATAATGCAAATCTTTACCGATTTCACTATTTTGTGCCAAAAATCCACCGATATCGGCCGATAATCAGAACCGCTCCTAGTTCTGGAAGTGGACCCTCAGGATGAGCCAGGGCATTGTCAAACCAGGATCTGGTCCATCCAGAGGATCCACCAAAATCCACTTCCAGAACTGGGAGCGGTTCTGATGATCCTGAGGATCCACCAAAGCCTACTTCCAGAACAATTAATTATCAAAAAATACCCGAATATAAACTATATTTTACAGATATGCCGATATTCCGCCGATATTTCATCGATATGCCAATACGGTAATGCAAATTTCATCCAATAAAAATACATGAAAACCCCTAGTTTTCGAAGTAAATAGAAGACGAAGAAGAAAGAGTAAAAAAAATGGATAAAACAATGACAAAGAGACGATTTGAAGCTGTCACTCATTTTCATAAATAGATCAAATGAATAACCTTGACGACCAAAGAAAGTCGCACCTTTTTTCCGTATGTTATTGGTTCAAGTGTGAAAAAAACTCTTCAAATTCCAGACAATTTATTTTAAGGCAATCAATCGAATCATATTATGAGTAAATTCGATTTATATTTGTAATCAAAATTGAATTACATGCTTATTAAGCCATCGGAAATGCACGAATGTGTCATCAAAAACGTTTACCGATCAAATGAAAAAAAAAATCATTGGGCGAGTACGGGATTATTAGTAATTCATTAAGTAAGATAATATTTATCATGCGAAAGATAGCTTCATTTCCAACATTTTGTCTTTTTTCTTCTTTAAACCAAAGTTTAAGACACTTTTTACATTCGCTTAGCGTCGCTGAAACTCGGTGATTTAATTTTGAATAAATACTGTTGAACAAAATAGCAAAACCAATATTTATTGTACACGGAAAAAATTCCATGCAAACACATCATATTCTTGACTAAACATCGGATAGATAAGATTTAACACTGATAAAAACAACGCGTTTACTATTCGCTTTCATTGCGCATTCATACACACAATTGATAAGACTCCAATAAGTCTGTCTCTGTGTGTGTGTTATTTGTCACCGTTTCAATAGTTATATTGTGCACACACAGCAGTTATTTTATTCGAATATTCGTTTAGCGGCAAGGAACGCTGTGTGCGACGCATATCTCCGATATTTCTCTTAGCAAACACACCGCACACTTGTATGATTCATTTTTTTTTTATTTCATTGTATTGAATAAGTGCAATTGATAGAATAAGTGTGCCACACATCAACCTATCCGCTTCAGTTTGTTTCTATTCGTCAGCTGGATAAGATCGACATTTTTTGGTGTGCAACAATTTCACAGGTCGTTAATTAAGCTCAATTTTTCTACGTTTTAAAAACAACATTGCAACATCATTCTACACATCTTAATGGCTAGAAGTGAGACAAGAAAACAACTGAACAAAATGTTGAGCAATCGTTCTTTTGTGTTCGCTGTAGTTTTTGTGGCGCTTTGCATTGGATTTTCGAGTGCCGGTAAAAAAAGTTTTGTTGATTTTCAAGAAGCAATTAATAATTATCATAATTTGAATGAATATAAAAACGTTGATAAGAACATACATTTTCGGGTGAATGATGAGGGCAATGGGGTTTCATGAGTGAAATAACGAGAGAAAAAAAAACACCTTGGATAAACTGTAAAAGCTACGTTTGTCATTGAACATTATTTTGATGAAGAAAATAACGCGTAAATACCCAGCAATTTCAAGATATTTCATGTTTTCTGATTTGAATTACGTAATTCTCTTACAGCGTCGCACGTTTTCTTTGGTCTCTGTGCACATATATTTAAAAGAAAAAAAAACACAATTCATTTTATGATGATTCATATTTACTGTTTGATTTAGCATCATAATCTTATCACATTGAACTACATTGTTAACGGCGATTTCTTTGATGTTCATCAAATTATTTATTATGATTGATTTTGTAAGGAGAAACCGTCTTAGCACCCAATCACCTTGGAGCATATACATTTTTAACTCGTTCCAATTTTCCAAAACAACGAAAATCGATGAAAATAACATTATGTCCAATGGTCAAGATACTTATATTTCAACAAATGTTTCTATCATTCTAAAATGAAATCACGCGACAACGTAATTGGATAGTACGACATTCACAGTTTAAAATATTGCAAATCGCAGCAATCAAACGGAAAAATGCATTGACGGAAAGAAAAAAAATCCCATCCGCTTAATATTTACTGATTAATTTATAAATTTGCACATTGGTCATAATTTTGTTTGTACAAGCGGTTGAGATTTTCGGTATTATTTTTTATATTGAATATCCACAGTGCACAATGCAAGAAAAGTCTCTTTGCGTAACTTATTGTGAATAAAATAATATATAATTAATGATATTGTAAATAATTTAAAATCCAAATTTGGAATAAAAATGCGTGTCTTTCAAAAGAAATCTGTCACCGTATACACAAATCCAAATTCTTAAAGATTTTTCACGCTCGTAAACCTGCGATTCCGTTTTTATTTCAGCAAAAATACTATATTGTTCTATTAATAAGTACAAAACACTTCTTTGGAAGTTCACATTGTGACGCAATGCGCTAAATATATTCTGATCTAAATTTTTAGTGACGCGTTCGTTCATTTACATACAAAATCTGAATAGGGCCTGTGATATAGTCACTTTTGACTTTTACTAATGAGAAAATCACATTTTCAGAAACATCTGTCGGAGAATGTGTGATCTGCGACTCGACTAAAGATGCAAACTGCGCCGTAGATCCATCAAAAATTGCACCACAGAAGTGCTCCACTCAAGAGAATACCTGTTACACTCGTATTCATGGTAAGTATTTACTTCATTCACTACTTGCTTGTGGTGATTGGCAAACTGAAACATTTTCTGTCGACTAGCTGAGCCTCAGCTGCCATTTGTATTGAAGGTGAAAGAGAAATGTTGAAATCACATCAGCCGAAGTTGGCCAAAGTTATTTCAGTCTGCGTACGCATACATTTTAATTATACTAAATATCTTTTCTTGTTTAATTCGAACCCAAGATGGAGTCACATATCGTGGATGTTTGAAAGAGCTCGATGAAGGAATTCAAAAAAATTGTTCGAGTGACGGCATGGGTCAATATTGTTTTATCTGCGAAAATGTGAATACAAATAAAGGATGCAATAATTTTGTAAGTATTGACTAAAATAAACGCCTCTTAGATCGAATGCCGGAGCATTTCCAAGGAGAAAAGTATTTTCGAGAAATTTATCGGCATTTCCTTAGGAATGGTAGAATTCAATTGCAATTATCGTATTTTTCATACAATAGGTTTTCCCATCTCATCGATTGACGTGCCATTCATGTTCAGGCGGTTTGAATTCAGCTTGCTTCAACGTCCCAAGTGATCCTCCATTGCCTTGTAAAATTTACAATGTTGAAGACAGCTGCTACACCTATAAAACTGGTAGGATTAAGAACGTTTAGAGTTTTCATAATTTATGATTGACACTTAAATGTCTCAATTTATTTTAATTCAAAGCAAAAACAATCGAACGAGGTTGCTTGTCCGACACATCGAAATGTAGCAATGTCAGGTAGATATTTTTTAAATTCGAATTTATGAAAACTTATTTACTTAATTCAAATTCGATTTGCAGCCATTGTAGCATCTGTACTGGAGAAGGATGTAACAATGAGAAAGGCAGTAGCGACAAGATTCCAACCGCACCATCATCAGCCGCCCATCTCGCAGCCACATTCAGTGTAGCTATTGTTATGTTCGTTAGTCTTTCGTTGATCTCTTAGAAATTTCTTCTAAGTAGTTGAAATGAATTCCAACTGTAAATTTTATCATAGATTTTGTCAGAATTGTTCAATTAATGTTTGAACTAATAATGTTTAAAATGATTTACCAAATAAATCGTAATCGAATTTAAAAAAAAAAAATATTTTGAATTGGTCATAAAAAATCGATTTAATTTTATTTCTTTGCAAATATTTATGAATAGATTATCACCGATTATTTTATTGTCACCAATTTAGATGACGTCAATGTATCATAAATTGAAGTTTTCTACACAATTTTCGATGAACCACAGTTAATTAAAGTTAGTTCCAAATCTAATTAATTTTTAGCTATTACTAGAAGTTAATTGCTCAAAAAATTATTTTGTATAAATGAAATAAAACAAATCAAAATAAAAAAAGAAATGCAAATGTCAATTTTGTTTCTACTTGTGCCGTGAATTTTACCTAGATTTTTACGCAGTTGAAAACTAGAAAATATATTTCATATTAAATTCTTTTTTCATAAAATAGATTTTCGGTCTATTTCAATGTTTCAGAATAAAAACTCGACTTATAGAATAAATACCTTCGGAATAGAGCAAGAGGTGAAATTCAAGGCCGAGTTTTTATACTCACTTAAAATACCTTACTGTTTTTTTTCCTTGCAAGACTAATAATTAGACGCGGACAAGCGAATTGAATGTAACCTTGAAATCTGTACTATTACAGATATGCCAAACATGGTCACTGATGATTCATAATACGAAACGTAAATTCCACGGTTTTAGAATTTCTATTGATTATTTCTAGATGAATTTAAAGACCGAAGAACATCCAGGGAAATGATACTGATTATATGTACCAAATGATGGCTAAAAGTAAGATAGCGAAAGATAAAGATTCGAAAATAACATGAATTGTAGTCAATTTTGATCCGAAATCGTATTCCAATCAATGAATTAACAAAAAATACAGTACGCTTGGAATCAAAAATAATTTTTTTGATAATTTATTGAATGAAAATGAACTTTGACATATTTAATTGACAATGACCGTATAACAATGATTTTATTTTGCACATTTGATTGTCAAATCGTATAGAAAAAACAATACTTTTTGGATATTATCAAGTTGTAATATGGCAATATTTTGCAAAACAAAAGATTTTATTTCATTAGATACATTCTTAATAGAAATGTAGTCAAAATAAAACTAGATAAACTCAATGCTACCACATAAATGGCGCTTTTTCTCTTAAAATGCGTACACCGCCTTTAGACCATTCGCTGCCAGTGATCCATAATTCCATTGCGCTTTCTAAACATGACATAACTGCACCACCCTTCCATGCAGTTATAGCTGGATCCATATCTTTGGGGCTGGTGACAATATCAAGATGTTCGGATCGATACAAATATGGTATTTGTAGTCCAACACGATTCTGAAGCCATTTTCCGATTCCAACAAATTTCATGCCACCTCCAACGACCAAAATGCATCCATACATTTTTCGCCTCAATTCGTCATTGGCTATTGGATTAAAGCAAATATTTCAGTACGGTGAATAGTTATCGTGTTCAAGTCAATATGCATTTCATAACTTACGACATCGTTCAATGCTCTGTAGAACAGCTTGGTCCAATCCGATGATCTGACCACCCGGAAGTACAAATTCTTTATCTAATTTTGAGTCACGTTGTTCAACCTCAAGTGAATCAACTACAATGTCTTCATCGGCATTGTCTGTATTCATTAAACCGCTCATATCAGATGTATTTTGATCCAATTGCTCTCTTGCTCCCTTACGCTAATAAAAACAAACATTTTTAGCCGTTCTCTTTATCAAAAAGTTTTTTTTTCAGCCAATCTGTATTGTACTTACTCCTGTTTCCCGCAGATATTCCGCATCGAAACAATCTTCGGAATCTGGTTGTTGCCGCGCTGGCTTTTGTACTTTGGCCATTTTTGGCCCGGTAATATTGAGCAATTCGGTGTGAAATAAACTGAGCGGTGCCACGACACACTCATCGCCCACTTGAAGTGTATACTTTGATGTTATCTTATTATTATGATCGACTATGAACTCTTTTTCGGTTGGACCGCAAATATCCTATATTTGAATGGAAGAAAACCAGCATAAAATTTATATTTTATTGAAAACTATATAAATTCATACCAGATTAACATGACAGAAATTTTCTTTTAATTGCTTTAGCAGCATTGCGTCGAGTGGATTTCGTTCATCGTATTCTTTGTATGGGAATGCACACTTCTTTAGGAGCCACTGAAAGGCTTGAGTTACATCCGAACCTCCGTATTCCAAACGCACCTAATTTAAATTGGCCAAAGTTAAAAATAGGCAAAAACAATTTCGATTCATTCTTAATAGGTACTGGTACATACTCTAGTGCTTGGATGTGAAATGCCATCTTCGACACATGAAACCGATGTTTTCTGATCACCAACATCAACCACACATGCATATCCCAGGCCAGCACCAAATGTTGCTGCCACATGATCCTGCGAAGTGTAAAAGTACAATTTTGAATAAAAAATTACGGAAAATGGTTGAATCTATGTCAATTCTCACTTGAACTAAAAAGCAGCTGCCAAAGCCCATTTTTAAAAGCAGTAAATTCATGAGTTCTCTCAAATGGCCACGGTTATAAATGTCTGGTACTATTAAGACGGCCTTATACAAATGTAAATCACTGCAAATATATGAAAATTTGTTTTCAATTAATGTCCAAAGATACAAAGGACTGATTTATGCACAAACCTCAGTGGAATTTTCAGCTGTGTTTTCAAAACATGTTCCCAAATCTCTTGTAAATCGGCCACCACTGCCGTAATTGAACCACCCACGCCGCCATGCAAATTGAAATCGCCTCGCCTTATTGGAAAATGTAAATTAAAATCTGCATTGGGGTTCAATTGAAGCACATCGTCACCAATCACCACATTTAAGTCGGTTGGATTGTAATATGATTTTACTGCGTTATCCAAGATTTCTGGTGTCGATCGACGATTGAACGCGGATATTTGTTGTGGAGGTGTTGCATACCGTCGACGACCATCTGATTGTAAACATGATTGTAATGTATGTGAAATCTGTAGACGACAATCCTCAAGCTCCTGCACTAATTCTTTGCTCTGTAAATGAAAACGTTTCATTCAATGGTTTTGACGTGATATGAATTGCAATACTCTTACTTTTATCACTGTTCCCGGTAAGACCGTATCCCGATAAGTTTTGCCCAACGGTTTTCGACGCCGTGCAATCGCATTTAAAATGCGATGTGGATTTATATCAGAAGCGCGTCCAATGCGTAGATTCAACGAGCCCGGATGAATGATGATTATCATATGAGCCTGCACTTGCTGCAATTCAAAGCGAATATCATTGAATAGTTTCATTATTTTTGCTTGTATTTGAATTTGGCTTACCTCAACAAACTCTGGCTGTGGCTGTGGTGTCATTTTTATTCAGATTTTAAGTATTTTTTGTTGAAAAAATCCCCATAGATTCTTGCTTTTCGTGGATCGGCATTTGTTTACTGTTTTTTTAATAGAACGCCGTTTCATCTGTCAAAGTTTTGTCAAATGAATGAGTCAAATTGTTCAATTGATTTTATTACATTTGCAAATGACGTATAGATGGCGTTGTGTATGTGTTTTAACAACAAATCTCAATCCAATGAATTTCATTGAGAAATTGATATAATTTGAATGTTAAAGAAAATTCAAAGCTAAACAACTATTAGATTGTTTATAAAATTTTATTTTATAATATTTTTATACTTTTATAATGTAGTACACGACGTTTTATTTTGGTAATGGAAAACGTAAGCAATCTCATCTCTTCAATGAAACATCATCTTTTCTTTATTTATTTACTAGGTGAAAAATACGAAAAAGTCCAACTCACAAAACGAATTCAATTTAAAAGTTCAGAATGATTTCAAATCAAGCTTCGAAGATTTCCAATTTAGATATATGTATGAATAAAAATTCCAAAAGATTTTAAATTCGGTTTTCTTCCATGTTGCATTGAAAATTGAAAAACTTTGGAAAGTTCGCAAAGTATTCACATGCCCGTTCTGAATGTCGTTAGATAAATTATATAAATTTCATTTGTGATTTTTATCAATGTTGTAACAAGTTACGTATCCGATATTATCATTCTATAAAACTCATGTATTTTCATCTCACATGCAAGACCAAAACCATTTTCAAATGGTCATTTTTATAGAATTCAATGTAACATACAAAAATATTTCTTTATATTGGTTATTTATTAATGACTCACTTTATTGGTAATTAATGAAATGGTCTTTATGGTTTTCAGAAAGAATATATAATTTTTCACTAACTTAAAGTGACACAAATGAATTTCAACGTTTTTAAGAACACCTGTTAAATGAAAAGATTAAAAAATTCACGCTAAAATATAGATACAAAAGTGGCCAAAAAACCGTCCCATTTGAACGAAAAATAAAGTTTAACTTTCCGAAACTAAATTTCTTTCTTTCTTTATTTATAAAACGGATTATATTGTACATTTAACAGCCTAATGGCCAATTACAAAATGTATTGTGGCGAATATATGGAAACAGTTTAAAAATTTAAAATTCATAATAGAAGAGAGAGTGCTTAATTTTAACCTTTTTTTTAAATTGTTATTAATTTCTGCCAAATAGTATTGCTTTCCATGAAATAAATATTAATGCTCCTAGAACACCCTCGCTTCAATTACAATATTGGGGATTTAACATCTTAAAACACATTAGATTATTCGTTATCTCGATTTGGAATTGAAAACTTCGTTAGAATATGTAGAAAATACTTATATGAACATTTCGAAATCTTCGAAGGCATATGAAATTGTCAAAGTTTCATTGCCAAATAAATGAAAACCATCGGAAAATAATGATCGCAATATTTTATCAGAGATTAGTATAATTTTGGTCATTGTTTTTGCATTCATTTAACTATCAAATCTTCAAATAAAACAGATATCATTATACGGAGAATACACATCGGTATGTTGTTAATGTTCAACTCATAAAATCTAGCCTATAAGTGGGAACCTTTTCAGCTTGAAAGACCAAGATAGCTTAATGATGAGCCTTTGTTCATTTCGTTAGCTCAATAATTAAAGCCACCGAAAAACACAATAACGTATGATTTCGATCACGACCAAAACTGCTATAATCGCTATAATCTAACTGCGAAAAATAGGAATAGATAGATGATTTTGAATGCTTATTTTCTTAGTTTCAAATTCAGATCTAGAAAAATAGTTGGAATCATAGAAGGACTAAATCACTCTTCTGAATGCCTTAAACGCAATACTTTTTAAAATAAAGATGAAAAACGATAAGAAAAAGCCCAGAAAAATATGCATCTGCAGATTTAGTCACACCTACACGAAATCGAGCAAAGAATCAAGAAAAACTAAATCCTCAGTCTCTGCAAGTGAGTTATCAATTTCCTCCTATCCTTTTTTTAGAAAATCTAAGTAAACGATAACTTTTGCCTACTTGTTTGTACAAAATTAGGAAAATTTCATTCATATTTGATAAAAACTTTAGTCAAATGAATGAAAAACTCATCAAATACAATTCTTGTTTAGCTATGATTTAGAAATGTCATTAGTTTAACACATTTATGCCACTCAATTATTATGAATGACTTAAAAAGGACTATCAATATGAAATTTAATTCATAATGAATGAATTTGTGCTGCTGCGTAAGCTGGTTTTCAAGTCATGTTCAAGCGAACAATTTGATTGGTTGTACGTTCATCGAAGAAACATAGTATTGATGCTTCATGCGTGTAATCGTTTATTTTTACCAATAGAATTGGCTCCTCCTACAAAGATCAGTTAAAGCTGTGCTTTACATTTATATACATCATATATACGTTCAGACGGCAGTGTTTACACTGTTGTTTTAACTTAGGATAATTCAATCGTTTTTGATCCTCTCAATTGGATCAATATATTACCATACAAAGAATTTCATTTGATTTTATGCTATTGCAAGGATTGAAAGAATCTTTTGCATTTTATCAATTAAATTGACTAGATTCAATGATTGGCGATCTTCAAAAGTGTGAATGATTGGACCTACGATCGTTTGCCCTTTTGCTGTTTAATTGTAATGTGTGTTTGTGTGCGGTAAAAATGGTGCTCATTTCTTCTGATCACTTGAAATATACGCTGAAATCTTTAACCAAGCGGCAGTCTTACTTTTCACTTCTTTTATATGCCGTTAGTATCTTATATGTGTTCAAAGCCAAACGATTTATTTTTATTTTTTGTGTGTGTTCTTCTTGTGGTTTTATGGGAAACACATTTCTTTTGAGTAGAGAAATTCGCCTGTTTCATATACCTACAACTGTATATCATTCGGTGTTGCTCACTCTAACACATGTGAATGTCAGTAGGATGATGTTTTTTTTTTCTTTTACTGGGCAAGTCTATCAATTCGTATTTCACCCACACAAAATCAACTGAAATTAGGCTGAAAGACTGAACAGTGTAGCATCGTGTGCATTTTCATCGTTTTTCCTTTGCGATATTTGTTTGTCTCTTTCGTTGAGTTTGTCGATTGATCGCAAGCAGAGTGCTCAGGGAAAAAACTTTGTGCGACGAGTTGAAAGTTTAATTATCATCAAATCGTCTTTGGATGCTGATGTGCATATTTCAAGTATTTAACATTTTTTTCGTCGTTTTTTTTTTCTTCTCTCGTTTGATTTCATCTCTCTCGCGTCTCTTGGGCCGGTGAAATAGTTCTGTGGCGTGCGCGCATATACCCAGACGGATCGCAAAGTGAAAGTGCTAGACAAAAAGGTGTTGATCGAATACGAAACAAATAGTTGTTGTAATTAGGTTAAAAATCGGTTTGCATACAAAATTCAAATGTGCCATTTGATTTGTTTGCAGTTTTCTTAGGTTTTTGTTTTCTCGTTCTCCTAACTTTTCGGAATGTTCACGGTTGATTTAAAAGTCCAACCAGCAAAATTGAGTGAAAACAAAACAACCACAGCACTGATTACATATTCGGCGATTTTGTGTGTGCGCGTTTTTTTCATCACGATGTTTATTTGTAAATCAATTCGCACTAAATTGTGATTGTTGTTGTTTTTTTCGGTTCTTGTGTATGTGAATGTGTGATGTTTTGACTTTTGTTAATTGAACACACGGAAAAACGCGAACGAACGGTGATAAAAGTTTTATGTGAAAATTATGTCAATGCTCAATTAAATGATGAAATGATCACCGAGATAATCGCGAATGAAATCTGATTGAAAAGATATTTGACTTTTAGCTTGTGTTGTACAAACTTGATGAAAGCAAAAACATAAACACCTTAATTACATTCGATTAGAATTCTGAGTGAAAAACAAAATGGAATATTATCGACCGAACATTACCGGCGGCATGACACAGCCCAATCTATGCGATACAAATAATATGATTTTAAATTCAGCCACCGATTCATATTCATCAAACTATTGGAATCATATTCCATACACAGATGGACTGTCACCCATGAAGCAAATCGAAGGTAATTTTGACATCATAAAAAATTGAATTAAGAACTTCTTCTTGGAGAAACAGCGTTGTAAGAGGTACCAAGTGTTTGCGGAGGGTGAAATTGATACTTCAAATATTCAATACTTCACAATTGGGTTTATGAGCATTAAAAATGCTTCATATCTCTATAAAAATTATTATCGCTTTATTGCACATTGAACCTACTACTATAGGAAATTTTCCCTTATCTCGCAAAAAAATATACACAAAATAGCGTGATTTTGTTTTTTCTTCATATTTCACTTCTCTTCTTCTGTCTAAATAAAATAAACGATTGTTTGTTCAAATAATTGTGATATATATTTTTATTTTCGTTGAAGCGGTTATTTCTGATTGAAGTTATCTAATTTTGTGTGTTTAGTTTGTTTGTTTGTTTGTTTTTTTCGGTCATTTAACATCGAAAAACTGTCACTTTGTTTAAACTGTGTCAAGCTCGGTTTGTGAAAATAAAACCAAACGCCATTCACGGGCCCACCTATTAGAAATTAGTCAAATTACTTCGACTGTCAAAAACGTTGAACACAATACATCTATTTGATGTATATATCCATTACGCTTCGTTTGAAGAAACAAATCTGAGCTAACATGTGCAACGGGAGCCACTTTTCCTTTCAAGCCCATGGCTAATCTCTTCAAATTTTCTCTTTAGTTCTAATCACAATACAAACTCTGAGCTAATTTTGCACAGACTCTATGGCTCTTTTATAATCCCATGTAAATGTGTGCTTCGCCAAAATCGATTGAAAAAAAAATGCGTCGCAATGAATTTCATTTGAAAATGCATGCCGATGTCTTGTTGCCTACAATTGATTGCATTCCGTCAAACGTGAGGTCAATGCAAAGTTAAATTTCATCGACGAAAACATGAAAAAAACAAATGGCTATTTAAAAGCGATGTTTGTATAATGCTTGTACACGTTTTTAAACATACAAATTGCTCTATTTGTACTTTAGATTGGCTTCCGAAATTTCTCTCACAATACTCGTGTAGATCGAGTTCTATACATAACTTCAATCGCATTTTACAGAAAATCACATTCGTCTTTGAGACACTTTTACTTGTACATTTCCAAGTGTATTTTTTGCTATTTTCGAGCGAAAATACGACGACGACACATTTTGTGAAATGAAAATATCGCATGAAAATCGAAAAGAAGCAATCCATTAAAATTGCTGGGAACTGAGAAAATAAAATGCAAACAAAAACTGTCTGGATAAAATTATAGCTCAATTTGTATTTACAATGAAGATTCATTTGTTTTCTCTTCCATTCCGTTTGGCGTGCACAATGAATGCGACGGGACATTTTATCCTTTTGAAATTACCATGCGACGACAAATCATACGAGAATTAATACTTAAAAAAATGATTTATTGCGACGATTTTTGGATGCAACGTGTCATTTGACTGTGTTGGCAATGCATTTGTACCGAGATTGATGTGATTTTGGCGAGAGTGGGAAAAAATAAGAGAAATAATTTGTTGAAATACTTCAATTGAGTGTTTTTAATTTTGAAACGTTCATCTTCAGTTGAAAGGTGTGTGTTTGAAGTCATTACATAATTGGCAATTTATATAAATATTTGCCATGATTTTTCGCTTCTAAATTTGGCCGTTGCATAAATTATAGTGTTAAGTTAGTCAATTGCATTTGATCATCGTCTATTTTCCAGTGTGACGCCACCCGTTCACAACCGAACACATGAGACTAATGAGCATTTCCAAAATGAACCGATGCATAGAAATCGACCATAAATCTCTAGCTCAATATATAGCGTCAGTGTGGCGCATGCTATACTTCACCAAAAACAACGCCACAGTTACAATTGCAATTTCTCGAATCGTTCTTAAATTAACATAATCACCAATTAGTTCTGTGCCATTTGGATTTCGATTGAAAATAATTGGATTACGAAGAAAACATCGGCATCTTTGATAGATACGCGATTTTAACGGGAATAGCGACGCATTTTCAATAACTTCTCCCACAGCAGCTAAGTGTTTTCGAATTAAAACCTTTTTGCGCTTGTTTCATATTTTTCCTTCCCTTTCAATGGCTGAAAATTCAAATGATTTATTGGAAACTAGAAAACATGGGGCTATATTTTAGATTTTTTTTTCTTTTCGATCATTTTTTTTTTTTTTTGAAAACAAATCGATTGCTGATGACAATTTAGTGAACACATTTATAATGTGTGGCAAGCTTTTTTTCTAAACAAATTTTCACCACGAGCCTAGAAGCCGTGAAATCACTTAGCACAACGGTGTATACTACATTGAAAATGGAACTAATAAGTTTTTAATGGAATTTTGAGTGGTTTAACGCTATTCCATTGTATCGATGTCGAAAAAAAACTGCCTTCGCCCGTCGTACATATATTTAAATCTGCCAAACAAGTTAAATCGGTAATCGTATCACATGGAATGGAAGTATACATTGGAAGATATATACAGAAATTCGATCGATAATTTCACAAAATTTATGATCTAAAAGAAGAACAACATATCTCGTGTCTTTTACAAGCAAAAAAAATGCGTTACACGAGAGAAAAATGCGTCTAACGACACAGAAGGCGTAGTATTGTTACCACACATGTTTGTTTATTTGCTTTTATGATCAGTGAAGTGATATGTCGAACATATTTTCAGGCTCTCTTGATTATTTTATTCTGCATTTCTGTACATGTGCACCGAAAAAAAAGACGATTTTCTTTCAGTTCTTCAGTTTTGCTTTTTTGCTTTGATGAATTTTATATTCATGCTCGATTGTACAAATTCCGTACATTGAATGGCACACGTTCCGTGAAATTTGAAACTCATTTATGTGTTCATAATCAGTTTATGAATTCGTCGTCAATTCAAGGAAAAAAACCAGCGACAGCAAAATAAAAGAGAACAATGTCTGATCGAGAAACATTTAAGCAAAATTTTGCACCTTTGGTGAAATCTCGACACATGTTTTTATGAGTTTTATTTTATGTTTTGTGTCATATATTTTTAGAATCCTATAATCATGTCATAAAGTCAATTTTCTTTTTCCGTTATTTTTTTGTCACATTTAAACGCGATAAAAAAAATACGTATACGTGAAACACACATTTGGTGTGTGTGTGTGGTTGTGTTCTTTTATCTGTCATTAAAACTTTATTTTCGTTTCTTTTACGTTCCCAATAACACGATATTTGTCTCCCCAATTTCAGCGTGCATTCAAACGGCCGGAAAAGATCGTTCGTACAAACCACTGGAGCACATCGATCAAAATATGTCGAATGATTTTCAAAAGCCAACACCAATCAACACCTATGACTCGAAATCGGATATGAATCATGAGCAACAAAATGGCTTAAGCAAAGAAATCGATCATACCAAAGAACCTGCCAACTATCATCCGGCATTGGTGCACGCAAACGTTGTACTCGAAACAAAACCATTGTGGGATAAATTTCATGAGCAAGGCACCGAAATGATTGTCACAAAAACCGGACGAAGAATGTTTCCAACGTTTCAAGTGCGCATCAGCGATTTGGATCCACAGGCCATGTACATAATGTATGTAGGTCTTTTTTTGGAGGATGAAAATCAATGCAATCAATGCAATTGTTCATTTTTTTCTTTTGTAGGATGATGGATTTTGTTCCTGTCGACGATAAACGCTATCGCTATTCATTTCATAGGTTTGTTTTAATTTATCTGTCAATTTTTCGAATTATATTGAATGTGGTAAAAATACTTTTAGCTCAAGTTGGGTAGTCGCAGGAAAAGCAGATCCCATTTCACCTCCACGAATTCATGTACATCCCGATTCACCTGCACCCGGAGGTATTCTTTGTTAATTTTCCAAAACATAAATCGATGCGAAAATTTAAATTATCAATTAAATGACATTTACTTTGCAGCTACATGGATGAAACAGATCGTATCATTCGATAAGCTCAAACTAACCAATAATCAACTGGACGAAAATGGCCATGTAAGTGTGAGACGATACTTTCCATTAAAATGTTAAATATAGAAAAGCATTTGTGGTATTTTTAGTTAATAAAAAAATAACGCACACTATAAATAACTGCATATTTGCTTTGGCTCGAGAAAATAATGAAGATTTTCTTTTTGTTTTCATAATTTTTCTTTTCGCTTCCATAGATAATTTTAAATTCAATGCACCGATATCAACCGCGTTTCCATATCGTATATTTGCCACCAAAAACCAGTAATTCAGCGTATAATACAGAGCAAGATTGTTTACATAGTCATTATCGTCGTTTTATATTCACGGAGACATCATTTACGGCCGTAACGGCCTATCAGAATCAAAGAGTAAGTTTCGTTTTTCTGTTTTTAATTTGGATTATTTTTAATGTGACTTATTGAACGTGGCTGATGCTTGTTGCCATCTCGACTGTAAATTAAATTTTGTGCATTAGCTTTTGTTTGTGATTAAACACATATAAATACATTCCGCTCCGGATTTTTTGGTTAATTTCTGCGGTATGTGCGAAGCGCCGACGCAAAGATTATAAATTAAATGAAAATCACCAAAAATTAAAACCGCCATTTTTCATGTAATTTGGAAATTTATTGAAACAATAAATTAAATTGATGAGGTAGTTTAAAATTTTGTCGTTCCGGTTATGTGACAGATATTGCAAAGGCCATGAAACCGCATAAAGTTCTCACATCGAATATATCCAGCAACCGATACAAATTAAGCGTGTTGTGGGATCTTTTGGATTTGTGGGTGCACACAAGTGATCTTCTGAATACAGTTATGACAGTTGCTCGTCAATGTGAACACAAAAAAAAACATGCAGACAAACATTGAGAAACGTCTCATAACTGCACACGAAATGAAGAGAAGACGACGAGAAAAAAAAACACAAATCAAAACAAAGAAGGGGTCTGAGACTGCACAAAAATGAAACGCGGAGAAAAAAAATTCTTAAAGAAAATAAATTTATTATCTCGACGCCAAAACAGCGAGAAGAAAGTGTCATTTTCTCTTCATTTAAATTTTTCTTACTTGACACATTGTTTGTATTCATTTGGTGGAATGAAATGGGAGAGAAAAGGAAAAAAAGCATTATATTTGCTTTGCTCTCGAACTTATTTGACCTGATGTGCGATTTTCACTGAATATTTCCTATTTTTTTTAGTATTTTCTTTTTCTCCGTCTCTCTTCATCTCACTTCGGGTATGCGCATTCGTCAAACCACTTTATGGTCCCTTTGGAATCATTTATAATTTTTTATTTTCCACCGACGTCAAGGTAAACTTTTTTTTTAATGAATACTTCTACTGTCATTCGAGTCTTTGCATGGTATCTTTGTCTATGTTTCAAAGAAAATAATCCATTTTGGCATATTGAACTGTTTATGTAAGAAAGCTATTTCATAAGATTTATGTCCGTTTAGCATATCAAAAACAAAAGTCAGCCATAGCATCAAAGATCTCATTGAAATAACTCACACGCGCCTTGATTTATTGTTCTCGTTCCACGATCTAGCGTCAAATTGTGCCAGCAATTAACGAAAAAATAAAAATGAAAAAACCAAGAAAAATCGAGAAAATGTTCAACGAAATTAAATTGATTTAAGTCACATGCACGATTGAATGTGGCGACTCATATTCATCTCGGCATATTTCTCTTAAAAATGACAAGCAACATTAATCAGTTTTATTCTTCAAAATAATAAATCGTACTTTCTGTTACAGGTGACACAATTGAAAATCGTCAGCAATCCATTTGCCAAAGGTTTTCGGGAAAATGATACAAACGATGAGTAAGCATCACATATCTTTCGTTTATTTACTTGAAATGAGAAATTTTTTGATTTGGGTGGTTTTGCAAATTGCTTGTTTTTCAACTTTAGTTTTCCATTTAATCGATTCGATACGTCACGAAAATCAATTGAACAGTTGAAAATAAACAAATCCGTTTTCAAATTGCCTCCATTTACATTTTTTTTTTTTGGTAAACAGTGCATATCATTCTGAGCAGACATCATCCACTCAGACGCACATACACATTCATATAAATATATTGTTTACATTGAACTACAATCGAACACCCAAAAATAGATAACATGTAAACCACATTTGTTTATTCAGTGGAGGAAAAGTGTACTTGCTTTTATCTATTCACTGAGCCTCTTTCTTTTTATTTCATCAAAAAAAAAACATATTCACGAAATTCCAATTTATACTCTTGCAAAACAAAACGATTCATAAATACAAATGTCAATTGTGAAAATTCCGCATGGTTTTTGTTTCAATGCCCATTCATCGCATGGTAATTGATATGTTTAATTTGTGGGTTCTTTTCACATTTTGAATAGGTCTACTGAATTGCTGAATAACATGCAGGCCCATGATCAAAGTGGACCAGAGAAAATTCGACAAAATCGTCATCCAACGCAAACAACAATTTCTGCGAAAAGTATGAATCTGATTTTATTATCTTTATACATAAATCGAAAAATACTAACATTCTGAAAATACATTGATTTTAGATGGAGAAATGGTTTCACAAGCAAATTGTAACCAAACGCGATTGGATACGACGAACATAAACTGTAGTATGACCGCCGCACAAACGGCCACATCACCAGAACGGATGATTCAAAGCCCATCGTCACATGCAGCTCTGACAAATGGCAATTTACACTCGATCAGTCAACCGTATTTGGGCGATACGAGCCAATTTGGACCATTCTATCATCATCATGGTCAACATCATCATATACCCAGCTACGGTAATCCATATGATAAATACAAAAGCGTACATCATACACGATCACCAAACACCAGCCCATATGATGCATATCAAAGTTTTTATCCAACAACACCACACCATCATCATCATCAAATTGTTCGACCAAACAGCTACATCGATCTAGTTCCACGATAATTTTTAAGCTTTGAAATTCGGTTACTTTTTTTCTACTTTTTGGTAGTTTTAATTTTAGAATTTGTACGCCAATGATTAGGGTTAAGAAGAAAGATCTTGTCGAAGAGAATGAAATAGTGAATAAAAAGAAAAAAAAAGTCATTGAAATGAATACTGATTTCTTTCGTTGCTGCAAATGCTCTTGAAACCGACAACAACTTATCGACAGATACCAGACAGCTTGTACTGATAAATATTTACGTAACACTGTTCAATTGTCATTGGAAAGAAACTTGAGATCGTCATATTTGGGGGTTTTATCATTGAATAAACAACTTCACAGATTTATTAGTTTTCAAATGGCCGGAACAATATTTTATGGTTCACATAAAATGGTCAGTTTTAACGAGCTTCGGAGACAATTTTTTTTTTTGGGTCATTTAAGTTTTGTGTGGTCGTCACATCGAATCAATATGCATTCGGTGCGACAGGACAAATTTTAAAATTTATTATACGCTTTGGTTATGCAATTTCCACTTGAGATATATCGGTGACAATTCCATCGGACCTCACATAAGCGTCGTTGCAACTCACGCAAAGTGAAAGCGATACAGTGATAACGAAAACAGTTAGAATAGAGAGGATTCGAATTACAAGAGCAGTTATGAGTGCATTTGGTGCGTCAATTGGTGTGCAAAGAAATGACTAATGACCTTCAAACGAAAAAGAAATTCCAAACAAATTGACAGTGAACACAAAATAAACGACGAAACAAAAACAGACGAAAAAGAAAATTGTCAATTGATTTCGTTTTGTTTTACATTCTCGACAGCCACAAAGAGCAACGCACACATATATAAGCTTAGAATCAATTGGTTATGGCCAAAGAACATAAAATGTGACAACATGTGTTGTGTTCATTACACTTCGACAGTGTAGTTGAGCGAAATTTGGCTCTGAAAACAAAAGCCAACGAAGCAATTTATTGCTGCAAATAAAGCAAACAGTGTGAAATGGATTTAACAAAAAGTAACACAATACATTGCATTTTAACTGTGTCGATGGTTGACGGTTGACACAATTGAAATTTGCGAAATCGATGCAAAAATTGGGTTGAAAAAAAAATGCATGGAATTTTGTTGATTCGATGCACTTTTGGAATTCTGACATGTAATATCGATAAAACTTGAGGCATACCAACGGAAATATAAAATGATCGTCGAAGAAGTGTAAAATCGAAATTGTTCACATCTAAAGGGAAGGAAGGAAATTCGAAAACAAAAAAAAACTGAAATTTAATTTTTCTTTCACTGAATGACCAGAAGATTTATCGATGTTTCGTTCAAATCGATGTGTGAATGAAATGCTGCGACGTGCATCGACGGATGTTTGTTTTGTCCTTTTTTGTTCTTTACGACTTGTGCAGCGTCTGTTTTTCAATCTTGGTTTCTTTATTTTTGGCCTCGGTATTATAGATTGAATTTCAAAATTATGATTTCCACTTAGCGAAGGAAATTTCATTGCATTTCTTCTCTGTCGATGAATTAATTACGTTTTCGATCTTTTTTCTTTCACTTAAATCATGTTGGTGCTTCTAAGGGATTTAGTCTTTCAAAATATTATTCCATCAACTATTGAATGTATAAACTAATAAATTCTGTCTATATCGAAACCAAAAAAAAGATCATTAATTTTCCATCTTTCAAAAGGCAAACCAAAATTTGTCTTAAACTTCAAACTATTGAACTCGATAATGTTGAGTGCGCGCGAGCGTGCGAGCCCAAGTACTCGATTCAGTTGAGTTTTTACGATGTGCAGCAATATCATTCGCACCCAATAAATTGTTTACGATGAAATGTTATATGCTTTGGGCACAGCCAACACATGGCAAAAGTCACTTTTGCCTGAAAAGTTCATGCGTGCAATCGGAACCTCTCATCTGGAAATATAACTAAAATATTGAAACAAAAAGCGTAATTAATCGTTTTGTTTGGATTTTATACATACGCGCACATACGTAATTTATAATCACTCCTATTGCCGTTTTAACGACATGAAAGTTCGTAGTTTTTTTTTACTTTCATTCATAAATTTGTTTATATTGACTTTGTAAGTTCGTGGCGAGATGATATTGTCTTTGCTGCTGTATAAACAAATATCCTAGAAAATTATCATAATTTGTTTTTAAGAGCAAGTTCTTTTCGAAATTTGGAAGAAATAACAATCATTTATGTGCAGTTCAGATATTATATTGAGATATTTTCAGCCAGATGAATCAGCTCAGCCAGATATCGTCAGGGGCTGAAATTGAGTGAATACAATAGAAGTGATTGTTATGGCTATAATTACACTTACATTGCTACAATCACTTTTATTGTTTTCGCTCCATTTCAGCTCCTGACGATATCTGGCTGAGCTGATTTATCTGGCTGAAAATATCTCAATATAATGTCTGGTGCAGTTTGACTTTGTTTTTTATATAGACAATTCATGAATCGCAGCAGTAGAGCTGCATTGAAATGTAGTTTGGTGTGTGCTTTGAACGAATGAAAATTAATTGCACCGCAAACCACATGAGCTATACTCAACGACCACTGAGAATTTTATGTTTAGAATTTTGTGTGCACACATAAAACGAGAAGAAGAAGAAAAAAACTATTTTTACCACTAAAAAAACCATATTTTATGCATGACTTTGTACAGAAATCCAATGGTTTTACGTCAAATGCTCATATGTACTTTGGAAGATACAGTAAACTGTATAAGGTGTGAACTGATTAATGAAAAAATCATGGATGATGCACAACACTAAACATCGTTTTGTTTCATCTGCTTAAAAGCAAAGTTGAAAGTAAAATGTATCCACATTTTTTTTATTGTAACTTGGCGTTATTCTGAAAATAGTCCACAATCGTCTTTTTTTCATTCATGCAAATTTCGTTCGTTTAAAAAAAAATCAAGTGCAAAACGCTCACAATTTTAAAATGTCACACAAATATTTAATGATTTTAGTGACAAATGTATCAATCGCAATGAGCGTTATAAATTGTTGTACATGCAATGCATAAAATACAGTGTCATCGCACGCTCTTACATGGTTCGTCGAGTATGCAACATATGCCCGCATTGTGAATCTCACAAATGCAAGAGAGAAGAGAGCGAAAAAGTGCATCCCAACGAAAGCGAAAGCGGAAAATATGAAAATAATATTTTGTTGTATGTGTTCGATGTGTCGAAATAAGTTGTCAACGAAATCATAAATTTGATTATGCAAGCGACGAACAAGAAAAGCACGGGCAGACAAATTTTTATTCCGAGTTGGAAACGAGACTGACTGCCATAGAGCAAATGGAATATAGAACGGAAGGAAAGTAATAATCGCTGCTTAATGCATTCACACAATTGTAAATCATCGATTTTCGGCAGCAAAGTGAACATATATTTCCGTCTCCGCATTGTTGAGCAGTTTTAGACATTGTATTTGATGATGAAAACACGGCCAGCAAAATGAATCTTACGTAAAAGAACGGGTTTTATGCGTTCAGGATTTCCGTTGAGTTGAACGATGAAAATGTATATTGGTCGTTTTAAGTTTTACTAAAGGGACTTTTACGCACAAAGACGACATCAATTGCATTGTTTTGATATCATTTACAGTAGCGACGAAAAACATTGCACATGGTAAACGCTGATGCATTTGTTTCCAGTTAAATGATATTTCTTCAACTCTATATCGAAATGTACTGTAACTTAATCAAATTTACGTTCTTTATTTAGTCAAACTCTAAATAATTAATTCCAAGGCTTTATCAAAGGATTATCATGGAAGATAAATGATAAAGAATTTTCTCTAAATTTAACACAATTCTGAAACTACACATTATAACCATTTGATAAGATTTTTCTTTACATAAAATACGTTGATTTCATTCAATTTTGATTGTTTATTCTTTTATTTGTTCAGAAATTTGTTTGATTAGACAAGTTCTTCATTCACAATGTTGAACTGTAATCACTCAGAAATTCTATCTGGAAGCGGGCAAGTTTTCAAGCATGCTTTAGCAACTTTTTTATTCAAATTGAGCAACAGTAGTTGCAGGCATCCAATTTTAAAATTTGCTTGTTAAATAATTCGTTGCTCACATTGCTTGAAATTATTTTTTTGGGATCATGCACCATTTTTCATTATTATCTGTCTAATAAATGTTTATATCTAAATAATTTTCATCATTAAACTGAAAAATCGCCAAAAATTCTTAACTTTTTTTAGAAAATTTGTGAAAAATTAGTAGAATACGGAGAATTCAAAATTTCAAGTAGTTTATTAGAAATTAGTAAAATTCGAGCAATGCGAGCAGCAGCAGCAAACCTTATACAAATATACTCGAGCAAGCTTGCGTTTTTCTGGTCGCTTCCAGAATATTTAGACTATCATGGATTTGCATATTTTATTGATTGAGTTTTGTCCATTTCCCTTTGAAATGAACAATTGTACAACTAACAAGCGATTGCATACGTGTTACCGAACTAACGCCATCTACAGGTCAACATAGTAGGCTCATATTTTTGTCTAAAACTAATTCACTTCTGGGAACGTGTATTTGTTTATGATGACATTCGAACAATTGACAAGAATGCTGTCACAAGCATAAAATAATAACATCATATCTCAAAACGTTTTCAATGAAATTGTATTATCGCCGATAAATTTGTGAAAAAATGACGGAAAAACTAGGTGAACGGGCTTTGGAAGCCATAAAAAAGATGGACAATGCGGTGGTCGAATTTAAAATGCCAAAAGTACCCCGAACAAAACGGGGTCAAATGAAAATATTGACAGAGGAACAATACATTGAGGTAAAATTTTCTTATTTATACTTTCACAATAATTCATTCATTGATTGAATTCCATTTTGTTTTGATTGAATAGGAGCTCGGCAAAATAATACAAAAAGATTTCTTTCCGGATTTGGAAAAATTGAAAGCGCAAAATGCATACCTGGATGCAATGGAAAAGAATGATATTATAAAACTCAGGGAAATTTATGCAAAATACAGTGGTCATAAACCAAATGAACCACTTGGATGTAAGTAATTCACATTCTCCTTTGACACATTTCATCGATTACAATGAAGAATATTCGATCTTATCTAATTAGCGGAGAGTCCGGCCACATTTGAAACACCGCAGCGAGAAGACTGGAACCAATCAACATTCTCAACGCCATCGTCAAGGTTGTTCCAAGAAAGAAACTCAGATGCACTTTCCACCACGTCAAGGCGAAGTAAAAAAGCACCATCCGATGGACATACGTTGGACTCTTTTCTTGCTACGCATACAAGTGAGGATAATTGCAGTTTTGAAGAGTTGATTGAGACAGCCGATAAAAAATTGCGTCAAAAGTTTGCCGTACTATTTGAGGCTGAACAACAAACCGCCATGGCCATTGCTCTAAGTTTAGATTTACCAAAAATTGAAGATCAATTCAAAGAGATTATTGGCCCAAAGAGAGTAAGTAATTCTCACAGAATCGTATTGACAAACTCATATTTAATCAATTTGAAATTTTATAGATCGATACATGGAAATACACAAACAAAAATAGCATCATGTATGTCCCGGATGGTGTTGAGCTGTCCAAAGCCGAACAATTGGAGCGAGTCGATAAAAAACAGGAAATAGAATACAACAATACACGTTTCAATGCGAATCCATTTAACGATCAACAGAATAAAGACACAATCACTGATTTGGCAAAAGCACAGTCAAACAATCTGAATGGTCGCGTTGGAATCGATGGAAATGCTGTAACAGCGTTATCAGAAAGAAATGTGCGTGGTTTCAGCTTTGTAGCAACACCGTCACCGCAGGTAATTTATTTTTTATCAATTTCACACTCATTCAGAAGTTAAATAGAACACTTCGTTTTTTCTTCCTATCACAGCCAGGTGTTGCCGAGAGTCCTTTAATGACATGGGGTGAATTAGAAGGAACACCGTTCCGATTGGATGGTTCAGATACGCCAGTTCGACCTTCATCGGGTCCATCATTTCGTATTGCTGAGACATCAAGGCGTGAAACGATTGCCCATTCACTGGCTGAAAAGGCTGGTGAACGAATGCGTAATCAAAAAGCAAAAGCATTGGAAGCGGCTCGTCGAAATATCTCCTCACCACATATTCGATCAACAATGGATCGTCTGGCATCAATGTCTCCCGCTGCAAAACGCTTGGCATCCTCGAGTATCGGTGTAAAAGATCACTTATTAACGCCTAGTCCAAGAACACCACTTTCACAAAAAACACCAGCCACTCCATCACCACTAATCCGACGAAAAACACCACTCGTTCGCACCCCATCATCCAAACAACGTCTTACCGACGATCTATTAAATATTCCAATCAAATCAAAGCGAAGCTAAGAAAAAAAAAACGTGTTGACTTGTGAAATAAATAAAAATTTGTATTTTTATGGGCGTATATGCTGGGATATGATTTTATTAATTAATATAAGCTTATAGGTTTTTAACCACATTTCGTACGCGATGCGTTCGAGCTTCTTGCAGTGTTTTCTCTAACACATTAATGATGTAAATCAAATTATTCGGATCGGTTTGAAAAACGACTTCTTTTTTGCGACTATGCGGTTGTTGTTGTTGCGAATCATCACTATTAGACTTGGTGACTATCGGTTGTTCAATTAAACCCAATGGACTTTTATTTTCGTCGACTTTTTCCGAATCCAAATGGAATTTGATCGTTATAAATGGAATAGATTGTTGAATTAGACTGCGTGACGCTACTCTGCCTTCTAAGCGCCATTCTAAATCACGAAATCGATATTCAACCAAACTTATTTGATCCAATACATTTCGAACGTATTCCTTTTTGCTGGTAACAAATTGCCATAGTATTGAAATGTGCTCTTTTGTAAATCCTGTCTGTTCAATTTGCGAAAATTCGTCTTCGGTCACCTAAAAATACATGAAAATTACCAATTATTGTTTTCTTTTAATTTCATCCATATTGAATTTACACATACATTTGTTTTTATTGAATTCAATTGAAGCATAATCAGCGCATTTATGGCATCTTGAAGGGCAGCTGTTGTTGTATTTAGTTTAGCTTTGAAAGGAAAAAAAATATATACACAACAAATGTTAACTTTGAATAGTCGATAAAAACTTGTTGATTGTTTTGATTGAAAGTATGTATTACTTGCGATGGCCTGGAATTTATTTGTATTGGAACCATTGTTCATGTAATCCAAAGTAACTTTGCATATCTCAATGGCAACTGAAAATTTAAAATCGTGGCATTCAATTTGTTTTTGCAGGGTTTCTTAAAAAACCAAAAAAAAAACACTGTGTACCTTCTGGACTATTTTCTCGCAGCAATTTCAAGTGCTCGCGTTGTTCGGTGTTTATTAAATACATGATTTTTTTCTTAGAGTTTAAAATGGAACCTCTTGCCGTCAATTCAATTGATTTTTTTCTGATAAAATTTGTTTTGACAGATCAAAAACAAAAAACAACGATAAAATAACATTTGACACATTTGACACTCTGGATAGATTTGTACTAAAAATGTCATTGTGTGTTCGGCAATAAACACAATATCATTGTGAATTAAATCACTTTGAGGTTAGAATCGATATTGTTGTCAAATCATTCAAACAATTTGGATTTTTGCGTCGTAGCTTTCGGTACATAAAACCCGGCAAAATAATGGAATTTGGTGAATTAATTGAACCTGATACACGTGCATTTTGGGGAAATTACGACGAATTTGACGAAGAGTAAGTTTCAGTATTGTCGCGAAAACTGCTAGTATAAATACCATTTTTTTTTCGTTTTCTAGAAATAGTCAAATTGAACCAACAGCACTGTCATGGAAATGGATGGACGAAGGAGAATCGTCGGGCGTAGAAAAGTTCAAAAATCTATTCATTATTGAAGGTCGGCAAATTTTCGATTTTGTGCAAACAACAATTTTAAAGAAAACAAGCCCATTGTGTCAAATTGATGGCTGCAAAACATCCGTCTACAAACTATCGACCGGTGATTATGTTTGTGTGTCTGAAGAAAATGATTTGGATCAAATTGCACAAATGACCGAACTGTTGATGCCATGGCTGGAAAAGGCTGAACAAACATACCTGTTTCCATTCCAATCGGCCTACACTTACAATACACAAAAAGAGTTTGATAAACGTTGTTTCATTCGTACAATTTCCAATGCAACTGCAACTCCAACCGAAAATGAACTTGATGGCATCGAAACAATGGAAGATTGTAACATTGTAAATGGCCTGTCGGCTGGTGGTAAGTGAATAATTTACCGAATCGATGTTTACACTGTTATAGCTGATTTTAAATGATCGATTTAATTTAATTTCAGTATCGACATGGCGACACGTTCACAAGCTACCCTTTACATGTTACACGATTTACATGGACTGTGTACAGGTCGATTCATTTGTCGGTTCATTGGTATTGAAATTGTTCAATCGTTTGGGTTTGAAATGTGATTCAAATTATGTTGTGAAAACAGTTAACAAATCAAATTTGTATATGTGAATCAAATGATAATATTCAGAAGTGTGAGCAAGAAAATAAAAATAATAATAAATTCTAAAATAAAACTTTACACAACAAACGGTATTTTATTTATTGTTTTCAAATCAAAGTTCGGTTAAATAACCCAAATGATCAAAGTTTCATTTTAAGTTTTTGAATTCGGAGAAAATTTAAATTGTCTGCGTGCATTTTCACATTGCATCAGTCGCAGCTGTTCACTTGGACGTTAAACAATGCAGTTCCATATTTAAATTCAACTTTGGTTATGTTTTGCAAACATTTGAAGAGCGACGCGCACAAACAACGAATGTTTCGTATGCGTAACAACGAGACACAACAACATTAACTAGAAACAGATGAACGAGAAAAAAATAACACGGTGACATTGTAGCAAATTATCACACAGCGTTGAACACATAAAATTCGCCGATTGAATGATGTTTATGATTAAATACGTGAATTTGATCTGATTTATGGCATTTCGAAGGCGATTCGAGTATAAATAGATTGTTCGCGCAACGGAAACAACATCAGTCAGTTGTCGTTCGAAGAGTGTGGATAGAGAGCATTTGACACACAATTTTTCGTCAGCATGAGACACATACTAAGTGTTATTCTAGTTTCGGGCATTCTATGTCACACACATGTAAGTGTTTTCGCGGTTTTGTTGCAAAATTATTTCCAACAAGCATAAATTGCTTTACATTTCTAATGTTTTTCGTGCTTTCTTCTTTTTCTTGTTCTTTCCAGGCATGCCTTCTTCATAAAGGATGTGGTTGTTCTGGCGGAGACAAAGATGGTTTCAAAGGCAATGACGTCTTCAAAGGACACGGCGGTTTCAAAGGAAACGGTGGCTTCCATGGCAATGGCGGCTTCCAAGGAGACGCTGGCTTCCAAGGAAACGGTGGCATTCAAGGAAATGGCGGCTTCCAAGGGAACGGTGGCTTTCAAGGAAACGGCGGCATTCATGGAAATATAAATTTTAACCATGCACAACCTGGTCAACCCAGCATTTGCTCGTGTGTTCAACAGGCAGTATTGCCCGCAAAGGTATATCCACTTCCACCAACAGCCGATGGACAATTTCCTCCACATTCATTCCCACCAAACGGACTTCCGCCAAATTCACAGCAGCCAGGATCGTGTTCATCTGGCTCATTTCCACCAGGATCGTATCCACCAGGCTATCCCTTTCCACCAGGTTTCCAAATAGGACCCTCGCCACCTCTAGCACCAATTACACCAGCCCCATTGACACCAAATCCAGGATCAAATAATATTCCATGTATGCCAGGTGTTTCAGGTGTTCCACTAGTTTGCAGTTGCGGAGCAAACGGCGCACCAGCTGCAGGAGTAGGAATAGACATAAACACTTCTGGACCGTCATTTGATGGATCATCTCAACACGGTTCAAATTTCGGAGGATCATTTGACGGGCCATCGCATCACGGTTCGAAATTTGAAGGATCATTTGATTTACCATCGAAACACAATTCGAAATTCGGATTGGGTCTAGGATGTTTAGATGGATCATTTGGTCTTTTTGGAGGTCTCAATGGCGGAGGTTCAAAATGTACAGTTTGTGCTCAATTGCCTAGCTTTCTTGCCAAAGGTATTGCGAAATGGAAATGCAAAAAGGGCTGTAGTGGATTTGGCGGCGGTGGTCTTGGTGGTGGTCTTCAAATCAAATGCGATGGTGACGAAGATTTTGTCACAATTAGTTAAGATTTTTTTCAACAAACTGCACAGTTTGTTGTTTATAGTGACTGATCTCACGAATATTTCAACAATTTCTCAATGTTTTTCTTTAGTGCACGATTTCGATTTCATTAGCGCGCGCACATTTTTATAACAATAACATCAATTCGATGATAACATCTAGAGGAAAACATTTTGGGAATGAAATATTCCGAATATGTTGTAAATTTGATAATTTTATTTGTCTTGTGAGCACACACACAAACACACACACAAAATTTGTATAATAAAGTGACAATGTCAATATTGAAATTACCCAAAGTGTTTTTACTCTATGTATGTTTTTGCATTCACATATCTCATTTCCCCTATCCCCTCGTCTTTGTCTCTCTCTCTTTCCGACCAACTTGCTTCTTTTTCTTGAATTGGTGGTTTTTCAGGCATTTCATCTTTTAGCATAGTATTTCAGCGCTTATCGATGCAATTGCCTTATTTTCTTTGTTTTTCTTTGTTTTGTACTTTTTTATCATTTAGGAATTCGATGAAGAATCATTGTTTAATGGTCCACCCAAAAAATGTAATTGTGGTGATCTTGTTCATGCTGATGGTTCAGGAGATGTTTACTTTAAAAAACCAGAAAAGTAATGCTCTTTATCTCTTTCTTTTGATTTGAAAGTCAATAGTTTAAGCACTCTTTTAACGCAAAAAAAATTCTCATTCTTAGGCCAAAAATACCAGCAGATCCAGTGAGTATAATGATTGCAATGAAAGCAGCCCAACAAACACTTAAAGAAGGTCAACTAGAATATGGTTTTAAGAAAAGACCCATCGAAGTACCACGTCGACGAGTCATTCCACCGAACGTTCCCGAGGAAAGGCTATACGATATGAATGCAAAAGTGATTGAATTTAAAAAGCCATCGTTTTCGGCTGAAAGTGAGTTTGACGATGAACCAGAATTCGAAAGTGATGAAGACGATCCAATGGTTAATGAGCATGAGAAAGAACACCGAGCGCCAAATCCAAATCATTTCTATTATTCAGATATCGGATTTAGTGAATTAAACAGAAACGATCAAAAATTCAAAAATATTCCAATTTCAACGACACCCGGCCCGCAACCGTTGCCACCAAATCCATATTACATGGGACACGTCGCCAATCTATCGCCCGAACAGATTTATCTTCAACAATTGTGGGACGCCTATGAAAGATCATATAAGTACCAACACCAGTGTCCAGCATATCAGACCTCTTTGACACGACGACGATGATATGTAGATGCGCAAGCAACTATTCATTATTGATTCTTTCACTTTAGCTGTGATATTTTTCTTCTTATTCTTCTTTTTATTATTATTAATTAAAACATATATTTTTATTATTATTATTTAAAATAAATCACGAAAAAAATGAATGATCTTGTAGATTAAGCGTTAATAAAATAATAATATAAAAATAAAACAATATGCCAACGCAAAACATACGCATAAACATTGTGTTCATTTCTTCAGTAGTTATGTAAATTGCGAATGACCTTTTCTCATGTTGATCCACACTTCTTTTGTTTGAATGGCCTCACATATGAATTACGTAAAAAAATTACGATAGATAGAGATAGGTAAGAAAAAGAATGAAAGAAAGAGAAAGAAAAAGTGTATCTTCTTAATGCAAGGTTTGTATGCTTTTTTTTACCATGCAATAACACAAAAAAAAGTGCTGAAGCCATCGACTTTTCAAGAGCAAGTTCAAATTAATGTTGTTTTTTTTGTCAACTGTGGCCGAAAAAAACTGCTGACGATTGACACAATTGTCCAACTATATAAATGGTTTAGCTGGCTTTGGATAATAATTCAATTTAAGTTGTTCGTTCAGTCGTTATTTCGTATCATCGTGGACATTCAGAAGCCAAAATGAAGTCTATTCTGGTGGTTTTTGTTTCGGCGGTCATCATAGGCCACAGTTCTGGTCACTATTTGGTAAGTTCTGTTTGAGTGAGAAAATTGCATTGAAGTGATCTCAAATTTTGTGTCTCGAAAGTCAAGTGTAATGTGGTGTTTTTACTTTTGATTTTGTGACAGCCATCTGAATCTTGTGGATGCAGTGGATCTAAACTATATGTGTCCGAATATGCTGATGAATCGCAGCCGCAATTAGAAAGAACTGATACGAAATATAAGTTTGATTTTAGCATTGAAGAGCCAAAAAAGAGTGAATCAAACCCTGAATTGTAAGAGAGATTTTTTCATAGATTTATTTGTGTCAAATATGCTTATTTGTTTCGTTATGTTTTTATTGCAGAAAATCGTATAGTTACAACATTGCATCGCAATCACGTGATAGCAAACCGGTTGAGACGAAATACAAATTTGATTATACAATTCAGGCACCAGCTAATGAACAACGTACCAGTGAATTAAAAGACGAACGAACTGCACATCACAAACACGGTAAGAACATTCAAAGAATTCAACAAATTTTTGCTGTGATTTGTTGAACATCTTTTTTTTTTGATTTTCAGAATGTCAATGTCAACAAGGTAAACCATGCTCCTGTGGATATAGCCCTGAACAATGTGCAATGCACTGTTCGTCGTCTTCATCGCCATCATCACGAAATCTATACAGTTCCGGATATGTTCTTCCAGTTCGTTATGATAACGATGGTGATTACGTCGTTTATGAATTGCCACAAGATGGTTCAGAACAACAATATGCGCAACGTATTCGACGACAAGCAACTGCTGATACAGTCAGTGGAATGACAAAATCAATCACTGGTATGATTGAGAACATTAAGAGTGCAATTCAAAGTAGATCAAGTGATTCGAATCTTCAAGGCGATTTGAAGGATCGCTTTACACAATTCAAAACTCGATTGCAAAGTCGTTCTAATAACGATGACGGTGAAAGCTCAGTAGGCTCGTCATTAGGTTCAATCGGTGCGGAAAAGTTTGATTCACTCAAGAAAACATTGAAAGATGGAGCCGGTAAAGTTGCACAAATATTCAAGGAGGTTACAAGTAAAGTCAACACACGCAGACGACGTCAAATTGCTTCAACCACTTCGACCTCATCATCATCTGGCACCACCACCAGCACCACTTTAGGCAAAGTTCCAGTGTTACGTGTGAAAGAGTATGAATCTGGTCGTGGAAAAAGTGACGAATACTTAAAATATTCGACTCAATCACGTGTTGAATTACCATCCAGCGACAAACGTAAATGGGACACCAAAGAAACCGAAAAAGCTACGCATTGCCATCAATGTGGTTCATCTGTGACAGAGTCTGTGTGCAAACAATGTGGATCACATCAACCACAATACATTGAATATGTTCAAGGCAAAGCAGTGTCATATTATCCCGGTGCAGTCAGATCCGAAAGCGGTGAGAAACCAACCAACGAACGTCGCTATATCTACGACCGTTATGGCCACAAATATTTGGAAAACAATGGCAATCTGCGTTTAATCACACCACAACAATATGACGAAGCCATTGTTCGAGATCAACCGAATTTTCCGGGTTTGGCTGACATTTTGAATAGCAAGAAAGACGTTATCCGGGAAATGAATCCAGTACCTGGACGTGTAATGGCACAACCTGATCAATTGGCTATCGATGCAATGGCATTGATTCGCGATATGTCTTATCGAAGTGCCGCCAATAACAACAACAACGATCAAAACAAACCAGAGAAACGCAGTACCGATCAAAATAAATGGCAACGACAATACGAACAAAAGACTGATAGCCGTGACACCAATAGAGCATCAACAACAACAAGTGCAGCCCGAAAACCGAAAAATGAACGATCACCACCACCACGTAGCATGTATCAAGTTGTGCCAATGCAATATGAAGGCAAAGATGGAAAGCTCGTTGTCCAAGTTTATTCATCGAAAAGTGATAGAACCAATCCAGTCTATCAAAAATACAACGATGAACGGCGTGCCAGTGAATCGACAACACCTGCCAAGAGTACCAATACCGACGACTCGAAACCAACCGTCCGGAAATTCACCAAAAATAACAAAGACTATGAAATTTTGAGTTTCGAAGACTACAAAAACACTTCCAATGAAGATGTTCGCCACATTTTGGAGCATTTACATGGTAAACAATCGTGGTGATAAAAATCAATTATTTTTTTTTGTTTGGCAAACAACAACGCAGCAGCTTTTTATCGATTAATATTTATTTTAAACCGAAAAAAGCCATTGTATATTTATTTGTATTTTGTAGTAAACTCAATTGTTTTTTTTGTTTGATTTTCAATAAAAATGAAAAATCATAAATGTGTAAAATGAATGTTGTCTTTTCGTTTTTCTTCGTCTTGTGTTACAGATTATAGGAAATTGTTATGTTTAGCATGCACGTAATCTGAATTTGCTGATGAATTAAGCTTGTGTAAATGCATTTCTAGTGTCATTCATAAGAATGCCATAATATTTTGATGAGAGCGCGTAAACATTTAGAAAATAATAAATATGCCATTTGCATGTTGGCAAATGCATTCAAAGTGTATATATGTATGTATTAAAAATCGTAAATATTTTCAACTTTTATTCAATGTTATGACGATGCATAGATGTATGAAAACATCGTTCAGAAATCGAATGAATGGATACACCGAATGCGACGATTCATTGACTATTTTTTTTTTTTTCACCAAACAATTTTAACTAGAAATTTTGAGATTGTGGCACGTACACATTTATAATCCAATGGAATTCTAAACTGAATTCATTCAACTCAGCAGACAGAGCATTGATATAAAAGCATCTACATTCAATGCAATTCAATCAGAGTACAACGGTTGCTTATCGCATTCATATCGTATCTCGGCAAAATGAATACGATGAAGACAAGTTTGGTTATCTTTGCTCTTTTGAGCACACACTGTGCCTTTATGGCAAAAGCTCAGTGTTCGGGATCCGGTGGTTCAAGTTCGCCATTCGCTCCGCAAGGGTCACCATCACCCTTCCTTCCACAACCTATGATTTCTTATCCATCACCACCGTCGCCACCGTCACCACCACCATGTACTCGTAAGTCGTTTTTTCATAATTTATACTCCTTGCAACTTGAAACGCCTGAACAATTTGAATGTTTCATTTTATGCAAAGTCAGTTGATGTTTATAATAGTTAATGTTTTTTTTTATTTATAGCTTCGGGCTCATCGGGACAATCAGGACCATCACCGTTTGCACCTTCTCCATATCGTAAGTATTTTTCGTTTTAGTCTGATTCAAAGTAAAATCTTATTTCAAATTGGAATTTAATTAGTTTGACAAACCATTCTGCTTGCACTCAAAATTTAATATAATATCTAATGATAATTTTTTTTTCGAATATATAGCTTCTCCAGCACAACAACAACCTCAGTACGCTCCATATCCATCACAGCCAGCACTTGGTCCATCACAACCATCTTTTGGATCTCCAAGCTTCGCACCAGCTGCCCAATCACCTCAATCTGACGGATGCGGTTCATGTAAGTATTTAATCGATGCCATTTAAATGTTGATTTGAAACGTATATTCGATACCATACTATGAATTGTGTTTTTTCTTCAAATGTTTAATGTTAAATGTAATTTTTATTTATTTAATTAAATCAATTTTAAAATCATCTAAATCGAGTCAAATTATACGATTTTCATGAGATTCGCAGTTCATCATTTCGTATCTGTTATAAAGTAGGTTTAATAATGATTATTTATTGTTATTTCTAGCTTCACCTGCACAAAGTCCCTCATTCGCACCATCTGCACCTCAACCCGCCCCAGTATTCTTACCAGCTGCCCAATCTCCTCAATCTAATGGATGCGGTTCATGTAAGTATTTAATCAATGCTATTTAGATATTGATTGAAAAATGTATATTTAATATCATACTATGAATTACTACTTCTTTCTTCATATATTTAATGTTCAATGTAATTTTTTTTATTTGTTTATAGCTTCGGGATCGGGTTCTTCACCATTTGGTCAATCTGGCCAATCTGGCCAATCTGGCATGGTATTCCCACTCCCACCACCATCATACGCACCAGGACCAGCAGCATCACAACCATCATTCGCACCATCTGCACCTCAACCCGCCCCAGTATTCTTACCAGCTGCCCAATCTCCTCAATCTGATGGATGCGGTTCATGTAAGTATTTAATCCTAGATTTAATCAATGCTATTTAGATTTTGATTTGAATCGAATGTTCAATATCATTCAATGAATTGTTTTTATTTTTCATGTATTTAATATTGATTTTTTTATTTATAGCTTCCGGATCGGGTTCTTCACCATTTGGTCAATCTTCGCCAGGCTTCTCATCACCATCACAAAGCCCAGCACCGGTTTTCTTGCCTAGCCCACAACAACAAGCACCAAGTTTCGCTCCCCCAAGCTATGCACCACAACAACAGCAACCAAGCTATGCCCCACAACAACAGCAACCAAGCTATGCACCTCAATCTTCACCAGCAAATTATGGTCCTCAACAAAGCTATGGTCCACAAGCCGCTCAAAAACCAAAAATCTTTATCAACAAACAAGCACCAATGGTCATCAATCGTAGACCACAAAGTTTTGTCGTCAATGCTGGCGCTCCAGTTATTATTAAACCTGCACCTGTTGTCATTCAACGACCAGCCCAATCGGAATACCGTCCATATATTGAAACCGTTACATCAGCACCGATCATTGTCAACAAGAAAATCATCAAAATTGAACGGCCAGTTGTCAAGAAATACTATCAAGAAGCATACTCAGAAACCGTTCCAAATGAATCCGGAAGCCAATCAGTCCCTGTGCCAATTAATCCATCATCTCTTCCAAGCCAATGCCAAGACTCAGGTAGCTCATCGTTCGGTAGTGGTTCACCATTTGGTTCATCGCCATCATACGGTAGCCCGGCTCCAGCTCAGCCAATGTTTGCTCAACCAGGTAAATTGATTTACAATTCAACTCCAAAAATACGAATTAGATTTAATAATTCCAATAAATACATATCCTCACAATCAAATGATAATTTTATTAACAAAAAACATATCTTTTTCATTCAAATAGCACCTTCACCAGCTTTCGATAGCATGTCACCAAGCTACGGTTCGCCTTCGTATGGCCCATCTGCCCCATCATTTGGATCTCCATCATACGGTTCATACGGTTCATCCGGTTCAGCTGCTCCAGCTTTTTCTGCTCCTTCAGCTCCTGTCTACTCGGCTCCTTCATCACCTGGTAAGTTAACTTTTTGGTTTATACATCGTGTCTCTAATAAAATGAACAATAACTTTGTTTTCAAGTCTTTAAGCATCAGTTTATGATTTTATAAAACTAATTGATTTTTTTTTTGTATTTTCATAGCACAAACAATTCAGGCTTCCGATTGTGTTCCCCAAGATATAAACGCTCTTATTGCTGGTGCTTCCCCATCGGGAGCTGGAGCCTCAGGAGCTGAACAACCAAGCCAAGCCTTACCCGGACCAAGTGGCGGAAATTCTGGATCACCAGGTCTATGCTATTGCCCATAGTCTGAAATGTGTATGAACGGCTTTTGAATAAACGAAAAATAAAAATTAAATATCAAATCCAAATGACTTTTATTTTATCTTCTGCAAATTCATTATATTGAAATCAAATTTCAGCTTCTGTCGATCAATTTTCATTTTAGCCATTTGTTGTAATACAGAACACTTAGATAGCATCTTTGTTGCTTGTTTGAACAAATTCGTTTTTCGCAATTCTATTTTAAAAAATGTCCATTGAATTCAAATCCATGAAATGTTTCAAAATAAATAGCGATATGGATTATGTAGCTCGGCATCAACACACAATGCATCGCAATGGAATAAAGACACTTGTTTTTTAAACATCTCAAATATTAGCCATCATAATAATAATAGTTGCTGATGTGCATTCGATACATGAGTTAAAAGTAAATTACCATAGAAGTTACTCAGAAGTTACAGCCATTGAAAGACACCAAAAAAAAAATCTGAAAAATCGAATTTTATTCGTTAAAAATAGAATCAAACATAGTTTCTTTATTAGCCTTACTTACGTTTGCCCATAAAATCATGCACAGCGAAAAGAAAAGAACTTTAATTAAAAAAAATATATTTTTTTTTTCATTTTTTTGAATGCTTTATTCATAAAATTATTTGCGTGATTTTTGGAAAAACATTGCAGATGTTTTGAGTTATTTTGGATCCAATCAAACTAATTGTTAAGATAATTAATTTTGTTTTGGGGGGAGTGAAATTATTTTTCTATATACACAATACACGTATATATTTTTATATTATTTAAATTTCATTTTATTCGTGATCTTTCTCTCTCACACACACTTTTCATTTTCCTTTTAATTCATGTTTTTGTTTGTTTGTTTGTGTGCTTGCTCACTAAAATTCAGGAAGAATAAAAACGAAGTTAAAAATAAAAATTTGTTTGATGTAAATAAACAATTACTTTTGTTTATTACAAAGAAAACACATAATACACAGTATAATGTTCCTTGATATACATTTAGCGTCATTTTTTTTTTAAATATATTTATTTATAGAACTTTTTTTAATTTGTTTCAGTTTTTCATTGTATGCTATTTTTCTCGTTCGATTTTTTAGTAGCTTTGACAGAAATTTTCCAAAGAATTTTTTTTGTTACTTTTTGTTTATTTACTAAATTATGTTTAAAATACATAATCTATAACGTGAAAGGTGAATAAATATTTGAATTAATACAGAAAATGCAAATGCATTTATTTCAATATTAACTGCCTTAGATGTGTGTGTGCTTATCTCATCCATTCGCAGTTGTTTGTTTGTCTATTTTACTGGTGTTTTATTCTCATATTCTCAAATTGAATTTACTGTTTGTTTAAATGTGGTTGTTTTCTTCTCTACACGACAATTTGCCTATTTCTTTTCAAAATAATTTCTCTACTCATCTACGTCATCGTGGTAGAATTTATAGTGGTGTGGCGTATTTTTCTTAATTCAGCTAAAAATGTGTAATATTATTGCATGGATGTTTGCCCCAACCCTACACGTTCATTTACTCACGAAAAAGAAATCTATCCTCTCTTTTTAAATCACACAATTTTCCATTTGAAAAATCCAGTTTTCTAATTCTCTCTATCTGGTTTCTTTTCTTTCTTCATTGTGAATACAAGCCCTAAAGGCTCGTTGCAGGAATCACCAGAATTGTAGCAACTCAGTGGAACACATATGAGAAAAAATATAATTAATTTAAAATAAATTTGTATAGATGAAATGTAAAAAATACAGTCAAACTCTCTTCCAAAAAAAAATCTAATAAAATTATAATGTAAAAAAATAATAATATAATCCTATAATTTTGATCTAAAAATCGTATTCTCATTTGTTTTGCAAGGTACTGGATATTTTTTTTTTATAAAAAAAACGGAACCACTGGAAATGTCTTAACTTAAGTGTATTGAATCTTTGACCCTTCTTTACTCTTCCACACTCTCAACATTCACACGGAATTTTGGCTTTTATTAAATACACACATTTACTGTTTTTAGGTATTTCAATATTGATTAGTATGGTGACTGCATTGGAGGTTTCAATTATAATATATTTATATATGTTTGTGTCTGAGTGTTTGATTTTTTTTTCAATTTTTGTTTTTCTAAATTCAATTTATGCACATTATTAAGCAAGAATATGTGGTTGAGATAAAATCATCGTTTTGAAAAAGCATTTTCAATTTAAACCACTGCCATATGTCGCTCCAAACTCCGTAAATTTAATCTGTATGATCATTTGTGATTTCTGCAGCATTTTCTTTCCATTTAAAAAAAAAAACTTGTTGTCGTCGTCAGTGCAATCGTCTTAATATCAATAATAATAATAAGAAGAAGAACACAATTTTATGCAAGATCATTTCAGGCTTGATCTACATTTAAAAGCGTAGTAGCTTGAGTTCACATTGATGCGCCGTATAATTCACACAGTTACTCTCACACACACACATTTAATATCTTGACAAAACAATTAGGATAAATGGAAATAGAATTAGGAATAAATGCTGCAGAAGATGACAGTACATGTTAGCCATCATACATATAATATATTCATGTTGATAAAACATCTTACGATTTACACAAAAAAAAATTGGATATTTTTTTACTTCTTTTTTTTCTCTCTTTTAAATACACGGTATAGAGACATAAATTATCAAAACAAAAAAAAAGTTTGAAATGAATGTATGTGTACTTGCAAATATACGATTTTTAAAACGTATATAGAGTTATTCATTTAAAGATTATTTGGGAGGGTATTACAATATCTTACAAAAAAAATTGTTAAATTTGTCATTTTTGTTGGTTGTCCACGACTTATTCGCGACAACATTGTCTACTTTTTCGCTCTCAATCGATCGTTTATTTTCGCTTATGGACACTTTCTTTAACGCCACAGTCTTCGATTTTTTTATGCTTTGCATGTGCTAATAGTGTGACCAATTTTTTATGTGAATCGCCAACAATCCAACCATGTTGCTCCAGATGATTTTCATTGTTGTGTTCGTCCTCATTTTCACTGTCCGCTTCGATTCGACCGAATTCTTCATCACTTGACGACGACCAATAGTAAAGCATCTCAGATGCGATTCGCTTTCGTCGTGGCATTGGTTTACCCTCTTTTGTTGATTTGCCACTTGATTTTTGTGTTGATGTTGCATTTTCGGTGTCTTTGATTGATTTTCTCTTTTCGCTGGCATGTTGGGTCTTGGTTTTTTGTGTCGATTTTTTCACCAATTTTTCTTTTGATTTTATTTTCGATGATTTTTTTTCGACCAAATCTTCGCGTGACATTATTGTACGACGTCGATTACGAATTTTGGCTCGTTTCGCTTTCTTATTCCAGTGTTCATCGAAATCGCTTTCATCTTCCGATTGGAATTTTTCCGACGGTGTTTTCTTTGCCTTTGATTTTTGAGCCATTTCTTTCTTATCCTCATCCTCGTCGATCTCACTCAATTCATTATTGTCGCTTGGATTCGTTTCAATTTTCACTTTTCGATTCGTTTCTTTTGATTTATCTTTTTTTGAATCGGACGATGGTTTTGTCGCTTTTTGTTCAGTCACATTTTGATTTTCTTCCTTTTCAACTGTCACAGATGCTGACGCTGATGCTGCTGCTACTGTTGCTTTTGCTTCGGCATTTTGTTTTTGTGATCTGGCTTTGGCACGCTGTGCTTTCATTTCAGCTTCTTGAATCAATGCGATAATATCTTTTGTTGTGTGAAATTCTTCATATTCATCCGAACTCCATGTTTCGACCAGTTTATTTTGGCGATTTGCTGTGCATCTGCGTTGTGCTTTGCGCATTCCAACACCGATAATGCCCTTTATTTGTTCGACGGACATGCCCCATTCGGCTTCCAAATTGGCCACTTCACGTGATTTGCATGATTTACGTGATTTGCCTACAGCACGTTGCGATTGTTCAAGCGATTCCAATTGGCCATCGATTAAATTATCGGTTTTCTTTTCGGTTTTGATTTCTTCAACTTTTGGCGTTTTTGCACGAGTACTGGCTCTGGCGGGACTTTTATTTTTCAAATTATCGAAAATTTCATCGAGCTCATTCTTTGGAATTGGCTTTTGAACGGATGGCTTTTCTTTGGGCTCAGTCGATGGGGTCGCTGTCAATGTTGCCGCTGTCGTTGTCGACGTTGCTGTTGAAGTTTCACTGTTTTTCTTTGCGTTTTTGAAAATTCGACCCATGATTAAGCATTTCTTTTGTGAATTATTCGGTGGTTTGGTGCTTTTTGATGATTGCGTCGTTTCACGATCACTATTTTCATCTTCATCAATGGGATTTTCTTGATCTTCCGTTCCACTGCCACTGACCGAATTGAAATTGTAGTAATCATCACGATCCGAGTAGCTTGACTCGTCTTCTTGGTCGTCACTTTGCTTTTTCGGTGTTTCCCTTGAGCTCTTCGATGGCGAGTCAATCGGTGTTGAGCGTAGTTCGGTTTTGTTTAGTCGAGTGTGTGTCATCGGTATGATTTCATCTTCCACCGAATCGTGTGACTCTTCAAAGTCATACACGTCTTTTGGTTTAGTGGTGTCCACTATTTTCGGTGATGATTTTACTTTACTCGATGTGCGACACTTTTTTTTACGATCTTTGTAACCAGTTTTTTTACCAATCGATTGGGCTCGTTTTCGTGTTCTTGGCGATACATGGAACGATGCTTCAAATGACTTTGTTTTCAATTCGATCGAATGTAGTTTTGCCGAATCAGATGTGACCACAAATAAGCCGGATGACTGCTTCGACGTAGGGCTCTTGGACGAGGCGTTTGATTTTTGTGGTGATTTCATGTTTTTTGATTTTTCACCAGCTGTCGATGCACGTGGTTCAATCAAATCGAATGGAACGTCATTGCCAAGAGCGATATCAGCCAATGCGGCCAATTTACATCCATTCGAATTGGGGCTGCGATCAAGAGCATGCTGCAAATCTAGGCCAGATGTTGGAATGGACACTTTAAGATTTTCGTAACCTTTGAGCGCGGCTTTCGTACGTGGACGTGATAACGATGAACTTTGCGATGATGTCGAATGAAGTGGTGAATCCAAATGTGATCTGCAAAAAAAGAAACAAATTAACTTTGATGCTTAAGAGAAAGAAATTTTACTATATATCGAAACTATATCTGAATACCTGTTTGAAAATGATCTAAAATCAACATTTTCGTGTGGTAGTGATGCTTGCATATAATGACTTCCTTCACCTTTTTGCGGTGTATTGTGTGAATGTTTGGTGGCTGTTTCGGGAAAATGATTTGACCGCTCCAGAATGGTTTGTGCATAATTTTCACTTTCGCTTGCATCCTGCGACGATGGAAAACTATCGCCCATATCCGAATATGAATCTGGATAGTTTCGTACGATTGTTGAACTATGCGGATAGCTTGAACTGCTGCTGGATCGTGCCACTTTGCCACTGACTGATGCGACATCTGTATTTTCATTTGATTGACGTGCGCCAAATAGGTTGGCATCTTTTTCACGGCCACCAATTGGTTTCGATGGCGTTGAACGTTCCAGTGAAAATACTTTGTGTGTTTTCGATGAGCTCGGTACTTGTGGACACGAATATGCTGGATTTGAATCCGATGAAATATCACTGAATTGATTGATATCTAATTTTGGAAGACCGGGCCGTGGACTTGAATGAGATCGTGGCGATTGTGCGGCGTGTGCAATATTCGATGATTGTTCATTACATTTTGGTGTTACTGGTTTTGTAATGACTTCGGGTGGCATATTTAAGCCAACGGTTGGTCGATCCGATCCTTTAAGCATGCTACAACATTCGTAAAATAGTCGCTCTTCTTGGCTAAGCGTTAAACGTGAATTCAATGTCGATGTGGGTGTTAAACTATTTTTCGGTGTTCCATTGAAACGTGATGCTTGCTCAGGTGATGAGATCGGTTCAATGCAACTTGGATTTATGTGATTCGGTGATACATATGGCGAGCAATTTGTACTGTTTGTTTTAACCGGTGAACTTCGAATCACTGACGATTGAATGTTTTCATGTGTTTCGGATGGTACGATAATTTTAACCGGTGGAACAATACTCTCAGCTATGACATTCTTTTCACTGTTTATCGCTTTCTCCTCTTTTGGCAATTTAATTTTTTCCTCTTTTGTCACCACACCACCGCTTTGTTGCTCCTCATTTGTGACTTTGTTTTCATTTTGTTTTTCTTTTGTTGCGCTCAAAAATTCTTGTTCGGACAATTTTGAAATGTGTGTTATCGTTGCCTTGTGATTATTCAAACCGTTTTGATTGCGGAATGATTTATTACAAATGTCACAGAAAAACGATACCGTTGGAGATGCAAATAGACGTCGTTCTTTGCTCTTTTTCGATTTTCGGCTCGATGACAAAATCGATTTCTTTCGGCGCTTCTTTTTGCCACCGCCACTTGTTATTGAAGTTGATTGTGAAAATGTTGTATACACACTTTCATTATCCTCCAGATCCATATCGATCAATTCGGTGTTGGTATTTTCATCGTCCGAATCATTATTATCGTCATCATCGTCAATATTGTTAACGTGGCTCAATTCCTTTGCATTCAATTCAACAATATTCTCGTTACGTTCATTTTTAGCACTTTCCTCCAAATTTTTGTTTATGTTTGAAACTAAGGCACTTATATCACTTTGAACAGCTGCTTCGGACAGATCATTTAATGGCGATGTAGAGAAACCGCAATTGTCTGGTTTCTTTGGCAAACCTTTGGCAACATCAGCAAGACACAATTCTTCATCGGAATCGGTTCGATCGGCCTTTTCACGAATTTTACTCACAATTTGTGAAATAATTGTATCTTGTGAATCATCATTTTGCAGCGATGGTAAAAGTGAAGACGGTGTTGTTGAATGTTCTGTTGTCGCAACGATTGTTGCTGCTATTGATTTTTTTGCAGCTTTTGTTGCTATTGATTTTTTTACCGCCTTCGTTTCTGATGTTGTTGCCACTGCAGATGGTGCCGTTTCATCGACCACGAATGCGCTATTCAAATTCTGTGATACCTGATTGTGCAATTCCTTACGATTTGATTTTTCTAATGCAATCGCAATTTTGGCAATATTCATATCGGATTCAATCGGCGATTTTGGATTTGTGTCAACCGATTTATGTTTATTCTTCTCTTTTTTCGTTTTATTATTGTGACGTTGCGTTTCAAGTTTTTGTGCTAAAATAATTTTTAATGGTGGCTGTTCGTTACGCAGCGAATCGAAGATATCATTCATTGCAGCCTTGGTTGGCTGTTGCTGTTGCTGTTGTGTTGGTAGTATTTTCGGTGGTTGTGGTGGTGTTGGTGGTGATGCCTCAGATGGAACTTTCACAGCAAGTGTTTCACGGAAAGATAAAATACTCGGTCGAAGCAATGGTTTTTTCGGTGCATTTATTGAACTATTCGAACACGAAGACGACGATGACGATGAAGATGAAGATCGAATCGATGTTTTGATTGATTTTTTCAGTTTTTTCTTTGAAATTCGTGCAAATAGATTTTTGGCCCGATTTTTAACGACGCCAAACATTTTTTGTTTCTGTTTTCCACTTTTGTCACTTGTGCTCACTGTTGGACTGGTGCGACCCCAGAAATTCAATTTACTGTCGTTTGCCAATAATATTTTATCTTTATCGACTTGGACATTCAATGTTGGTTTATCGATGCCACTTTGCCATTGTGGGAAAACCACATTTTTGATTGACGGCACACGGGACAGTGCCTCTTTGTCAGCCAAACCAATGATGTCATTTAAACGTTCTTTCTTTTGGCTTAAAAGAACTTCGGTGAATATTGAATTTGTTTTTGATTTTTCACTGCTGTCCGAGCTCATGGTATCGCTGGTCACCGACGAGGTAGGGGCACTTTGTGACTTTTCTGCTGTCGATTCGCTGAGTAAACTCTTTTCCAATACTTTATCAACGGCAATGTTACTGTTTATATTCGATGTCGATGATGCAATGAAACTCTTTTTGTTGATATCATCGTTTAAAGGAGTGTCCGTTAAATCGTTCACAATTTTACTCGCAACGCTTTCCGATTTCGTCGAATCCGTAACAATGATGGCATTGGTTTCATTGTTATTTTTCTTTTTTGCATCTTTTTTCGACGATTTTTTCTTTGATGATTTTTTCTCTTTTTTCGCTTTGCTCGCTGATTGCATAATTTCCTTTTCAGATTTAGTTTCAACTTGATGCTGGCTACTCTCTTCCATTGAACTTGAATCCAGTGCGGACGCTTCTTTTTCATCACTCTCTTTTGAATTGGATTTTTTACGCACATCCGATTTGGACTTTGACGACTGTTTTTCACTCTTTTTCGGTTCAATGTTTTCGAATAGTTTTTTCGATTTACGTTTTGGAATGGGTGTTGTTGATAGGCTGGTCGAAATTAATTCGGCTTCACTTTGTGACAATGACAGATCTTGGATCTTTTTCAATTCATCCACACGCGATTGATCGACTTCTTTGAAACTTTCGAGCAATTGATCGGCAATAATTTGAGCCAATTCACTTTTTCGTTTCTTTTTTGGTTTGGGCACCATTTTTACTGTATCCATTTCGTTTTCCTGCTCAACAGGCGTTTCGGGTGCAGCAATTAGAGGGGGTGTTATAGATTTTTCAACGAGATTTTCAGCAACAGCCAACACGTCGGTCGTTTGAATGAAACCTTTTTCCGGATCCCATGGCAAAAGTTCATCATCGCTATTGTCAAAGCTCATCGTGTCCTGCTGTGCAGGTATCTTAATAGTTTTCACATTCTTTTCACCATTTTTCACTTTTTTCGTCTTTTTCTTACTATTCTTATCAGTCTTTGTAGTCAATTTTTCACTTTGTTTCTTTGTCAATTTGGGCTTTTCAACTGTTTCGACCACGGTGGGTTGAAGTTCTGGTTTTGACTCTATTATGTCATCGGATATTACAACCGTTTCGTCATCGCCTTGTTTCATTTTCAATTCACTAGATTCTTGACTGTTTACAATAACTTCAGGCAATGGCTTGTTATTTTCGTCATCCACTTTTTTGTCAACTTTATTCATCGACGACAATTTACTTTTGGACTTTTTATTTTGTGGCTCTTTTGCGGCCAATTTTGATGACTTTTCTTTTTGAATTTTTTCATTTTCATGTTTTTCATTTATTGACTTCTCATTGTTTGGTTCAACTAGTTTACTCTCTGTGCTACTTTCTGTTGCCGAAAGCGATTCAATTACAACATCTTCTTCCACTTCCGTTGAATTTTTCGTCTCTTTTGATGGTGTTTTCTTTTTTGAAGCGCTTGAAGCAGCAGCAGTGGCAGTAGTAGTGTTTTCTTTTGACTTTACCACTTTTGCTGGTGATTTTTTCTTTTCTGGTGGTGACGGAGTTTCTAAAACTTTCACATCTTCGATTGGCTGCTTTGCACTGCGCGTTGTACGATTCAATTTGACGGTGACTTTTTCGATTGGTGTTGATGTCATTTTTTCTTTCGATTCTTCGCTTTTAGTTGGCTTCACTTTAGCAGCACTTTTCTTCGGTGAAATCTCTTTTTTCGGTTGTTTCGTGTCCGTGATGCGATGCTCAATCGGAATTATATTCGTTTTGATTTCATCCTCAATATCAATTGCTTCACTTTCAGTTGGATTCGATTTGGCTTCATTTGTCGGCACACTCACTGCTTCAACGTTTACTTCTTCGGTTCTTGGTGGTTGTTCAACATTAGCTGCTGCTTTTTCTTCGGTTGTCTTGTTTTGTTTGGTTGATTTTTTCTTCGATTTTGGTGTGAGTTTTTGCTTTACAACATCCAAAACTTCTTCCGTCGCCTCATTCGAAATAACATCAATTTGTGACTTAATTTCAGCCTCTTTACTACTATCAATTTTATTATTGTCGTCTCCCCTTGGTTTCGGAGTGTCTGGTTTTGGGCTATCCAATTTTCGTTTGCGGGCCTTTGTTTTTGATTGTTGGTTTTTCTTTGTTTGAATTACACTTTCATCCAGTGCATTTTGCACAATTTCCGGACATTTTTCATCAGATTTTACTTCTTCACTTCCGCTCAACGGCTTTGTGTCATTATCGGTGGATTTTGTGGCTGAAACCGGTTCTGCTATTTTTTCAATTGGATTTTCAACTGGCATTTCTTTTGGCTCAGATGGAGTTGGCTCTTGTTTTTCAATCGTAGATTGAGTATCAACTTCATTCGAGTCTTTTGTTAAAATTTGTGAAGTCTCCCTTGTTTTTCGGTTTCGACGCTTTTTCAAATCATCGGCGGGTGATGGGACGACTTCAATTGTTTCCACATTGCTTTGAATTACCTCCAATTTTTGCGGTTCGGTTTCTTTGATAGAAACATTAACGACACTATCTTTGCACGGATCGCAAATTGCGGTGCTCTTTTCACTTTCGGAAACATCTGTTTCTGGTTGTTTTTCAACCGTTACTTTTAAATCGACCGATTTATTCGTAGTTTCAGTCGGTGGTTCAATTGGAATTTCCTCAACTTGTAGTAGTTTAGTTGCCTCTTCACTTGGAGTAGTTTTCTCTGTAGCTGCAGTGTCTTGTTTTTCTGCTTTGTTTTGTTCATCGGTCACTGGTTTTGATTGTGATTTTTCACTGCCTGGGCTTAGAATCGGCAATAATGCCGACGATTCATCGATGAATGGAACGCCAAGTTTTTCTTGAAGTTTTCCCGTTAACATTGCAATGCAATCGTTCAATTTCCGAGTGCGACGACGTGGTGAAATATTATCTAAATGAGGTTCGGGAGGTTGAAGTGTACTATTTCCAGATGTCTTTTCATCGATTTCTTTTGTTGAATGGGCTGCATACAGATTTTTCTGTGGTGAAATGCATAAATTCAACGGTTCATCTAACGGTTGAATTGAAACTGTTAGCGGTATGTTTACCGGCGTTGAAGAGGTTTTCTGCATTTCGACTTGTGGTACGGCCTCTTCAATTTTTTCCAACACTTGTGACGTTGGTTCGGTTTGTTTTTTGGTCTCATCTTCTGTCGTATCAGTTGATTGTTGTTTCTTTTCGTTTGAAATTTCATCGGTGAGAACCGAATCGGGTGGAGTGGCGGCGTTCGTTTGATTTTGACATTTGGCACGCATTTCATTGATTATCGTTTTGATTGAACGCTTGCGTCTAAGACGTGGAGTTTCGGGCATCGCAGACGCTTCAGACACTGTATCCGATGTCTTCGCACTTGCTTCAATATCTTTCTCGTTTTCTTGCACTCTATTCTGTTCGATGGTGGTGACGACATTTTCTTCTGACTTTTTACTCTCACCATCATCACTACTACTTTCTGACGGTTTTTTTTCACTGTCTGATGTAACTGGTGCCGCTGATGACGATGACGATGATTGGTTCATTCCAGTTTCATCATTTGGTTTGTCATTTTTTTCAGCTTTTTTATCCATTTTGGTGGCGTTTCGATTGGAGCGACGAAAAGATAACGTTCGTAAAAATGTCTTTTTGCTTTTCGTTTTTAATTTATTTTTATCTAACTTAGCGCTATTAGTGTTTTTCGATGTGTTTGGTGAATGATGTGTTGTTTTTGTTGTTGTTGTGCGCAATAGACGTTGTTTTTGTCCGCGTCGAAAGGTATTTGTTAATTTTGTGACTACAGCTTTTGTTCGACGACGAAACATGCTGCCGAGATCATTGTTCAATTTCAATTTTTTACTTTTTGCCATTTCATTGACTGGTTGATTCTTGCTACTTGACGATGCCGATGACGATGATGATGCCGATGATGATGATGTTGATGGGGCTGGTGATTTCGTGATGATCATGGTGGTTGTTGTTGCTGCTGCTGTTGTAGTTGATTTGCGACCACTTGATTCATTTGTTTTTGCATTTGCGGTAGTCGTGGCTGCTGCATTCAACGATGATCGTGTTCGTCGTACAATTGAATTAGCTGTTTCAACGCTACGCCGCTTTCTTAAAGCTAAATTTGTTCCAACGGAATTGATGGTTGTGCTGCTTGTTGAAACCACCTTGAAACCACGTGAATTACCCTTTGATTTTTGTTTTAGCAGGATTTTCTTGCGATTCAATGCATTTGGCAAAAGTTTTTTATTTTTGTTGTTTGGTTTCGGTGTCAGATTCGGGAAGATTTGTCGCACGGCTCGCTTTGCCGGCAAATTGGCTAGCATTCGCTGAATTGATTCGGCTGCAAAGAAAAAGAGTCATGAATATACTAATAATCAGAAATGGAAAATAAAAAGTGTAGCAATATCTTACCATCACTTGGTCGTTGTCTGGGTGTTGATGGTTCTTTTGATTTTTGTGAAGCGCTCGTGTCGCTGTTGCGTCGTTCTTTTTTCGGTCGTGGAATTTTGCGGGCACTTTGCGAACTCGATCGTTGCTGACGTCGTCGTTTCGTACCGAAATATCGATATTTTATGTTGTTTCTCTTCTTTGCCAAAATCCAAGCATAATCACTCGAACAATCCAACATGTGACGATACAAATCCAAAGTTCCTTTACACTGACGTTGGCATTTCGAGCATGTTTTAGTTATGGTCAATGTCCGTTCCGACGAACTGTTTGCATTTTCATCATCGGCCGATGCTGAATACGAACGATCCGATGCGGACGCAACCGACGACACACTGACTTTGGAATTACGTGAATTTGAATCCATATCGAATGAATCACTTTTGGTCAAACTCATTGAACACGATGTGATGCTGTCCATTGAATCTTCGGCGGTATTGCAAATACTATTAAAGAATTGCTTTTTATGGTATTCATTGCGTTGTTGCAGTGCCAGCGATGGAATATAAAAATTACGGAATAGATTTCCGTCGATCAATTCTTTGCCAACAATTTCATAATGAGTTGAATGAACATACGGATGTTTTGATGCTTTATGCTCTTCAAGTGTACGTACGGTTGAAAATAGAGAACCACATCCAAAACAAATGTAGCAACGCGGTCGAGCCCATTCACCGCTCAGTATGACGGCTGATTGTAAATTATCAGTGCGTTCACGTTTTATCAAATTCATAAGCGCTGGAAATTCGGGGTCACGTTGATAATCAGCGATTGAAGAATGCAATGCTAATGCATTTGTTGAATTTATTTCGCTGCAACGAGGATCATCGATTACCTCTAGCTTTATGATGGATTGGTCACTTTGTTCAACATTAATCTTCGGTACGATTCGAGTGTCCAGAATTTTATTGAGTTGTTCGATAAGTTTTCGCTTTTCTTCGCGGGCCGCTTCACCAACACCCATAACACTATCTTCGCCAGATATTTCATGTTCGTGTCGAGTGACGACCTCGTGTCGCATACGCATCGTTAATTGTGTCCACATATCAAGCGTTGATAAATCACGCATACCACATGTCGATTGTTTTATTTTCTTTACAATTTTACCACCTTCATTAACATACTTGTATTTTTTCACACAGTCCCATTTCCATTTCCATGAATTTTTTGTGATTGGCTTTTTCATTTTGCCCGGGTTAAGAGATTCGCCGCCATGTTGTTGGGCTGTTAATAGCGTGGGAAAGGCAGTAAATGCTGATATTGTGGTTGCTTCATGAATTTCCGACTCGGTAACGACCGGACTTTTGACTAGAATACTTCGAACGGTGGGAACACTGGCCACTGGGCTCAATGGACTTGGCGACATTGGACCACTGTCCAATTTACCATCGAGATGACAGCTCAAATTTTGTTTAACATTTTGATTGACCGACTCGTAAAAGTCTTCGTCAAAGGCAGGAACGATTGGTTCAATTTTATTGTTCGTTTGCTTTGATGATGATGATGATGATTCGCTGGTGTCATGGTTACTTGGAATCGTTAGTTTTGTATTTTTATTGCTACGCGTTGAACGTGTCGATTCAAATAGTTCCGATGAACAACCGCGTCGATTTTTTGCACCTTTACGTGAACGCGGCGATCGATTCAATCCAATGCCCAGACGTGACAAAAATGTCTCTTCGCTTGACAGAAATTGACGTCGTGTCGAACGTTCAGATTTGGCTTTGAGATCAGTTGATCGACGCAATCGATTTCGAAGACTTGACTGATCGGCCACTTCATTTGAATCAAAATCCACTTGAATTGTGAGTGGGGTAACTATAGCAGCCGATGTTATTGTTGATGTTGATGACGATGATGAAGTACTGGTCATTGATTGCACATTTCTCGCTGTTTTTCTTTGTGATTCTTTCTTCATTTTGGCATCGTTGTTTCCATGTAAAGCACTAGCATGTTTCTGTTGAAGCTCGCGCGTTTGAAACCGAATCATACATTTTTCGCAAGCAAAATATTTATCACCATGCTGCAGGCATAAATGATAAACAAGTTGCGTTAATTCGTCACTTTCTAAGCAGGTAACTTTTCCAACATTACAATAAGAGCAACCGGGATAATTTGTTGCCGGCGCATTGTTTGTCGTTCTTGCACTTATGCGTCGGCCTGATTTGCTTTGATGCACACGTTCAACATGTTTTCCGTACAATTTATTACTCGAAAATGTACGATCACAGTACATACAGAACACTTTATTTGCTGCTGCCATATCATCTCTATCACCACCATAACTACCGCTGCCACTGCTGCTGCTGCCACCGTTTGATAATGAACGCGTGGAAATCGTATCCACAATACCAGTTAATCGTTCCAATGAAACACTACAACTAAAATGATCCTTTTTCAGATTAAAATCATCCAAACATTTTCGACCTCCACCACCACCACCACCAATTTTCGTTCGTGTGTTTGTGAATAGTTCGTCTATGGTCGATGATGAATTTTTAAACTTTTTTTGGTCTGCAAATGGCACCGATATACTTTTCTCATTCATGGGTCGAACACAATCATTTATCGTATAACGACGATTTCGTATTGACTTCGGTTTCACGGCAATATTTGTAGCAAATGTCATCAGAGTATCGGTTGATGTTTTACTATTGCTGCTACTGCTGATTTCACATGATTTCGGCGGTGTCATCACATCCGGATTTATTGAAGACAAACGCTTCGATGTGCGTAACGAGCGCTTCGGTTCAATCTCTTCGGATTGATTTGTTGCAATACTAGTACTGTTGCTGCTGCTGCTGCCGCTGCTGTTACTGATCGTTTTAAACGATTCGGCAATTTGTAAATCATCTTTTGCTTTTGAATTTGATTCCTCATTTGCAAATAGTTCCTCATACTGATGTGTTGAACCACTTCTATGTACCATTTTATTCTAAAGGTGATCGAACATACATAAGAGAAAACAAAAGAAAATAAATTTAATGAAAATCCGGAATTTTTCGATCCGAAATTCTAATAAGAATAAAAACGACAGAGTTTCATTTGGTTTCTCTTTAAAATAATGGAACAAAGAGCGTGATGTATGCGCGTGTGTAAATGAATGTGCTTGAAATCATTTGTTCAGTGTCATGAAAAAAAACCAGCCACTCATTCACCATCCTTAGTTCAAACGAAAAAAAAAATTACAATTTCTGTTTGTTTGCATTCTAATCAAAAATGTTCAGGTTCAAGAAATGTGTGTATATCGCTTATTACACACAATTTACACATGTTGAATTCTGTTTAAACAAAACTGTGTAAACATTGCACTTAAAGCATATTCACGAACTATAGATACTGGCAAAATTACGATTCGAACTATATATGTTCTCGCACTTAAGTTTTCTTAATTTGCGTGTCCCACTTTGGATATATTCAGAGAGAAAAATGATGAAAATTATGAAAACGATGTCATTTGAGAAATATTGTATGTATTTCTCTTTTTTTCAATTTTTCTTATGTAGAAAGATGGCGTCTGCCGCATATAAAATATCACAAATATATATAGCCGTAGCTATATATAATCTATATACATTACATTATACATACACTAAACATATATATAAATATATATACATATCTACTGTATGTATATGTTGATTGCCATTAGTTCATGTAGGTATTTTTTTTTTTTTTTTGATATGCGAGAACGAGAAATGGAACACGTATTTTCTTGTGTTTTGTTTTGGCACTCAGTTCCATACTACACACAAAATAAACATTTAGTACACGCATTTCCAAAAGTGCACACTTAATTGCAATTTGAGATGTCTTTCAAATTAGCTCCGTGTCTCGGTGAAAACCAATTTGCTTTTATTATCGTTCGAATAGCATGTGATTGCAATGAATTTTATATGCTCATATTGTCTTTCGCGCACAGCACTCTTTTCTCAGTCATTGATTTTACGAAGCATTTTGGCAAAATACTTGAATATGTTTACTATCTCGAGACGATCGATTTATTATGAAAAAATATTATTTACAAAACATTCATTGCACGATAAAGCACATTTTTCCAGCGAAATTTTCGGAAAACAAAAACAAATTGATGGATTGTAATTTAGCAAAACAACAAAAAATGCATTCAATACACACATATATCATCACCATAATCATCATCAACATCATCTCACACAGTTCATACTGTAAGCACTGAGCACACAGGTTTCTCAATGGAATACAGTGAATGGATCCAATAGAGAGAGAGAGAAAGATAGAGAAAAAAAAACACTTCACACTCTGTTCCGAATTATAAAATCCAAACCAATTGAAAATCGAATCAGACAATTTGGTTTCACAACGTGTAAAAACTTACCGTAAACGAAGCAGTGAAACAAAAAAATAGTATAAATAATAAACCGAAGATGATTTATCAAAACATTAACATAGAAGAAGTAAAAGTTAATATGGCGCTGTACAGCACACTCTTGTACGACGACTACGACGACGACGATGAAAAATCACACAAAAGCAGCAACAGAAGGCGTAGTCTGCCACCATACACACTCAAAAACACAATAAGCACAAGTTATTTCAGTTTTCCATCATCATAATCGTCCTCAATTTACAATCGAGAATGAAAAATTCTTTTCAACTTGTTGGTTACATTTTCGCCGCTCCAAATACAAATAATACACTTTATTACTCGATATATTATTGTTTTTTTTTTTACTTCGTTCGTTCAATTTCAATTAATTCACGCTGAAAATTTCGATTTTTTTCCTATTGCACTACGCGAACTCAATTTTTCGACAGTCGTCTTCACTCTACTCACTTCGTTTATTTTTTTACTCTCTCTCATTTCATTTCATTCTATTCACTGTGCAACCGGCCAATAGTCTTAGTGTGTCTGTACACTGTGATTTCAATGTATTGAGGTTGATTTTTACTCATTTCACACATTTCACTCAAATCGTTCTGTCTTCAATGCGAACAACATTCGCTTCGCCATTTGAATCAGTGGCGATGAACATGACCATCGGAATAGAACGCACGAAATGTCAAAGCATGAACATTTTAATCAATATGTTTAGGATGTTTTACTAAAAATATTTGCACAGCAATAATTTTTGGTTAATAATTTAACATTTTTTTCAAATATAAAATCAACAATTTGAATTTATTCGCGAATAATAATGATTTTATTTTGTTTTTGATTATAAAATATTGAAGCATATTTTTCACTCACAATACATACTTATCACACGACCGATTCTTGTCATATTCTACTGAGCAGAGTGGAATTGATTTCATATGCGCGTAATTTTGTGCATGTATTTGTGTATTATTGAGCAGTTTCGTCGCAATGAATGCATTTCGAGTTCATACAATACCATTCTCTTTCGCTCTGAAACTCATTTCAATGATATGCTCGTATTTGAGTAGACGTGTGCAGAGAGCAACAATCCAAAAATAATAAAAAGAAAGGGAAACATTGTTTATAGTAAGGCAACAACAGATGGCGCGGTTAAGAACATCTACTTTGTTTATGCACTTTAAAATTTAATAAAGAATGATTTCACATTTACCATTTGATGTAGTTGTTCACACAAATCTAATTACGCAAGAAAAATAATATTTTATTGGCCATTGTTTTAATTGCTTTTATTTCTACATTAAAAATCAAAAAGATCGACGAAGAAAGAAACTTTTTATTCAATGAAAGTTTGTAGTGATAATGGCGTGATTGCAAAAAAAAAAAATAGAATAAACATATTGAGATAAATTTTGATATTCAACTGATGCTGTATTTTATACTTGAAATTCTTCATGTTGAATTTCTCTTTTTTCTTGCGACGAATTACCAGTATGATCTGTAACGTGAATAGTATCCACCGTGTGGTCTATAGTATGATCGTGAATATCCACCGCCCCATCCTGAAGTAAAATTGAAATAAAATGATTGAAATAAATAATTACGAAAAACATGGTAAAAAAAATACCTCCATATCCACCATAACCTGAAATTGTTCAAAATAACATTTAATATTGATTCAAAATTAAATGCGGTTAACAGGTCGTAAGATCAATCATTACTTACTGCGATAACCTCCCCAGCCTATGAAAAGTAAAGAAACATTATTGAAATATTGTCAACAAATTGAGAAATTCAAAAAAAAATCTCACCATAATTTCTACCATAGCCATGTCCTATGGATTGAAATGTAAATAAATAGAATCTGAATTGTTGCAGAATTAAATCATTTTAATCAATTTACCCCAAGCTGATGCGGCTGGTTCAAGACTTTCGTCACCGCCATCATTAAGTTGTTCTTCATTTGCCAATGGTTCGATCGATCTAATTGGGGGATTCGGTTTAATTTCCACTAATTTCATGGGTACACCTTTAATTGGCACTTCAGGCTTGGGTTCAATTACGAGTGGTTCCTGAAAATTATTTTTTTATCACATTCATTGTTTGAAAATGTTTTTTGTCAAATCTGGTCAAACTCACTTCTGGATAGGCCAATGCATTGGCAATGCACAAACAAATTAACATCGAAAACTATCAAAAGAGTTTTTTTTAGAATACTAGGTACAAAAATAATATTAAATAAAGAAATAAATAATATCAATCACATTTAAAATGTTCGAACCTTCATGGTGCTGTAAAAAACCACACAGAACGCACTGTTGAAAAAGCTGAACTGATCTGCATGGATATTTTGTAGAAGCCTTTTTATACTACTGGTACCAGCCTATATGACCCATACAACAATACATCTTAATATTTGAACATATAATCTTTGATCAATATACGCAATACTCAAGCGCATCAAAATAAAGGAACTCGTTCTTCAACCTAGTCTTCAACGCAAACACACACTAATTGATGGTAATTTTTTTTTTTTTTTTGAATTTGCAATCGGTGAAAATTACAAGACTAAGACGGAAGGAATAAGGAATTTTGAGATTACAACATCATATGTATCATTCTGAAATGCAACATTACACAACTATATATTTTTAGGAAATATACAGAGTGTTCCAAAATTCCATGTCAATATTTCTACCACAGATTCCTTGGACCCTGTGAAGTAAAAAAAAAATTATGAGCTTCAGTTTGTCCCCTTCAAGACAAAATTTTCTATGTTCTTGATTGACGAACTACTATTTTCTATAGCTTGACAAAATGCGATATGTTATTAATATATTATAAACAAAAAAATATATTACGTGATTTACGGTACCAACCAACTTTTGAGTGAAACAGTTTTTACAATGCTCAAACTGACCAATTTCTCACAATTATTTCATACTTTTAGTTCGACATTTTTGTTTCGTTGTATTGAATTACATACAAATTAAAGGTCAGTAATACTCGGCTGTAAATGCTCAAGAGTCAAATATGTGCATCGTTTACTATTATTATCAACAAAACATATCTAATATGACTGTATAGTGAAGAACTGATATCTTTTCTAATAACGGGACCTCTTTTTCAATTACTCCATTTTTTAAATTACTCCGGTCGCTGCGGAGTTTCTTGAAATAAATTTTCCATTGTTGGCTTATTGCATAGATATCTAAGTCCTCTTGAGAATTACGTAAGATCAGTTTTAAAAGTGGAAAAATAGGGTTACCCCACTAAAACAGCCAATATACTTTTTGAACTCCTCAGTGCCCAAGAAATCTGTGGTAGGAATGTTGACATGGAATTATGGGACACCCTGTTATATATATATTAATTTGCTTTAGTAAACAAGCCTTCGCTTGTAAAGTTCCTGTCGCTCTCATGATTGGTTATTAAATGCGGTACAAGAATAATGGAATAAAACAAAGGGAAAAATCATCACAATCAGGTTATTTGACACAGGAAATCGAATAAAAAGAATATGTATAAATATGAGATTGCAGATTCATGGTGTCTATGACCATTTTCAAGGTTTATGTTGTTGCACTTGCATATAAATACCAATCACGTTTGACCAAAGAAGATTCAACGAATTCCGACGTGACAAATCATTTAACGTTTATCGCCATAAAAAAGACAAAAAATATTTGACTTTTTGTGTTCTGGTTTTTCCCGCACATTTCTTCATTCAAGTCATTGCAACCGCAAAATACGATTTGAATCGAATAAATTCTTGCAATGTAAACTAAAACTAAAGTAGTGTCTGAAAAGAAAAATGTTATTTATTTTATGCTAATCACATAACAAATTTCAGCGGTTGAGAGTCGAAAAAGCATTCGATTACAATCATTGATATGTCGAGCAAAATTCTAAGAAATAATTCTTGTTTTTAAAATTATAGTTATTACTCTTTACAAGATAAGTCGCGTAATAAATGCATTTATCGGTTCAATCGTGCATTCTTTTAATGTATTTAGCGCCATGTCATTACTATTATCGGAAATCATGTTAAATGTATATGCCAAGCGTGTGCATTTAACAAATATATTGTTTTTTTTTTTTTTTTTGTAATATAAACATTTGATTGCATTGATCCGGTTTTATTTTTGTTAGAAATAAAAACTGCCAAAAAACCTTTTTTGTCGAAATTCATTTCTCCTAAAGTCAACATATAATTTATTGAATTTACATAAAATGTTTCAGTTTAAAATATCCATTTCACAAGTTCGAAAAGATTTAGATCATTTGTTTACAAGTTATCACGTGATGCTACCACTTAACATTTAATTACACCTTTGATCTTGATATCGACCCAGCAAAACCGCACATAAATGTTTTAAATCATCACGCACATGCTAGTGATAAAAGTAACTATACGTATACGGTGCATTCCTGAATTCCACATATACCAAGAAATATCGATCAAGCTTTAAAGTTTTAAAAAAAATCTGCTTCGAACAAATCCATTCGTGGTTTTTAAGCTTCAGAGAATTTGAATGGTCATGATATCTGTAGCGTGTAGCTTAATTCATAAAAATCGAACGCGTTCAACCAAAAACCAATGTATTTTATAGTGACTACGTTCGAACGTGTTCACCATGGAAAAGTCGAAACATCATTAATCGTTTTCAAAAAACGCTCGCTTCGTCGGTTGTATTGCGTTCGAACATGTTGGGCTACAAACGCGTTCGATTTTTATGAATTCCAGTACTGGCATATATTTTTCGCCTAAACGCACGCTTATTTAATTGAGAGAGATATTATTTAAGGACAAAATATTTTTCTTCGAGAAAAATTCCATGATCGTTTCGATGAACACATTTATTCTATACATGGTATATAAATTTGAAAAAATAGACTTATTTCAAAGTGTTAAATCAACTAGTGAAAACTAATATATTCATTTCAAGCGATACACTGAGAATGGCTAAAATTGTATATCCTAGAAATAGACTTAGTCCAACAAGTTTGGTCAGACGATATTTGGCAATCGAGAGTATCACATAAAGTAGGAAAACTGAAGCAAGCAACAATAAGATAGTCGGTCCGGTTCCACTTGATTCAAGTAGTACACTTGGATTTGGATTTGAATTATACCATTGCAGTAAGTTTCGCACGAACCATGGCACACCTAGCGAAAGAAAAATATCTAAAGTGGATGATCCCAGCGAATTAGAAACTCCAATGCCGCGTTCACCCTTTCGAATCATCAAAATGCTCGACAAAGCTTCTGGCGTGCAATTACCAGCTGCAAGAAATGTCATACCTAGGAACCACAAAAGAAAAGAATAGAATTAATTTAAAATAATCGAAGAAGAATCGATTACAAGAAAGAAATTATTGATTGATCATACCCATCACTGCTTCCGGGATTCGAAACGTATACCCTACAAATAAGTTCAAATTAATGCTGTTAATCACCAACAAAATTGTGCTAATTAAAAATTAATTGAATCATCGTGTGATGGGCATGTGAGTTGTAAACATTAAATCATTCAAATCACCTATAATGGTCATCATCCATACAATCATATAAGAGTTCAAACCGATCCAAACGATACTTATTATGAATGTAAGGGGATAGGCGCAACGAAATGTTTTTGGGTTTGGTATGGTCAGCGTAAGTAAAAATTTAATCGGCCAAGTGTAAATAAACCACAACGTGTTTAATTTGCCGGTCATTGGACAATTCCATAAACTTTTTTCCAACTTTCGTTCGGTGTCATCTTTGCTTGTCTCCAACGCTGGGTTCATGTAAATCATGAAAATTGTCATATCGTTAAGTGCTGATTTGGATAAGCTTCCGTGCAATGTTTTTGGTTTTTCTTCAATATTTGCCATTTTACGCAAATCGTCGGGTTGTAAGCTGATTGCATCTTTTAGATTGCTTTCAACAAATGACGTTGGCATATCTAAAACAAACACAGATTTTATTCTAAATACTGTAATTAAAAAAATAAAAATAAAATAAAAGTCCATTCACCATAACTTGTTACTCGGCATAAGTTCAAGTTAATCTCCATGAACCATTTCACACAGTGCATAAGATGCTTATTGAACAAAAATACCAAAAAATAAATTAAAACCAATGATATCATGATTGTAGATTCGATGAATGATATCTGTCCGTCGCGTGTGAATAGTATCAAAACTGAAACACTTAATGCATACAACGAACAATCACGAGTAATGGGCCACCAATCTAGTTGAACATAATTCGTTGCTGCCAGTCCGGCGAATGCAGCCACTCCCAAAACATTGAACATTAATGAGCCCAAAACACCTCCCAACCCAACCTCCGAATCGACCACAAATGTTGAAATAACATTTGTAAAAAATTCTGGTGCAATAGTTGCTGTAGCCATAAAACTCGCGGCGGCTACATCCTACACAATAATTAGTTATTTGGTCATTGATTCAATCGATGTAGAAAATCGAAAATAATTTGCTTACCTTAGATATATTCAAATCCTCGCAAACACATTCCACTGATGGCAAAAAATAATCATTGCATACGATGGCGAGCAATGCAAAAAAATAAATCGCACATAATATATGAAAAATTACTGCACCACTGCTTCGTTCTTTATCTAAAATTTGGTAGTCATCACGTTAAAAAAAATGATTTGAACTTTCTCAAATGATCGTTACCAGTGAAAAAATCATCGGGAAAATTATCCAATGGTGATCTATTAACAAGTGGTATTTTGGGATTGTTGAACGGGACCGCATTAAATTCTGGCTGAATTGTTGAAATATGTGCATCAGTCGATTCGGATTCTGTGCCATTACTATGCGCCACAATCGTTGAAAATTCTTTATATTCTAAAGTTGAGGAGTGAACATTTTTACAAAAATTACATTGGATATTACAAGAATATACTCGTATCGACGCACTGCCCAAAAAAACACTTTGCAAAATTTTAACAAACCTTCGTCACCGTAAGTCTGCTTGCTGATGGTGATTAACACAAATAAAGTTGACCATGCAAATAACATCGTGTATTTGCACACAATTCAATTTGCCTTAATTTTTTTTTACCGCAGAATTAAATGTTCTGCTGCCCAAGTTTGGAATTTAAATCACTTCTGCTTTATTATTATTTGTTAACACTGCTCATGAGCTGTAACGCAACAACAATCATCAATGAACACGTAAGACGGTGATTTTTGGAGTCTAAAGCGATACGACACAACCAATCGACTTTGCAACAGATCAAAATATTTGTACTACAACACTTGTTTGACTCGATAATTAGACCGATTTTCATTAAACACTGTTGGATTTGTCCATTTGGTATTGTCACATGGATATTGTTTTTTCCATTTTACGACTTAAATGAAGAATATCGTACACTTGTTTGTTTTTAAAATAGAAATTCGCTTTCAATGCAACACAACTGAATAATTTGCGCACGTTTGGTTTAAAAGATTGTAAATGACTATCAGACGATGTCAAAGACACACAATTATATATATTTTTTTGCAAAAAGTAAAAATGAGTTTGTCTTGAAGAGGTGGGAGATTTAAAACGTGGCTTGAACATGAATTCAAAAAATTGTGCTAATTGAATATTTCCATTTTTGTGATGAACACCCAATACCATCCCGTATCATCGGAATTAAATTGAAACAAAAGCACAAAATATTGGTCTGATTTTGAATACACATATAGGAAGAAATAAATAAAACGCAATTATTAATCGTCACAGACGGGTTAATGTCAATATTTTCAAGCAAAATTTTAACATAATTTCATGGATATTTATCAAATGTTAATACATATACAATTTAGAAGTTTGTTTACATTAAAAAAAAAAAAACAAATCAAGCGATTCATTGACACCAAACTTATCAATAATTATAAATGGTTCGATAATACTGTGAAATAGTTCTGATTGACCATTTAAATAGTTCTAAGTGTAAATTCACGATGTCATAGTGTTTTATTGACTGTATATAAACTAATTTATCATTTAACATACTGCGAAGAAATGTAAACGTTAGTAACATACCCGGCAGATTGCTATTTTTTGCATAATGGACACGAATTTTTAATTTATCAATTAAGTTAAAGAAGATTATCATGAAGACAAGTGTGTGAGCATCAAAAGAAACTGAAAGCAATGAAATGGCGAACACATTGAATCTATAGACTTTTAGTCAGAGTATTGCTCAGCGCTGCTGCCATCCACAGCATATTAAAATATCTTGACAAGAATGAATCCATTGTTCTCTTCACGATTATGTGACTCAAAACATTCAAACGATTGTATAGAGAACAATGCATGTATTGTTGTTCGCTGTGATGTATAAACTGCTACGTACCTTCGCATGCGACGGACGACGCATTCTCAGCAAGATATTTTAATATGCTCTGGATGGTAGCAGCGCTGAGCAATACTCTGCTTTTAGTTAATTATGATTAAATTGAAGTGCTTTTATTATTATGGCTTAATCCTAAAAGAACTATGACGAAAAACCAATTTAAACTAGTGTGGACATGTAGGTAAGTTAACTGGAAAGAAAACGTTGAGTTCAATTAAGCTGGCAAGCGCAAGGAATGCCAAATACATAACTAAACATGTAACGCCGATTTTCCAATCCAATTTGAATTTGTTTATCACAAACGCTACATACAATCCAATAAGAGTTGACAAAAGTGATAATGCCGAGTAAGTAATGCCACTTGAGTTGAGAGTAATCTGTGAAAAAAAAAATATTTTCTTGAAATGAATACACTTCACATTCACATTTCAGCTTACCCAATTTTCACCGGTCACGTCAGGATCAAAGTATGCCTTAATGAACCATGGAATGCCCAAACAAAGAAGAATATCAAAGGTGTTCGATGAAATTGAACTACTTATGCCCATTGAACCGTGCCCTTGATTTGTAACGATTACACTTGAAACGGCTTCCGGTAAACTGGTTCCAGCTGCTAAAAACGTGAGTCCCATGACAGAATCTGGCACATTTGCCGTGTCACCTGAACGAAAAAAAGCAATGAAGAAAAAAAAGAAATGAAATCATCGCTGCAATTAAAATGTCCTAATTGAGTTGTGTTTATCAAAAAACGTGCACCGTATATCATGCACACTTGACATTCGTGCATGTGATTTGATATAAACTGTTGCTAATCGTCAATTGAATGTGCCATTATTTTATATTGTTGAATTTTCCACGTACCAACAATTGTTATCATGCAGGCAACAGCGTATGATGCAAGACCAATCCAAGCGATGCAGAAGAAAAACGTTAACATTGTTAATTTTGGATGTTTTCTGCAGTCAGGCACCGTAAGCCATAACACAAATATAAGTGGCCACTTTAAAATGTATATAAAACAATTTGTGTCATGCGGAACTTTGTACGGTGTATCGGCATAATCTAAATAAAACACCAATGACAACAATATATCGTTTAATGTAATGTATTTCAAGTGCATAACATTCACGAGCTTCTTAAGCAATTGTGGCACTGTTTTTTCTTCCGTTTTTTGAGTGGCACTTACCTTCGTACACTTCTAAGATTGGATATAAGTTATTGCTGATATTGATAATCGATGATTTTCCATTTTGTTTGTGCTCATTTTGTAATAATGGTGTGATTTCGGCGGTTTCACGATATGGCCGAACACGGGATTGTCGACGCAATTTTGCGACCAAAGTTCGAGCCTTATGCGACATTGTATTATTCCAGTACATCACTAGCAAAATAAAGGAAACATTTTTTTTTCGTCTTAATTTTTCCAAACTGATTAAAAAAATTAGATTTTTGTGATAATGAACGGTATTTTACCTGCAATGTAAATGACATAGGCAAGTACAAGTGCAAGAGCTTCATACCACATAACTTTGCCATCTTCTAGTGTTATAATGAGTGCAACAACGGATATACCATACATTAAACTGTCTCGACTGACTGGCCACCAATCCAAAAATACAACTTGACCGGCAAACAATCCGCAACAGGCAGGGACTGCAAGTACATTAAAAACAGCAGACCCAACGATTGTTCCTACGCCAAGATCACTTTTTGTGATGAACGTTCCCACACAATTAATAAACAATTCTGGGGAACTGGCCGCGGCTGCCATAAACGTTGCACCAACTACATCTTCATTCAAATTGAAGCCTATTTTGAGAGTAAATTTAAAATGAATTTTAAACGTGCCCGCTCCGCTCCAGTGAAAAAATGTCAAAAATTACCGCTGCAAATCGATTGAATAGATGGCACAAAATAATCATCACATATCGATGCCAAAAACCAGAAGCAATAGCATGCTAGCAAAATGTGAATAATTATCCACCCATGTTTCCTTTCATCACGAGTGAATCCGTCGGAAGGCAATTCCAAAATAGCTGCTTCTGTACAATTTTTTTGCTCATGCTGCGTACTATCCAATGGATGTTCTATGGTTGAGGTCGATTCGGTTTGTGTTAGTGGTTCATCTGTGTTCAATAGCCCGAGAATATTCCGAGATCGATAAACAGCACCTTCTATCAATAAAAATATGATTTATTATCACTTTTTTGAGGGAAAATAAAAAAAAACAAACAAAAACATATTTGTTTGTTGGCTGCCAAGTATATTGTTATTTTCTACGAAATATATTTAAAAGTAGACAGGAAACTTTATCTTAAGTTGTTGAGTCGTATAATAAAATTAAACCATATCTAATCTAATTTAGATTGAAAATCACGTATCAATATTATTAATAAATCGTTTATAGCATTTTGTTCATTGCAGCCAATATTTGCTTTCGATGAAAAAAAAAAAAAAAAGATTTAAAGTAAACAGCACTGACGTCTTCAAAGGAAAAAAACTGATTTTATACATTCAACTGAAGTCGTTTCTCACACAAAATTTTCACAAAATTGCTCTCAATGTAATAAACAATAAAATAACACGATTTATCGTATCAAAACACCAATCGAACTTGATCTTTGTACTAATAAAAAATGAACAATCTCTTCACATTTTGTGTATGTATAACTTTTTGGTTATGATTAGCTTACCTTGAGCGACGTGGTTATGGTTTCCATCAAAATTGTTCGATGAAACAAAATAAAGCAATGGAATCGCTATTAGAATACACGATCTAATGCACAATGCAAGAAAGTTTTTCTTCTTTTGCTTTATTGAAAACAGTGAACAAGTTTTTTTCATTCTAATGTGGATACTTCTGGTTATTTCGTCAGCTCACGCACAAAAATTTGAGGAAATGATATTTAAAGTCTATAAGTCCAAATTTTAATCTGCACTTTCTATCTATTTCTCAACTGGATTTTTTTTTACAAATTTTGAGTAATTTTTTTCTTCAGAAAATATTATTTTAATATCATATCTATGTCGAATTAGATTATTTTCTTATTTAATTGTGAATTTTTGTTTTAAGATGCACTTTTTCGTTAATGATTTGTTGGTTCAACCACATTGGTTTCTACACAAATGAAAGGTTTGTCATATCGGTGAAGGCTTTAAATAGGGTTTCGTTGCGATTGATCGGTTAAGATAGTGCCCATTGGCCGTGGTTATCAGGAAGCAATTGAAGATATAAAAATATGTGTTGAAGAGAATCATTATCAGTGTGGATGAGTGTGAATCTTATCAGGAATTCGGTTTTTCTTTCTTTCTTGTAGATGATGTAGATTGTACGTCAATATACATGATCACTGGATCAACAACGCTCGATGAGTGTTCAGTTGAGACAGACAATCAATTTGTTCAGGGTGAGAGATAAGAATACCGTCTTCAAAATTGAAAACATCCATGTATTATGGCTTCTTTCACCGAAAATAATTTGACCTGATTGTTTATGGTATACATCATATTTGATAATTTCATTGGCACCTATAAATCGATTGAAAAAAGTAGCTTTTACCTTTTGATAAGAATTCTGTTGGAATTTCCATTCAACGGCGCACCAACAAAGACGTAATCATATGGAAAATTTTCTCAAAAGTATCTAAAGTTGTCACAAAGTTGAATCGTCATCGATTATCAGTGATAATTTATCATTGACGAACCGATAATAAATTTAAAATGAATGGAGTATGTAGTGTGTGCTGTCTTTTTAAAAATAATTCAAAAATGTTGTTAAACTGTTTATTTTATTTAGTAATAGTTACTTAATAAATTTCTAGAAATTTTCCTCGATATGTTTACAAAACAATGACAATAGCGAGAAAGAAAGAGAGAGAGATAGTATAGAGAGAGAAAAGGTAACCATCGAACGAATACTGATTGAATTTGTTTTGTTTCTTTTGTTATTTTGCCTCAATTTATTCATGATCATCTCCCATTGATTGATCTTTTGCTTATTAAAACTCTTGAAATGGAATGCACTTTTATTTTATTTTACTTAATCGTATTAGATTACGTTGTGTTTGTTCCAAAAAAAAATGTGATTGCTCTTTTTTTCGGTTTCAATGAAACCGTTTCATTAATATAGAAAATGTTTATGAACTTTTCACACAGGCGGGCAAATTTACTCTAAAGAATACATTAAGCTCGATGAGAGTTGCTAAAGTTAGGAAAACAGCGTACATCAGCAAACAAGTGTTGCCCAACTTTCGATCCAATTTAAATTTATTAAGTGAAAATGCGATGTACAGCAACAACAGGGTCGACAGCAAAGATATCGCCGAATACTCCAAACCATGTGAATTGATGCCAACCCAATGTTTACCCGGTGAAATTGGTAAAAATGATGCTTTTATCAACCACGGTAATCCCAAGCACAGTAAAATATCAAAAGTATTCGATCCAATGCTATTGCTTATTCCCATCGATCCGTGTCCTGTTAAAATTTCAGCGTAAATTTAAAATACATTTTACATCAACATGACTTGAAGTGTACGTTATGCATACCTTGTTTTGCTACAATAACACTGGAAACGGCTTCGGGAACACTTGTGCCAGCTGCCAAAAATGTGATACCCATTACAGAGTCCGGGATATTCAATGTATCACCTATCAAAATGGATCTCATTATAAATCAATCTAAATCTCTTATACGCAAACAAAAGACTCACCAACAATTGTAATCATCCAGGCGACCAAATAGGAAAGTGAACCAATCCAAACGATGCACATAAGAAATGTGAGTGGAAATAAATTTTGGAAACGTTTTTTCTCACAATTCGGTATTGTAAGGAAGAAAATCAATTCAACGGGCCAGATTATGATCCAGAATGCTTGTTTCCAGATGCGCTTATGCTTTGGATAACGGAACAAATAAAGTCGTTCATCTTTTTCGTCGTTTTCGTCATCGGATTTTTCTTTTACAACAATCGCATCTTTTTTCTCCGTTGGCTTTGATTGACGCACTGCCAATTCAATATCCGATTTTTCCAGCGACATTTTTTCATTCACCGTTTCGGCTATGCTTTGTATGGCTTTCTGTTCATTGTCATCGTTTTCATTTCCTGCATTTACATCAGCATCGATGTGACTGATGCTTTTTACATTTCCATTTTGATTAAAGTGATCAACACTCAACGGGCGAATTTTCTCGTCTTCGGAGGAAAGAAAAAAGATTTTTTTGTTTAATTTGAAATATGAAAATCACAATTTTTCATTCAAAAATAATACACTATCTACCTCCGTCACGACTTGATTTCGATGCTAAACTTCCACGTTGTGAGCGTCGTGCTTGTGCATGCCGAACACCACCTGAAAGTTTTGTGAAACGAAGTGAAAATTCAATTTTAAAGTTTTTCCATGTTTTGTAGTTGATAAAGTTTTTGTCGTCTAACCTTTGGCCCATTTTTGAATCGTTTTATCGAAATACATAACACCGATATATACGATGTACAATACAACCAATATCAATGCCTCATACCATTCAACACGCTCATCATGAATAATACAGATTAAAACAGCTACTGTAAATCCATATGCTAAACAATCTCTTGTCAGTGGCCACCAATCTAATGGAATATCCTGTGAGCGAATTTAAAATTCAATGTAAAAGTGCACTGTCAGAACGTGTTTGTTTTGAGTAATTGTACCATTCCAGCGCCAATGCCACAGCAAGCAGCAACCGCAAGGATATTGAATACTGCTGAACCAACAATCGTGCCGATGCCAATGTCACCTTCTGTAATGAACGTTCCAATAACATTCACAAACAATTCCGGACTACTCGTTGCACCAGCCATAAACGTGGCACCGCAAATATCGCTAGACATATTCAGCGCTGCACATATCATACAAATCGAAATTTGAAAAAAAAAAATCACGAATAGAAAATTTATCGCAAATAAAATAGATAACCATACTCACCTTGACTTATTCTTTCCACTGCCGGTACAAAATATTTATCACATACTACGGCAAGAGCTAAAAATAAATATAGACTAACTGTAATGTGAACAACGACAGCACCCGCTTGCCGTTGCTCTCGTGTAAACAAATCGGCCGGAAAATCATCTATTGCAGGTGGAGTACAATTAGTGCCTGTCAAATGAAATGAAATGAAAAACCGATCAATTATTTTGGCCACAACCCAATGCTCAATTGGCCTTTCGGTCGATTCTTGAATTTGGATCAAGAATATACATATTTACACTCTTCCTAAATGTGTTGAGATAAAGAGATATTATCATTTCCTACGGAAAATAACAAATTTTAATCACAACTTCTGCCCCATATCATTTTTCTTGTCACGCGCAATGTGTGGCGTTTTCGTGACAACTTTGTTTGAAGGAAAAATAACATCAGCCGTTAGTTTCATCCATTTCATATTGTAGTAGTTTCTTTAGGTAATTCATATTGTGTATGATATGAACATTCATCTCGGCTCTGTTATTCGAGAACTGATTACTTTCAATTGTGTTGATTGCATTAAATTATTTCATAAAAGAAATTCCGTTTTTCTACTTCAATGTGAGTGTTGCGCGGATTAATTCAATATATTAATGTGTCTTTATAGCATCAAAAAAAAAAGAGAAGAGCGTTTATGGTATGTGTGTCCAGTTGCGGATTTCTTCGTTGTATAATGTGTGGGTTTGTTGCTTTAAGCAAATTAATTTTTCTTGCCGTACTGAGATGTATGAGTGACGGGAGGAGGAGGAAGGAGATAGAACAAATTTGAATGGTTTAGATTAATTTTAACTCTATCTGATGATGATTCGCGAATGTGAGAGAGATAAATCACAGAGGTGCTTTGCGTGACAATGCACTTTTGTTGTATGTGTGTAAATTGGTATTTAGTCTTATCAAAATGTTCCATCGCATTGCTAAAATGCCAACACAATTTGTGTTGTTGCCACTAGTTTGTCATCTCTCTCGTGTCCGATCAAAATCTATGTGAAATGATGATGATGGCATGCAAGCACATTAAAAAGCGGAGCATGATAAATGTGAAATTTTGGCAACAGTTTTGTTTTTGTCTTGAAATTATTTCCTGCGAAATTGCAACTTTGTGAATTGCGTTCATTTTTGTTGTGAGATGTATGTGTACGATGGCACGACACGTATTTTATGATTATCATTACATTTGTCGGTGTATGCCATGGATTCGAACTGAACGTACTCGACGGCTATTTGTACTTCACTTGATTCGTTCTTTTTATTTGTTTTATTAATTTTCTCTCTCTCTCTCTATCTCTTTATCTCTCTCATCTCGCTGGCACACTCTTCAGATCTTTCATTTTTTTTTTTCATCTATTTAGAATGAGATGCTCGGTGAGCATTGCTCATTGAACTTAATCCATAAAATTGAAGCATAGAAATTTGTCCGTATATAATCGTAAAAGGAGCGAAACAATACACAAACAATATGAAAAGAAAAAAACAACAACAAATATAATTGAACGGAATCAACTAAATGATTGTTAACACAAATGAACTCATCATCGATTATTGAAAATAAACCAGAGATAAATAAATGAAACACATTGAGAAACAAAAGAGATGTACTCTTCATTCGGGTTTCATGTACACCAATTTGTTTTTCGGTTATAATGCGTGTGCAATTCAGTTGCGCTTGCGTGCATCTGCGCCTCTTTGTCATTCACAATACTCAGCTCATAAAATAATTGCTGATTGGGCATGAACTCGATCACACATTCATTTGAATTAAAGTAATTAACCTCTTACACACAGCAAGATTACTTTATTACATACTCGTAACTGCATTTAAACCGAATACTTCTCATAACACCGACATTTTATTGTCCTCGACACGCTACGCGATTGAACTTTGCAAAAATGTTCTACAGAAATTCCACCGAATGATATAACACCTCCGTTGAATAATTTTTTTTTTAACTCAGAGGGATGAATTCTTCTTTATCTCAATATCACACAATTTTCTTCATTTTTAAAAAAAATCTAGTATTTTATCAACTTGTTAAATCGATTTTTTTCACACTTTATTAAATGAATTGCAACCAAACCAACCATTTTGTAACATCCGAATTGCCCAATCGTCACCCATGTTGATAATGTTGCTCACAAATATGGACTGATCTTAATCGTTGAATCGTTTTCGCTTCAATAAAAGACGAATCAATTTACAAACCGCGCGTTCGAATTAGACTATGAAAATTGAGAACGCGATAAAAGACGAATTGGAGAAAATGAAAGAGTCGTAGCTCCACGATGTATGTGCTATTCAGTGATCCCGTCTTCTATGTGTTTGCGTGTGTGTGTGTGTACAAATCTATCGACCGCACAGATTATGGTTAAAACTTTGAAACACCAACCGCGAAATAGTGGTTTTACACACAAACTCCAAACCAACTGGATCTGTCTAATCTATCGATGCAAACCGAGAGCAGAAAAGCACACAAAACAAATGCAAGCCGTCTAAATGTAAAACGATTCACGTCTATTATGTTATGGATCTCAATGAAAAGATTTTGTCGCTATCGTCGATCCTGTTGCTCTCTATTTCACTGAGCGAATTAAAAGCTGTGTTTGGCGCACGAAACCACAAAACTGAATAATATATTTCGAATGCGATTTGGAATTGAAAAATGCGCGACTATGTGACTGCGCGCGCAATGTGAATGTGGAGAAAGATGTAAAACAAGCATTAATGACATAAAATCTCAATTGTGTTTCCATTCCCCTCAAATCGAATTGTATCGAAAAGATCCGACAATCGTGTTGTGTGCCTTGTTGTTCTCTATTTCAAAAATGATCATGTGTATTGTTCGTTTGGAACATTGTTCTCGAGAGATCACTATAACAGCAATGGCATTCACTTATTAGTTCTCGTTCATTCGTTTGTTGTTGTTAATTTTTTTTGTGTGTGTGTGTACACTTTACATACCATCCAATATTGTCCACGTCCCCACATCACATTCAAATCACGCCTTTCAGCGTAATCGGCATTGTATTTTCTGCATACACACACAATGCCAACATCAAGAGGCCCAAAGTAGTAGTATAGTTTTAAAGTTTCCGGAGAGCAATTTTCTCATAATAAATGATAATGCATATATGCTGTGATGATGCTCTGGCGTGAGATGTTATTCGTTTCTTTTTTAGATTGCGACAGTGGCTTGTTTGCATCTGAGTGCGTGAATAAATCAATTGTAAGAACGTATATTGGCTATTTACAATTTAACCAAGTGCAATTGATAGTACATCCACACACAGTCGATAGACGACTATAAAGACGACAATGATTCGAAACAGGGAAAATACTCGAGGAATTTGTAAACACATTTTTTACCAATGCTCATTTACATTGGCGATTTTGTGTGTCTCTTTTGTTGTATCCCTCTCTATCTCTCTCTCTCTGTGTGTTTCAAACGCTCGTATTTTTGTAATCAATCGAGTCAAACGATTTTATTGTCGCTATTGTTTTGAAGAATGTATATAAAACAAAGCAGTAGAATCAATCAATAGGGCCGCGGCACACCTAACACTAAATACGCACTTGGGTCAAATTTTTTTACGTAATTGACCGATGCGACAGTTCAATTTCACGTTACAATTGTATATCATATGAACGTGGCACATACTCTCGGCGTGATTACAATGACCGATTAACAACATGTAAATTTTGTTTCTTTATTTCATTGATGTCAACAACAAATTTTGCGATGCAAACTTACTACGAATGCATTTAAATTGATTTTGATTCATAAATACGTTGACGTTGTATGGACAAGAATCTTTGAAACAGATGCATTGCAATCAATAAAAAAAAATTACGGCTGCTGGCGTTGTTTGCAAATAATTGAGCCACAAAACGGCGTATGTGTAAAACAGTAACAATAATTGAAAGCGATTATTTATAGATAAATTTTAAACCAATAAAATCCGAATTCAATTAACCGCAACCTTATAATTCAATTCATTTCCATTCGTCTCTCAATCGAATTATTCAAGTTTGCTTACTCTTTTTTCCGTTTTACTCGAATCGAATATGTACGCACATTTTATGATTAAATACTGTTCAGTTTCAAATGTTTTAGATAAAATGGTGTAGATTGAATTACAAAAGACACGCAGAGAAATTGAACAGAGCAAACTGGTAAATGGTCGAAAACCGTTTCAGTGTAAAATATTCACTTATTCGAGTGCGTACATATTATTTTCAAATTATAATTTTACTGCCGTTCAGTAAAATTCATGTCATTTATCCTTGAATCGATTTCGTGTCATCATTATTTAATGGTAAAATCAAATCATTTCAAAAACCGTACATTCTTCCATTCAAATTCCCAGTCACAGTCACAATGAGCTGTGTACATTTGGTTGCATCGGCCTGAGCCGTTACCGTTGTTTTCGCTTGAAATGTCAGCAATCGGCTAATTCAATTCGATGTGTGTGACGTGAATGTCATCCATATTTTGACAACAAATAAATTTTGATTGTGAAAGAAAAAGTGTTCACATCTAATTTGTTTTGTTTTCTTTATAAAACGAAAATCGATTATTTCCATTCAAAAGTTATCGTGTGCAATTGAAAATCGCTGTGTATATTTACACTATGACAACATTATTCAATGAAGAATTTGATAAAATATGCCGTTGTTGTCTGTGTAAAAATGGTGAGATGCGACCATTGTTTGGAAGCTGTCTCGATAATATGCTCAAAATTGTCGCTGAAATTGATGTAAATATATCGAATTCCAACGAAAAATTCATTTATTTCCTTAATAAAGACAACTCTTTTGAATTTTCGTAGGTTAAAGCTGGTGATGGATTGCCTGAATTGATGTGTGTTCCATGTGTATTGCAAGTGAGTCGTGCATTTACATTCAAACAACAGTGCCAACGATCGGATCAATCACTGCGAACACTTCTCGGTGATGTTCGAGAGCTAACTGTATCCGACAATAACAATTACAAAAATTCAACAACAAACAATGGTGAACATCAACTTATCCTGACTGATGACAATGATGCCGATCATTTGGACAGTGAATTGGTTTTGGGATCGCTTGAAGAGGAAATTGAATTGTCTAGTTTGCCAAGTGAATCACAATTCACATCGGTTGCTGCTGAAGAAATACAACATTTGACCGACGACGTTTTGAGCGATGCACAAAATATGAAAGAAGAAACAAATCTTTCAACCAAATTTGGTGACTATTTTGACGAAATTAAATTGGATGTCGCACAAGTGGTATCATTAACTGATGACCATTTATCCGATCAATCAATCGAAGAACAATTTGGTAAGATGATTAATTTTTTTCAATCTCTGCCAATCATGCTAAGATACTTTTCGAAAAACTTATCCAATAATAATTATGCAGACGACATTCCAACCGATGAAAATGACGACGAATCCAAAAAGATGCCATCAGATGAATTTATTGAAGATATTTTGTCGGAGGAAAAGGTAAAAACGCAAAGTGAATCAGGATTTAACTGCATCGATTGTAATCTTAACTTTGAGACTAGCGAAATACTTAACGCACATGTACAATCACTACATTTGGTTGACAGAGTGAACAGTTCGACGACGAATGATATGAATAAAATCGAATCGAAAAATGCATTTGAATGTCCCGAATGCCATAAAGTATTTGCTGAAAAAAAGATATTAAGACGTCATCTTAAAATTCATAGCCCAATTAAGCCACACAAATGCACCGAATGTAATATGTCCTTCGCTGAATCATCGAATCTCTCAAAACACATGAAAAAACACACCGGAGAATTGAGAGCAGTAGTTGGCAAACCAAATTTATGCTCCGTTTGTGGTAAAGGTTTTAAATGGGCAAGTTCATTGTCAAAACACATGAAACATCATACTCGGCATAAAATTCTAAATTGTCCGTACTGCCCGAAATATTATGTCGAAGCGAGATCATTGAATATTCATATGCGAACGCACACAGGTGAAAAACCGTTTCAATGTGAAATTTGTAAAAAGGGTTTCACTCAAATGGGAAATTTAGAGAAACACATTCGAGTGCATACGGGTGAAAAACCCTTCACTTGTCCGATTTGTTCAAAAGGTATAAATCGATTTGTTTCGTGTGTTATTATTATTTTAAACATTCAATCTCATTATACGCGTTTCCTTTTAGGTTTCTCACAAAGTGGCTACGTTGCAATTCATCTGAGGTATAAGAGAACGTAATTGACATTAATTTACATGACATTAACGGTTTATTTGAATTTTAGAACTCATACAGGGGAAAAGCCATATTTATGCGATTTTGTTAATTGTGGACGGGCGTTTGCGGGATCAAATACACTTGCAATTCATAAACGAACACGTAAGAATTACGATATTAAATCATTGAGAGCAGAAATTGATTAAACTCCGTTATTCTATATAGATACTGGTGAGCGTCCATTTCAGTGTAGCATGTGTGAGAAAACATTTGCTCGCCAAGAAACGGCAAACATTCATCGACGTACGCACACAGGGGAAAAACCATTTGAGTGCAAAATATGTTCGCGAGGATTTACAAGTTCTGGACATTTAACAGGCCACATGCGTTCCCACACTGGTACAAAGACACACGAGTGTAAAGTGTGTTTGAAACGATTCGCCGGAAGCAGTAGTCTGAAGGTCCACATGAAATCTCACGCTGAAAAAGCTGCCCAGCAACAACAACAACAGCAGCAGCAAGAACAAGAACAACAACAACATATTTACGATGACAAGACGACAGTATTTGAGTGCAATATGTGTAAAATGAATATTCCATCATCGGCTCTCACCTCACCGGAAGAGTTGCAAGGCTACAATCATGAATTTATAGATGATGTATTAATTTGTTCAAATGTTGCCTCAATCATCGATAGTGGAAAGATTATCGAAGAAATTCACGACGAAAACGGAACGAATATCATTCTAACAACAGCGACAGACATTCAAAATGGACAACAATTACTAATCAATCTCTCCGATTTAAAGTAATAAGAAATGCGATACAATCAGGTCTTGGGAACTCAGTTACATTTGATTAAGAGATATAAGTTATAATTTTTCCAACGAATTTTTTACTAGCCAAATAGTGATGATATATATGTATATATTTACATTAAATAACATTTAAACGATGGCTTAAGGATGATTGAAGCTGCTTAAAATTCGTTGACGATTCATTTCGTCACGGAGTTCGTCAGCCTTCTTTTTGAATTGTTCGGATTTTTCTAGATTTTTCTCGGTGCCATCTCCTCGTGCATACATATTGCTAAGATTTGCACATGCAAAGAAATTATTCAACGAACACGCTTTTGTTGTCAATTCAAATGCTTTTTTCATGTCTTTTTCAAGTACAAATGCATTTCTGGGCTTTTCAACTGCCGGCGATTGTTCATTATTTTGATTTGACTGTGAATTGATGGTAGAGCTGGCGCCCGACATATACAGTCCCGATAGATAAAAACAAGCATTTCCATTGTCCATGTTACAGCTTTTGGTCAAATAATCCATGCCCTGTGCAAGTGATAAAAATCAATAAAATTGTTTACGTTCTAATATAGAAATAATGTTTTTTTTTTTAAATTTCTACCTTTGGAATATCTCTAGGTAATGCGCTTTTTTCCAATAAAGGTGACACAAGTAACAGTCCTGAATTTAAACAATTTTCACTACTGCCAAAACTACAACCCTTTTCGAAATATTTTAAAGCTTCGATCGGATCTGATTTCACATTTTTCTCTTTGACTCCACCGAATGCGACATTTCCATACTCCAAACCTTGAGGGAGAACAGCATAATGTAAGTTCTTATTGTTAAAAGAGTGACAAAACAAAGTGAACATTTACATGATTTGGCATGTTTGTATTCATCACAATTGACTTTAAACAATTTCACTGCTTTCAGCAAATCATTTTCAACTCGCTTCAAGTACAAGCCCAGAGAGTGACATTCTAAAAAATAAATTTCATTTTATTGACAATTTTGTATTGAATGGATTAATTAAAAAAAAAATACCATCAGGATTCTTTTCCGAATAACATCCTACACGAAACTTTGCAACTGTTTCTTGAGTCGGTGGTTTCATTTTTTTTTAAATAAACTTGAACTTTGTGAAAAATTCAAAAATGCAATGAAAATAAACAACAATTGAGGTTATGTGTTTTGACAGCTTCAAAACTCTTCAATTTATATAACGTGCTGTGAGTTTGGTCGTAGTGTCAAATGCTGTCACTTGTGTGACTGCGCATGTATATGTGTTTAGTTGACAGTGAAGCAACGCAATAAAGCATAGTTGACAGCCAACGTTTGGGTGACGAATAACTCTGCGATAATTTGTTTCCCTCTTAATTTTTTACATTTCATTTTCAGATTATAGAGTTTTTCTTTAATTTGTGTGTGTTTTTTATTCTCGAAAACAATTGAATTTTATTGAAGAATTGTTTAATTGCATCAATCGACAATATGCAATGCATACAAGGTTATGGGAATAGTAGCAGTGATTCTGAATCGGACAATGGAGAAAGTACAGCACATCTTCGGCCAATTGACACAAGCAGCTCGGTGGCCAAAACATTGACCGTAATGGCTGCACCAGCCGTCGTACCATTGGGACAAAGTGATGTGTCACGTGTTATTGATCCAATTTCCAAGGAATTGGCGTACAATCCAAGATACGAAGAACTGTATGCACCAGTTCAAGGGCCGGAAAATCCACTTCTAACGGATCAACAACGTGCACCGCGAAATACACTGTCGGGATATGTGGAAAAGGCACACATTTCTGCATTTAATTTTGAAAACCAACGACGCACCTTTCACACATACGGTTATGCCCTGGACCCATCGGTGAATGACAAAGATAACGATGGACAATCATGGGTTGGTGATGTACAAACAGCATACGATACAAATGGCAAAACGGTATTTGAATCACCAATACCGAAAAAGAAGCGAAAACAAGAGCGCAACGATAAACCGGAAGATATTGAAGGTTTTTCTGGCCCCTGGGCAAAGTATGAAAATGAAGAATCAATTGCACGACCAAATGAACAACAAAAAGCCGAACTTGAGGAAATTCTTGCCAAGAGGCATCGCAGAAGTCGCATACAAGAAGAGAAACCACTCGAAGAAAAATCAATTTTACACAGTATGTACTCAATTACATTTGAAGTAATATTTATCAATTGAACGCGTGAAAACTCGTATTAATCTTTTAAAAAAAAATCTTTTCACAGTCAAAGACGCATTGGATTATCAAGGTCGTTCGTTTTTGCATGCACCACACGATGTTGGTGTGAATCTACGGTCATCAGCGCATCCAGACAAATGTTTCCTGCCAAAGGCTCACATTCACACATGGACCGGCCACACAAAAGGTATCTCATCGATACGACTCATACCGAAAACCGCACACTTGCTGCTCTCTGGCTCAATGGATTGCCGCGTAAAACTGTGGGAAGTGTACAATGATCGACGATGCATTCGAACGTATTTTGGACATCGGCAAGCTGTCAAAGATGTTGGTTTCAATAATGATGGTACACAATTCCTATCGGCCGCATATGATCGATACATAAAATTATGGGACACAGAAACCGGTGACGTTGTACATCGTTTTACATCGAAGAAAATTCCATTCTGTGTTAAATTTCATCCAGACAAAAGTAAACAACATCTCTTCGTCGCTGGTACATCGGACAAGAAAATTATTTGCGTAAGTAAACTTGATGCTCCTTTGAAAATGCAAAAAAAAAGCAAGTGCAAAATTCTAATAAATTTAATTTGTGTCATTACAGTGGGATACACGAAGTGGTGAAATCGTGCAAGAATATGATCGACATTTGGGTGCAGTCAATACAATCACATTTGTGGACGAAAACCGGCGATTTGTAACGACATCAGACGACAAAAGTATGAGAATTTGGGAATGGGACATTCCAGTCGATGTAAAATACATCGCCGATCCGACGATGCATTCAATGCCATCGGTGACCCTTTCTCCAAATGGAAAATGGTTAGCGTGCCAGAGTCTTGACAACAAAATCTCCATATTTTCGGCATTGAATCGTTTCAAAATGAATCGAAAGAAATCATTCACCGGTCATATGGTCTCCGGATATGCATGCAGTTTGGATTTTTCGCCCGATATGAGCTACCTAGTGTCTGGCGATGGCGATGGAAAAGTTTATATTTGGGATTGGAAAACAACCAAACTGTATAAGAAATGGCAAGCACACGAGGGTGTATGCATTTCCACCTTATGGAATCCACATGAATCCAGCAAATTGATAACAGCCGGGTGGGACGGTGCCATTAAATATTGGGATTAAATTAATCTACACGATTATAATTTTTTTTTTTTAACAATAGCAAATATTTTACGTTATTATGATAGGGATGTACGAAAAAAATGTCAGTCGTATAAAAATGTCACTTGGAATTTCAGTTGACCGAATAAATTGCTATTAAGATAGAAGAAACATGTGTCGATTTCCTTTGACCTTACTTTTTTTGTTCAAATGAACAGAAAACCTGTTGATATTACTGAGTTTCCATGTATGATGTACCGAATATGACAGCACTTTTGGTTTTGCGCATGCACTTTCGATATGCATCAATTTTACACATCAAACATATTATGCAAACATCAACAACAATGGACACGATGCGGAAGAATTTAATTGTGATTTTTATTGAATGAAAACAGTATTTTAATAAAAGTTTCAATAATTTGAAAAGAAAATCGTGAAAGTAGCCGAAAACTGTCAAAAAAACAACAGAAAAAGAAGAAAATACGTGAACAATAATACGATATTTGTTCAATGGCGACTTTATTTACAACCATACGTTCAACAGTAACACAGAAATAACACAACACAAAAAGAAAACAGTTTTTCACAAATTTTGCGTTATTAATTAAATAAAATATAAACCAAGTAAAGCTTGACATGGTGCCAATTTAAAAGTCCATTTATTATTCTATCAATTTTCGGTGTGTAACGTTAACATAAAATATGGTGCGGTAACTTTCGAAATATTTGACATTTGATTGAATGTGAAAAATCGATATTTCATTGTTTACAAAGTAAAAGCGTAAATAAAATAAGTGTGAATCATTCTTATCTACTCCAAAATAAGAATGGAAGGCATTAAAATCATGGTGATCTTGAACAGAATTTGATTTAGTTTTTTTTTATTTGTGTTATTTACAATGTTTGAACCGGCATCGATTCAATTGAAGAATTTGTTTTGTAAGGTCATAAACAAAATAATTTAATAAGTACACAATGGCCAAATTGCCTCAAGACTTGGGTTATACATACCATCTTCCTTCTGGTGGCATTTTGCTACGCATTCGAAATACATTATCACAGTTTAGTGATATATTTAGTGAATTCAATCGATTCATAACGCCAGCTCCATACCATGATCGTTGTGAACGTTCGGTGCATATGCGCCTATATTCGTTATCGAAACGTGAATTCGTCATGGCCATTTTAGCATTTTTTGTTTGCGAATTTCTTAGCATTTTCATTGGTTTGGCAGGTAAAAAATGTCACAAAAATAAAATTTAAACGGAAGTTTTACCTGGTTAGTATTTTCTTCTTTTTTTTTAAACGAAGGTCCGCCAATAACAACAACAACAATGCTGAGTGCAAGAACATTGATTGCAAACACATCGACTTCAAGTGATAAGAATATCATGGCCACTGGACCGCTTGTGATGCGCACACCTCTACTGAATACATATGCTCAGCAATTGTGGCTCATCGGCCGAATGGAGACTGACAACCGTGACAATGAAAAATTCGATAAAACATTTCAAATTAATGTGATGATCGAAGGTATGACCAAGGATCATACACCTGTTCAGCTATCTAGTGTTGTACGAAATCGGTATGTTAAATTAACACTTGGTAAAAATTTCATTGAACAGTCAACTAAAATGCGTGTTGGTATTATTTAATGTTATTATTTTTATTGAACTAATACGACAATGAAGTGAAAATGAAGTATCTACTTTTATAGAGGGAAGTTTTTTGGTTGATCTAGAATTTTTATAAATTATGAGCAACTAATCATTACTAATAGAAAAAGACAAAAAAATGTATTTGTGAAATGATTAAACAATAGTGTTTGTATAATGATTATCCTTAAAATACTTTGGATGTGCGATTGCCAATCGTAGTTTATCGAAGAATCGTTTTTCACCCCAACGCAAATTGATGTTGGCACTTAAATATGCTCTTATTTCGGATTGAAAATGTTTAATGCGGCCAATGTCTCCTTTTGTTATAATTATGACACGTGAACGTTTTTCATTCAACGCTTTTTGATGAGCAACACGAAATCCCATCAGTCCCCAAATATCAGTGTCTGTAAATTAAAAATGAAAATTACATATTATTGTACAGCAACCGGATAGACATATTTCAATATTTACCTGAATATTCACCCTTTGATTGACTTTGCTTCAGTTTATCAAAATATTCAGTGGAATTAGGTGATAAAATTACAATCGTTTGACGGGATTTTTCTACACATTTTGCGATCTAAATTCAGAAAAAAAAGACAGAAATTAACATTATTTTTTTTTTCACATTGTCAATCGAAAAATCATTTGATTTATAAGTCAAATAATTTTACTTGAGACTATATTTTTACCTGCTCTGGTATAATGTCCCCTCCTTGCATTTCTCGCACTAGCAAGCAAATTTTCAATGATTTTGAACCGACATTCTCCAATTGTGGCATCACGTCGTTGGCGACAAATTTCTCATCAAGCGTTGCATACCAAATGAAAGCGTCGTATTCTTTGTTGCAATCGACATGTGATTGTTTGCCAAAAAACCATGTTGCATTTTTCGCAAATAGCCAAACCATGATTTCTTGTCGTTTCATATAGAAGAATGTCGTTAACAGCGAAATCAATGCAACCAATGTAATTAGGAAAATCAATATGGGTGTCTTATCGATCGGGCACAGATGTTTTGCATCGATCAGGTTCAACTCCTTATCACTTTCACACATGAAATCGTTGGCATTGATCATTTTTGCGAAATTATTTTTAATGGATTTCATTGACGCATATGCCATACAATCGCATATCCATGGATTCTCGCCAAATGAAATATTTTGAAGTTTGTTCATGTGACTGAGCTTATCTAATGCCTCTGAACTAATCCGTTTTAATTTATTGCCCGATAAATCTAGCACCATTAAATTATCCGGAAAATGTTCGGCGTGAATATTTTCTATAAAATTGTTCTTGGCGTAAATGCGATTTACATATTTGTATCCGGTTAAATTACCCATTTCCAATGAGGTGATATTATTATTTTCGATGTACAGTTCAATAAGTTGCAATTTCAATCCCAAATATTGGCGAATGCTTTGTATGTCGGGAATTTTTGTTAAATTTGCATTCGAACAATTGTAAACAACCGCTGCATCGACGGGACGTACGTAACATGAGCATTGGTTTGGGCAATCGGTATGAGGCAGGGAACAGGTAAAATCGGTTAATGGAATATTTTCAAGTGGTTGGTCGATGAATTGCTGTGGCGTCGCACATTTCAAATGATTTGTGATGAATTTTATGCGATTTTTTTGCAAACCCGACGATTGATTACGCAACGCCGTGGCAAAATGAATGAGCAAACAATCACATTGCAATGGGTTATTGTTCAAAATCCATTCGACTTGTGATTCATTTTCAATAAGTGTAAAATCATGATCTACATGCAATGTTTTGATATTGTTATGTGACACATTTATTCGAATTGGATTGGTCCAATTATTGAAAATAAATCGAAAATTAAGCAATTCGATCTTGTTATTGCTTACATCTAATTTACTTAGTGCAAGATTCGATGTGTGCCAATCATGTAAAAATGTTGTCATTGAATTGTTTCGCATGTTTAGCTCTTCCAATTGATGCAAAGTTTGAAACGGTGATACATTCTCCACATCCCAATTGGTTTCGTCCCAGTTTGTTTCGTCAAAATTTTTGAAATGCAACATATTATTTTGCAGGTGCAACACTCTCAAGCCGGTACCGTCCAATGCGGTCATATGGATGGTGTGTAAATTATTATTATCCAAATACAAAAATTGCAAGTGTTTTAAGTCCGATATTAATGACCTGCATGAAGAAAAAACAAACAAAAAACAAAAATAAATACAAACATGCTGCGTGTAAGTGGCCTGCAGAGGGAAAATCCCCCGCTAATGATATGGTATTAACGAGTATAGTACGGATGTCAGAGATTAACTTTGAACCGTAAGAGAAAGCAGGTACGAAACCAAAACAAAGGATTCTGGCAAAGGAAACGGGAATTTCCCATGCAAAAACATAAAACAATTGACGAACAAAAAATGTGTGATAAAACGAACAATCGATATTATTTGTTGGAACTCGGGTTTTTTTTTTCCAGTTCTTACAAATCGCACATCTTTTATTCTACGCAGTGACCGGTTCGCGCATATTTCTATGCTTGCCTAAATACGCTAGGTAGCATAGATATGCCAAGCATAGCCGCAAACGCAACCGACGCATCGCCGTTCACTCTATATGAACAATACACATGTTCGTTTATGCAGACGACCGTGCGCATACAATATAGCTCGAATCGAATGGCGACGGGTGCGTTGCGGCTTACGTCTCCGCTATGCTTAGCATAGCTATCAGGCATAGAAATATGCGCGAACCGGTCACTGATTCTACGTACCTTGATATGTTGGTGAGACGATTGTATGATAAACGCAATACAATCAAATTTCTCGTCTCACTGAAAAGATCGTCGTCAAGTGATCGCAATTCGTTGAAGCTTAAATCCAATTCCAATAAATTAACTTGATGTTTGAAAATGGTCGACGGTATCTTGGTTAAATTATTATATGCAAACGATATGTTCTGAATACTTTTTGATTCGAGTAGCAGATCGTCTGGTAAAAGCATCAACCGGCAATCGTTGATCCATAAACCTTCGAGTTTTGGTAGTTTGCCAAAAAATTGCCTTGGTAATGTGTGCAAATCATTATTCATGTGATTGTGACTTATTCGAATTCGCTGCACTGCTTTATTTCTGGTGAAAAGTTGACGTGGAAGTGTGTTCAGCCGATTGCCATTCAAATTGATACTTTCAACGGCTGTAAAATGCTCAAATGCATTTCCAACCAACTCTTTGATATTATTTGAATTTATTTCCAAATCAATTACGGACGATACACCGACGAACATTTGCTTCGAAAGTCTTTTGAAATCATTATTCCACAATTGTAAACGTTTCAACTTTGACAGATGCTGAAACAAATCGTACGGTGCATTACTGAAATCGGTCGAGTCAATTTGTAAACTCTCTAAATCGTAGAAATTCTCAAAGATATTCTTGGGTAAACGCATTTTACCCGATCGCAAATCCAATGACTTTACATGTTCCACATTCGAAAAAAGTGTCTGTGGTAATGTTTTTTCTTTATTTTCGGGCGTTGTTTGTGCGAAAAATATCAATGAACGAACATTTTGGATGTGTAGCCAATTGAAAATTTTTCGAATCGATGCATTCCATTCGACTGGACAATCTTTGAATTTAACAACATCTGAATTGCCAATATTCCATTCGGGTAACAAATTTAAAATGTCAACGTTTTTGGCGTTACATTCGATTTCAACGCGATTTGTCGAACGTTGTGGCTCAACGCGTAATGTTATGTTTGCATCTATTCGACTTGGACAAGCAATTTCATACTGTGTATTGATTGAACACTCACAAAACGCGACACTTGGACAATTCAAACCACTTTCTGTTTCGATTGGAAAACTAAATGCGCGTACAAAAATTACGCTTAGTAGAAATGCAAAGGACCAACGATTTAAATAACACATTTTCACTTGGATTATACTTCTGTTTTGGTGCAGAGTAAGTTTAAGACTGAAGCATCATGTGAACTTGTTTTCCCATCCACCATAAATCCACCGACTGCAAAAACGAAGTAAATGACCTTTCGATAATTAAAAAAGGTCCAGAGTCTACATCTTTTCAAAGCACGACGATAATAACAGCTGGGCAACCGTTGCTTGTCATCGTCGTGCTTTGTATCTTTCTTTTTGAGTGGGATTTTTTTTTTTTTGTTTTCTTTTGTTTTTCTTCTCATATTTTCCTTTATTTGAAGTGACAAAATATACATAGTTTTGATAAAAAAATTCTCCCTTTTTTCTAATTTTGGACAGTACAAGACATTTGGTGTGCGAATGCAATTTTTGTGATGAATTCACAATTGTACATTTAGGTTTCCTTGAATATGCTCATTACATCATAACGGTACGATTTTATGACTTGGAACATTTCCATCAACGATATAACATTAAAGACTTGATATTGTTTGTAAGTAATAACATATTCATAATTAACTCAGAATCAATAGAATTTTTTAATCTAATTATTTTTTTCAAACATTCAGTTCAAAACATACAACCCCGATTTTACGCAAATTGAGATATGGTTTCGATTTATTTTTCTGTTCTTCTCATTTGTGGTGACCGTAAGTGTTGATTGCAGACAATATATTTAGCTGTCGTCATCTGGATATTACAGCTCATCTGGATATCGTCAGCAGATGATATGAAGTGAAAACAATAGAAGTGATTGTTATAGGTATATAAGCTTGTTATATACTGGTATTACTATAACAATCACTTCTATTGTTTCACTTCGCATCATCTGCTCACGGCATCCAGATGAGCTGAAATATCCAGATGACGGCAGCTAAATATATTGTCTGGTTGATTGGAGTGTTGGTGATTTTTATTTTAAGAAAGTTCTAAATAAACTTTGCAAATAATTGCAGTGTTGGTTCCAGCATACAATGAGACGATATCCACATTTTGATTGGTCAATCGAGCAGAAATGGATGAGTTTACTCTTGCCGCTTTTGGCTTTATATAATAGTTAGTCCACTCATATTCCATGGTTGTTGAATTTGGTTTTGAATTTTAACAATTTCGATTTTATTTTACAGATCCATTTTTCACGTTGTCCTTGTTGTTTAATTCATGGATGCCGGGAATGTTGGATGCTGTATTTCAGTCAACATTCTTGTGCTCGTTATTAATGTTTTGGCTGTGTATTTATCATGGTTTGCGACAAAATGAGCGAAAATTTATAACATTTTATCTTCCCAAATTGATTGTAATAACACCAATGTGGTTATGTGCCATTGTTCTCGCAACATGGGAAAAATACAACGAACTTCGTGATCCAACTTATAGCCATTTCGTTGATACAGGAAACTTTCAGGTACCAAATTGACCATTTTTTAATTAATTCGAAATGATTTCCATTTATAATGAAATATGTCGCTGACTCGTTTTTTCCAAAGGGTTTTCAAACATTTTTCTACATATCCTGTACAATGTACTTACTCTACCTGGCTCTGCTGATACTGAAAGCATACAGTGAACTTAGATCGATGCCATTTTTTGGTAAAATATAATTTTTCACTTTTATAATCATCATTTATTTAAAGCTATTTTCACTCGAATTAAAATGATATGTGTGTCTTTTTGTGACAGATATGCGCTTAAAGTTTTTGACACTTTTAATGATATTTGTTATGAGTGTTACGATTTCATTGGCTATGAATCGGTTTGGATTTGGAGTGTTGGAGGATAATTTTGTGGCCTCATTAAGTACGACTTATAAAAGTTCGGCACAGTTTATGTGTTTCTATGGTTTATTAAACTTTTATCTTTATACAATGGCATATGTATACTCACCGAGCGGTCGACCTGTCCATGGTAAAATTTGAATGAAATCACATTAAGTTTTTATATAGGTTTAGTAATAAATGATGGTTTATTTTATTTTTTACAGAAACTACAATAACCAAAGATAATCCGGCATTTTCAATGGTAAACGATTCCGATTATTTTTCGATTATTTTAAATTAATTCGATTCTCCCCTTAGGTAAACGATTCCGATGAAGATGTAATTTATGGTTCAGATGATGATAGCAGGCGTCCGTTGAACTCATCAACGGTAAAAGGCAACGATTATGATGACAGTGACTAATAACTTTAGCTTTTTCAAATAAAAGCGCATCAGTGACAATGACACTAAATCAGTATAATAATATAATGTTTTAAGTAATTTACTCGAGTTGGCAACTTTTTTTCGTTTCGACAAAAATATGCGCCAAATATACACAAAAGACACGTATCCTCAATGTGAGACGATTTGACATAAAATTCAGTTCATCCGAAGTCTCATTTATTTTTGGATAAATTTTAGTGAACAATTTTTTTTCTCAATATTTTTGCGCGTTATACCGAGTCTCCGAGAGTTTCATATATAGAGAAAAGACAGTCGAAAACACGGAAAAAATTTTTTTTACTTTATTTCTGCTGCTACATGGCATGCCAATATGAAACTCTCGGAGCCTCGGTATATTGCACAAAAATATTGAAATTTTATATTGTGTTTATCTCATATTGTGTTTTTTGTGTGTATATTCATAAAATATATATATTTTATGCTATAACATAGAGAATTATTCATGCTAAGTAATTTAAGAGAGAAGAAAATGTAATTCAATTGTGCTGAGCACTTTTAGCAGATATGTCAATGTGGATTGTATGATTTCATTTGAAATAAAAAGAATAAAAACTAATGAACTGTTTTTTTCGGAAGGCTTCAAACAAAAAAAAAACATACTTAACATTTTGTTCGCCAATTTTAGGTTTTTCTAAGCATCTGCATGAAGTTGGTGTAAAAAAATCCATAAATTTGGAAAAAAACACTTTGGTTAATGTTATAAGTATAAGCTTGCATTTTATTTAATAAAACAAGCACAGAGAACATCTTTTATGTGTGGCTAATATATGTCATCTAATTTTAACAAATTCCTTTTATACAGTTTTCCAGACAGGAGTTTCGATGGTGAGTAATTGCAGATGAATGTTCTCCGCTTTTATGACGTTTGTTGGAACAATAATTGTTTGCTATTCTTGATTTCTTCTTGTAATGCAATGGCCTTCTTCTTATAGATTTCGGCTTTCTCCTTATTTTTTTCGGTTCCTTCACCTCTTGCGTACATATGCGCTAGATTGGCGCACGCAAACATATTATTTAATTCACAAGCTTTTGTTGTCAATTCAAATGCTTTTGCCATATTCTTTTCCACCGTGTAATCGCCTGCTTTTGTATTGGATTTTTTCACATTTGCTTCGGTTGAAGACATAAGTGGTGCTGTGGTTTCTTGCGATCGAATTGGTCCTTCCGCACCGGATATATGCATACCAGACAAATAATAACACGCATTGCCATTATTCATGTCGCAACTTTTGGTCAAATACTCCATTCCCTGAAAGTGTACAATAAACTACTATTTTAAAAGGATTCAATGGAAATGTTCTCTTTGCATATCAATTTTGGAATAACAGAAAACGAAACTTGAGTTCAATTCAAAGTAGTGTCTATTACCTTCATAAAATCGCGCCTGTCGTTCATCTTCGGTGATACCAGCAGTAGTCCTGAATTGGTTAAAAATCATTAAACATGACAGTTAAACAATCTAATGCGAATTGATGCACTTAATGAAGGAATGGTCTAATTTTTGAATAGAAAGTTGATTTCTTTTTACCGGCATTTAAGCAGTTTTCACTGTCATTCAATTTACACCCTTTTTCATAATACTCTAATGCTTCGGTTGGATTTGGTTTCGAGCCACTTTTTCCGCGTCCGATGAATGTGTAGTTCGCATATTTTAAACAGGATTTTGCATAGCCATAATCGTCGCACGTGGAGCGAAATACTTTTCGTGCTTTTTCATAGTCACGATGAATCGATTCCAAGTAGTCGCCCAGCAAATGACACACTGAATCAAATAAAATATTCAATAAACAATTGAGCAAATCACATTTTATGCGGCACATTTTTACATACCTTCCGGTTTCTTTTCGGAATAGCAACCAAACCGGTATTCGATACCGATATTACTTAAATACTCCTTTACTTCAGCTTCATCTTGGAAATTTACCGACATTGTTTGAATTGATATTTAATTGTTACGTTATTATAAAATCGGAAATCAGACTATGTTATTATGAAATTGGTTAATAATCTTGTAATTGACAGCTTTGGTCTATACACATTTCTGTCAATGTAATGCGTACTTCAATCACATTGATACGATAGTTCACGTATTTACCGTTAGAGGGCCAGACGTTGAGTGAAACATTTGCCTCGACATCCAATTTGAATCTTATTTTCACTCATTGAAAACACATTTCTCTCGATAGGCTACATATGACTGAAATGATTTTGGTTCTAAAATACATTTTATTCGGTCTTTTTATTGTCTACAGTTCATTCACATAACATTTGACTATGTATACAGTTCTTGAAAATAAATTAGGAGCTAATGTAGGCTAATTATTCTATGGTAACCGCTTAGCATTTCAATTCTTGAAGGAAATGACAAAACTTAGGGCTCGTGGTTCATCAATTGACTTGATAACAATTAACGTTTCTACATCTCAAAATTGGTGAAAAAGTTGATTAAATACGAAAATGATTCTAATGCACAGTCTAAGCAAGGTGACTTTCTCTATATGAATGCCTTTTGATTCTTGCACATCATGTGATATTGTTCTTCAAGCTAAATGGTTGCCAATGGCAACTTGCCATCATGCATTGCATAAGCCTCACTTTTAATTTTACATGGTATACAGACTAATTGCCATTGAAATGTACTTGAATTTTTACATATGTTATCTTGTCGTCACACAAAATATTTCCATTATCAAATCAGTTTCTTTTTCCACTTACGTCAATCGAAAATTTAACAACAACAAAATATCATCTGAAATCATATCATTATCATCAGAGAAGTATAAGAGAAAAAAACTAAACTTATAAAGGTACATTTTTGAAAGTCATTCATTCAATTGAATTAGATTGTTTACATGTGTGTTTGTATTTGTGTGTATTGGTATGTTTCAGCTGTTCATTAATTTTCGTTGGAATAGAATTATTTATAATTTAAGTAAATTTTTTTCAATTTTTATTATTTCGTTTTTCTTTTTTTTTTTCATTTTGTTTTACAGTGCAATTAAGCGACGGTCTTTTTTAATCTGTACAAACTTATTTAGCACCAACAACTTTTTTCAAAGCTGGTGTCGAATATGATTTCGGGCGTTCGATTGGCAAACCAAGAGCACGTGAGATAACCAATTGAGCCAAAACACCAAGAGCACGTGATACGCCAAACATAACGGTGTAGTAGTTCATTTCTTTCAAATTGTAGTGTTGCAACAAAACACCAGAGTGAGCATCAACATTTGGCCATGGGTTCTTCACTTTGCCCAATTCAGTGAGGATTGGTGGAACAACTTTGTAAACGGTCGAAACGAGATGGAACAATGGATCGTTTGGCAAATGTTTCAATGCAAATTCACGTTGGCATGTGTACCGTGGATCAGTTTTACGTAATACAGCATGACCATAGCCGGGCACAACTTGTCCTGATTTCAATGTTTTCCAGATGAAGTCTTTCAATTGGTCTTCGGTAACATTGTCACCAACTTCCTGTCGCAATTTTTGAATCCAAACCAATACTTCTTGATTGGCCAAACCGTGCAATGGACCAGCCAAACCATTCATACCGGCGGCAAATGAAAGGTATGGATCACTCAAAGCTGAACCAACCAAGTGAGTTGTGTGAGCTGATACGTTGCCACCTTCGTGATCACTGAATTGAAACAAAAAAAAACATAGATTTATCCCGAATTAATTTCATTTGCAATTTTATCATACTGTTTGTCTCGGCGTTCTTACCTATGGATTGTAAGGTACAAACGCATCAATTCTGTGAATTTTGGATCGTCGAAGCCTAACATACGTGTGTAGTTGGCTGACCAATCCAAATTTGGATCGATTGAGCCGATTCCCTTGCCGTCTTTGTATGTGTTACGATAGATGGTGGCAGCAATAACTGGCAATTTAGCAATAAGATCCATACTGTCTTCATATGTGCTTTCCCAGTATTTTGATTTATGGACACCCTGTGTTCAAATATTCAACATTTCAAAATTACATCGATTCGAATAATGAGATAATGAGAGTCTTTGACATCTGATATACTTACAGCACCGTAAGCTTTGGCGAATTTGCTATCGTGATTGAGTGCGGTGATAGCGGCAGAGAATTGTGACATTGGATGCAATGTGTTTGGCAAGTTATTCAACAAAGTGACAACGTGTTGTGGCAAAGCGGCACGTTCAGCCCATTCACGTGACAATTGCTTGACTTGAGATTGGGTTGGGATTTCACCAGTGAGAAGCAACCAGAAAAGACCTTCTGGCAATGGTTCTTCACCACCCTCAGCCTTTGGCAACACTTTCTGGCATTCTGGAATTGACAATCCACGGAAACGGATTCCCTCATCTGGGTCAAGTACAGAGCATTCCCAAACCATGGCTTTGATACCACGCATACCACCGTACATCTATAATGAGGCGGAACAATTATTCATTCAAATGAAATAGAAAAAAAACCGCTTGACAAGAAAAACTACTTGTAAGCCATATATCAATTTACAATTATACGCAATGCACACGTGGCTTCGGATAAACGGAACATACTACATTAGTTCGCATGATTAACTTTGTTTTTACCGCACACTTGAGATAACGTTTAGAAAATCATGTACAGTGCCCGTGCAAAAATGCTCTCTTCCATAAAATGCGGTACAGCATCATCATTGATTTATATGCAAATTTCACACGGACCACAAGTGAATGCTCAAAACAAAAGGGAATGGCAAAAATTGTATGAATTGATTTGCTCGACGAGTGTCACAAGAGAGCAACCATGCGCAAGTAAGTGAATTAATCAAAGTCAATGAAAATGAATCAAGTGTGGCATTAAAATGAATATGCGACCTAAACATGATTGATTCAATCATATTTGCATCATATACATATCATAACAGGACGCCAGGCGCCAAATCATATATAAACATAAACTAATTCAATTCCGTTTTTGCGTGTGTAAATTTGATAATGACATTATTTGATTTTATTTTTTATTTATGACCCGACTTACCATGTCAACGGTAACATCTCCAACTTTGGTTGATCCATGACTCTTGCGGAAGGCCTTAACAGTTTCTTGCTCTTGAGGAATCTTTTCGGCGAGCACGTCTTTCAAAGATTTCTCGCTGGCAAAGTTGCGCACGAATGTAGTGAGAGCCGGGATTGTTTTCTGTTTTGTGATGAAAAAAAAAAGAGAAAATATAACCATTAAATTTTATTCCAAAAATGATAAAGCCCAAAATTTACATAAGACATGAAGTTCGCTTAATTATTTTACAGAGTAACGGATTCATCGAACCACGTAGATCGTTTAAAAAAGAGAAAGACACATTGCAATGGGACAATAAATAACATATTTTAATTGAACCATTTATTCGCAGGCATTACACGTCCAACAATTTTTTTTCGTGATTGGTTATTTCCGCGAAATCAACGAAAAACGAAAATTAAAATATTATTCAAACATGAAACGCTCTTAGTAAACCAAGAAGAGTATATCAAAATGAGTTTTTGCATTTATCGAAAACACTAGAATTCATTGTGCAATCGAAGAAAAAAAATAAACATTTTAAACAAATTGAAAGAGGAAAAAAAAAACAAACACGCCGAATGGCATATCAAAAGAGAAATACATAAAGTGAACAGTATGCGTAAAGCAAATGCATGGACGATCTTTGCGATTCAAAGTGTTTATATTCACGTTAAATATTATTCAATGTGTTTTTATATGATGCGGCAGTACACTTAATTCAATATCACGACTTGACAACTTATGAGACAGCTAAATACCAAAAATGAAATCACTGTCTCAATTTGGATTTATGAGATGTATACTTTTGGTTTGGCTTCAATTATATACATTTGTGTTACTATAGTTATGATCATGATATTCGTCTATAGATCAAAGATCAACTGTCTATTCGATTCGGACTATTAAAAGAACAATTTGGTGGTATTCTCCAAAAAGAAAACGGAAAAGGTGTACTTTGAAGAAGCTACTCAAGATGGATTATTGCATTGTCAATTATTTTCTCAAAACTAATGATGGATTATCGAAATCTTCAATAAAATGTCTAAATAGACGTCAATTAAAACTAGTCTTGAATTTTTCCAACAAATGTTAGCTGTTCTTACAGCTTCGTTTCGTGTGTTAAAACGACATTAAATATAACTTTTGCATTAATGCTTATAGTTTGTGTGCGTATTTGTTGCATTTTTCTAACAATGGGGTGGCAAATGTAAATGCAAAAACGAGGGCGCGACAAGGTCTCGCGTGTGAATATGAACAATCCAATAGATACAACGATAAATTCATCAAATATTTATTTTTTGCAAAACATTGAACATTCTCTCACTTGATCTTGCAGTTCAAAATCGCGCTCGCGCAAGATTTCATGTCTTAATGATTACTGTTGCTTGCCAATTAAGTGACGTGTTAACGAATAAACCCGGAAATGAGACAAGTGTATGTGTTGTTCACAGCAAAAACATGTGATTGCTCTATAAAAAATAATATCATTTTTTCTATTCCTTATGAAGTGCATGTCATTTAAATGATCATGACGGCATGTGTGTCTGTGAAGTTTTTGATATGATTGTGTTCGATACAGATTTTGAAAAAAGCGAATAAATGCGAAAAAAAACAACTACTTTGTTGTTGTATTGTGATTCGTCATTCAACCAGTTTGCGAGTATGTCATTTCCAATGACATAGAACAACGATTATACAATGCTTACTGCTTCTCTTTTTTTCTATCTTTCACTGTATGCAGTTTCGTAATTAATTGTGATAGACTGTACATCATGTGTTAAATGCTCAAGACAAATGATAGACCAAAATTCTAATCGGTTCTCAAATATTGATTATGTGTTGCCGCCTCGCCAACCAAGTGTTCTTCTTATCACTTGGCAAAAAATGAATAAAAAAAAGAAAGAAAGAAAACTTTCACAGCCGAAATAAAGCGAGCATGACTTTGCACGACGCTTAAAGCCTGAATTTGAAGTGTGTATAATTGTGAATTCAGCGGTGAATTGTATGTGCCCTCTGTGTGACACCAAACAACATTCGATTGTGATCACGTATACGCATATCACACACAAACAAAAGAGTAATATAGACAGTTGGCTACGATTCAAACAATCTTAATGCGTGTTCATTGCACCACCGATCACTGCCGCCGTTTGTCGCTCCGAATATTTTATATTGGTAAATATCATTGACATGGTTTGGACTTTGAAAATCCACAAATACATACGCACGATATCTCTTTCAAACCAAACCGGGTTTTATGACGACGAAATCCCGACTCTATGAAAATAAAGTTCTTTGATAAATGACAAAAAAAAAATGGGACACAGGCTTGAGATAAAAGTGAAATAAATAAAAAAGAATAATCATGCGAAAAACTTCAATAAATGTTCGTTGAACAAAAGCATTGACAGGTTGCATGAGTTATTGATTGAGCCGTAGTGGAATTTTTTTACAACACGCTGCCGTTTGATGCGTTCACACAATTATATAATCACATTTTGCGGATCTCGAATCTCATACTAATGATATCATGTGACCTTGTCGAATCGAAGAAAAATCTTTGTCAAAAAAAATTCTGGCAACGTTCAAAAATAATTAATTCAATCGAAAAAAAATGCCACGACTTCTCTTCGAAACATTGGTATTGTTAATATTCTGATTGGTTAAAACGAAGAAGAACTAGTTATGTAATTCTTAATATGGGCTCTCCCATCTACGTAGGCATCTGTTGTAAATCGGTTCGATTCTGAAGAAATATTCAGTTCTTTTTTTTTTCATTTGGTTACACAAAACTTGTTCGTATATAATTCTCTGTGTTTTATATTAATTTCCTTTTTCTTGCACTAAAGCACTTTGTTTTTATATTTTTACTCATTTCAAAACAATAATATCTGCGTATCGATTAGTTACAAACAATGGAAAATCGAAGCGAATTGACTTTTCGGTTAGAAAATTTCTCATATTCGAATGTTTCAACTCTTCTTTTTTGAAAACGATTTTTTTTATTTAAATTTTTCTATTGTTTATTTAACTGACCTGCGACTCAACTAATTTACTTGTGGTCATTCGCATCATCGCCATTTTCGTAAAAAGTTTTTCCTTTCGGTTTTCACGCGATTCTAAAATTAAGTGGAAATTCGACAGGCGCTACGTTCCGAAGTATATTTTCAGCACAACCGCACTATTGAGCACACCGTATTCTTCTGGCAGTAAAGCGCCAATTTATACTCGTACACGAGTGGAAAATGACGAACAAACATACACGCAGATGTATCTATATAAGATTGCAATGCTGACAACATTCTCGCAATGAAAATCGAACGACATAATCATCAATGAGCCTCCCTGCTCGTGTGATGGCGGTCTTTTTCAATGAACATTTTTCAAACCTCAAATTTTGTATAGAACTTTACCGATTATTCAAAAATAAATAATTCCTTCGGAGAAAATCAATTGAAAAATTCAAATCAAATTCAAATTAGCCGTAAAATTATATGATATTTTATTTGTTCTATGCCTCCCTCATTTGAGTAGTTTTTCGCTGTCATCGGTCATTTGACATTTCCGACTTACTGTGACTTTGACACTTACAACGTGATTTTTGATCGAAATTGTCACTATGACACGCTGACACGCTGTCGGTATGGGATTCGTTGTGTCATCCAGTGTTGTATTCCACAAATGTGTCAAAGTCAGGCGCCAAATAAAATCGTATTTTAAATTCAATTCCAATTGAATTAAACGCGACGTATTTTATATTCATCGAATTTATTACCAAATTAAGTCCAAATTTTACAAATGATTCAAAGACTCTTAAAATGTTGACGGAAGTCTTGGTTAGGATTTCCCTCCGGGCAAGATTAATTCTCCAACGCAAAAGAAGAAAAATGGCTTGAAAAAGAAATAAAACAATGTTGTGTTGTTTTCTCTTAAAAAAAAAATAATTAATATATTTATTCATAAAATTAAAGTAAAATTTGGACAATTTCTTTGCATACAATTACTAATAATATGTAGTACATTTATATATTTAAATAGGTTTTTTTGAAATCTACAACGTGATTGAGGCTATTGGATATTTCGTTTCCGTGGAAGTGTGTATTCCGTAGATTTTATTGGTCGGCGGATAAAGGGTTGTAATAAACGAGGACAATTTATTGATCATATTCCGTCTTCTTCTTACAGTTTAAGAAAGAAACAAATATGGGTTGTGTGTTTATAATGTTAATCTGATTATTTAAACTGATACATTTATTAGCAAATAGCAATAGAATTAATCCCAAAAAAGAAAATCGATTTTTTTTTCTCGTTTCGTTACACAATGACACCATTGAAAGTTTACTTTTATTTTATTATAAGTTTATTCTTCACGAAAAAAAAAGAGAACTGAAACAATTTCTCTGATTAAGACATTTTTGGGGCAGTAAAGTTGCTGTTTTTGATTGCTATTTTCGTCTTTTTTGCCCATTTTTAGCAAACGGTTTTAGCAAATGTTTACTCTTCTGCCTTGGCTTTTTCTTTCTGTGGGTGTATGTGGTTTATGTGTTTTTGTTTACATGTAATTCACTACAGTTAATATTTTCTCTGATATATAAGTAATATTTTTTTTTCATTTCTCAATAAAATTCACTTCAAAACTTTCACAAATTTATCGATTCTGTTAGTATAATTATATCTGTTTGTGTGTGTGTGTGTGTGTGTGTTTTTTTAACGCTATGTACTGACATTGAATCAAATTTAAATGCTTATTACATATTTATAGTTTTTTATGTTATGTGTGTGTGTTGATTCGGTTTATGTTAGGTAAAATTATGATGCTTTTTTTTTGTTGTTTTGAATGCTGGAAACAATTTTAAAAACGGCGGTAATCGTTTTATTCCAAGCACGTTTTCTATGTTTTTTTTTTAATAGTTGCTACAATCAAAACGACAAATGACGCCGTTTTAATGTGCAATTTCAGTGTATGTGTTCCATGTGCATTTACTTTTTTGCCCTTTTTTTTAAATCGAAAGATGATTTGGGAAACAAATTTTATGTGCTAGAATATTATTCTCTTTTTTTTTTATTTCGTTTTCATTTTCTTGTCTTCCTATGGATACTCTAGTATATATTTATTGTAAAATTATTAACTTAGTAGGTAAAACTTTTTTTATTATTATTTTTTTCTCTCATTTCATCATTTTTTTTTTTCATTTATCTTTTGACATATTCTGAGGTAGTTTTTCATTTAACAAACAAAAAAAGAATTGTATTAAATTAAACGTATAAGAAAAAAGAAGATAAAATTGATAGAATGCTTTTTTTATGTAGTTTCCTTTTTTGCATTTTTCTCGTATGTTTTGAAATTCTTTTCTCGTAGTTTAGAAGGTATTTTTTTTAATATTCGATAATATAGTAGTAGTTATATAAAAGATGAAGTATAAATAGGTACAGACTATAACATAATTTAAAAGAAGAAAAATTAAACTGAAAAAAAAAACACAATTACAAATTGGAGAGTTGGGAATTGTATATGTATATATATATTGTATTGGGCGCTAGTAAAAATGACAAACAAAAATATGTATGTAACGCACTCACGCACTTTAAAATGTGTATGTGCGCGGACTCTGAATCATGCTATCTATTGTATTGTATGGATTTGAATTACTACGCAGGAACAAAACCGGTTTATTTATTTTCTTTTCTATTTGATCGGAAGCTTCTTTGATTCGCAACATATATAAAAAAAAACATTTCTATTTATTTTTGTGTTAAATAAGAATATTTCTTGCTATGTTTCGTTCTATTTCGTTTGTGGTTGATGGGCACTGAGGATACAATAAATGACCAGAAAATAAACTATTATCACACAGGCAGGCCATTTAATGCATTTTTCTAAACTATTTTCTGTTTTGCTGCGGTGTGCGTAACAACACACAAATATATATATATATATTTTTAAATATTTGAATTGGTGTTCCCAACTTGAAACAATTATAATTGCATTTCTGTCTCTCGCGATTTTATAGAGAAAAGTAAAACACGTTTAAAAAGTTAATCCCTTTGCTGCTCAAACATTTTTTGTGTGCTTTTTTCATCGTGTTTTTTTTTGTTTTTCAATTGTTATGTGTCTATTCTAGTTGAATATTTGTTAAATGAGTTTTTATTTTATTTTATTAACTTTGAAAGAAATTGTATGAAATGCTCTTTAAATAGACTGTTTATATTCATAAAATGGTTGATTATTTTTTTGTTTTTAATAATTTACTGCTGTTTGCAAATACAAATTACTCTTTTTTTTCTCTATAATTCTCATTCTAACAATAAATAGAATTTTCCCTATAAAACATGCATTTTTTTCGTTTCATTTTCTTCTTCATTTATTATGAGTTATTTTTTTAATTCTTATTTATGGAATTTGAAAACATCTCGTTAAAATGACAAATACAACTAATATATATTTTCGCGTGAAAAACAAACACTTAACGAAAGAAAAAAAAGAAAAACAAGGGGAAAGGATTTTTTTTTTCATTTTCTTCAATATATTCTTTTTTTTGGCATAAATGCCAATTATGCGATCTGTGTCTAATGTTGTATGAATGAAACGCATAATATTATTGAAGTGAACGTAAAAAAGGGTATTTTTTTAATAAGGAAAAATAATTAAAGAAGGGGTCATAAAACATAACGTTCGTTGCAAATATTTTGTGTTTCTCAATTCTGCACAACAAAAAAGAGTGATTCTGCAAAATGACTCTGATTATTGGTATCAAAACGATTACGTCAATGTTATTTATATATGTGGGTGGGTGTTATTTTGATGAATTCCTATTTATGAGCGCCAGTTGATAGAAGTTGCAGGCCATTTATAGTGTAGTTCAGTCTCCGATTCGACCACAACTATCCATCAACCTAAACTCTGCGATGAGGTACAAAAATATGGAATAATCATTTATTGGCGTAAAAATGTCGAGTTATTTCGTTGTTTCATTCATTTTAGAATCATGTGAAACCGAGGAGAGTTTTTTTTTGTCTCTTGCTTTTAAAAAAAAACTTGTTAACGAATCGTTTGTATTTAACCAACCAGAGCCTTCTTTTGTCTTATGAATTTAGTACATATTAATTTTACGTTACGTTGATTCTATTACTAGATGAATCTTAAATATTTTCTTTTAGTTTTACTTGTATTGTTCTTATGTTTCAAATAAAAAAAAGAGACACATTTTCCATAAATGTTTGCAGTTACTTGTAAATACAAAAAAAAACGTTATAAAACGAAGAAAAAAAATTAAATTGGAATTTTATTTTTGGCAGATTCGGTCGAATCAATGAACGCGATTTTCTTTCGGTTGATCGTGTTTTATTTTCTTTTCTTTCGATGAACTGCTTCCCGATAATCAAATCATAAAAAAATAAACGTGTGAAAAAACACTGTTCCATTTTAGTAAATTGTTTTGATATTGAAATGCAACGAAAAAAAAATGATTTGTTTGTTGTCTTTTGAAATTTTACATCTTTTTTTTTTCTTTCATTCTCGACACACATTTAATTTTATAGGTTTATTTCTAAAATATTTATTCAATATACTTTTTATTGGTTTCTGCGAAAATTGACGGTTAGTTCAAACAACTATTTTCTTTTGAATTTGTTGCCAGCGTGAATTTTTCGAATCCATGAAATTATTTTTATTTCTTTTGTTGTTTTTCCTACTTCATTTGATTCGTTTGGTTTCAGTAAATGTAATTTCATTTGCATTTTATTTTTTGTCATTTTTAAAAAATTTCTTATTTCATTTTCTCCTTTAGTTAAGCGAGCAAAAAAAGTACCGTTAGAATGGAACACTTTCGTTTTGGATAAATGATGTCTCATTTCCATGGGTTTACTAATCATCTTTATTTTGTTTCAAAAAATTTCTTGTTGTTTTGATTAGGCATCATTTTCAACACAAAAAATTTACATTTTTTTTTTATCTCTCATTTCCTATGTGGTTCAATTTTCAAAAGCTTCGGCAAATTAAAACGTATTGTATCATTCTCTTCAAAACTGATTTTCTATGTACTTCATCTTTTCTTCTTTAGTGAGCTTCTCTCTTGTGAATATATTCTGTTTTTATTCATTTTCATTTTTAATTTGAACATTCAAAAATGTTTGGTCGCATGAACTTTGCTTCTGAAAATTTGATAGTTCATCCTGCTTACGAATCGGTGGTAAATCTGGCAAAATTTAGAATGTACCGGTGACGGATGGAGATTCTAATCAAACGATTTATAATGGAAATTGTAAATTTGATGAAAATAGCTTCGAGCGCTGTTTTTTTTCTTCGTTTGTTTGCAAATATTGTCCATTTTGATGATGGGTAATCATTTGTTTTTGTTTCGTACAATATGTCAATTCTTGAGCTAAAATTTGTACTTTCCAATCTTTGTACCGACTGTTTCTCTCGAGATATAAAAATACAAACAAAATATGCCTCTAACAAAAGCGAGCAAACGATTCGGCAGGAATTCCAATATCAAATCATTCGAAGTAAAGAAATCATTGAAAAAAACAAAATCTGTCTTCTTTCTTCTATTACGAAAAACATGAACTTTAATTTTGATGCGAATAGTTTTGTCTGATCGAGTTATTTCAATATTTGAATGTGAAAATTCGATTTGTTTCGGACGCGATGAAAATAGTTCTCATCGACGCTTTGAAAATGGGATTGTTTATCATTTCGTAGTTTGCTATTCATCTGGGCCAAATCTATCGTAATATTGGAATATAGCGAATCGATTTTTATTCATTTTTTTTTTTCGTTGAAAACGTTTTTCTAATTGTGTCATTCATTTGTATATTAAAATTACGGCGTGTATTGTTTTTGGTGGAATCAAACATACTGGCTATGGGCCAATATGAGCTGAGTTGATCTTTAGAATTTGGCGGAAATCCATGCATTTTGAGTGATATACGATTTTTGAGTGTGGTGTCGTTGGCAGTGGCTGCTGTCTGAATTTGTGTAATTGATTTATTTTTTTTACTTTTTTTTCTTCTTATAGACGCGAGAATATGTCTGGATTATATATTTTTCGTTAATTAAACGTATGCTTTTTCATGTGAAAGTGAACATAAGTCCATTTATCACTTGTCCAAAAAATAAAATAAAAGGAAAATAAATTTTAATTTGAAGAACTGATTGAAATCATTGTTTTTTAAAAAAAAATTGTCAAAAGCAAAACGAAATAAAATTGTGATAATTTCGTTGGTGTCATGTATATTATCTGGAAATTATATGATTTAAACTTTTAGAAAATTGTATGCAATTTCGTAAATGAGCGTTGGAGCATTGAGCGCGTACATTGAACGCGTTGAATACTGTTGCAGTGCCATTTTGGCGTTGGAAATTGCATAAAACTATTCCAAAAGAAAAGTGCTTAAGATTTTTTCCCTAATGCCGTGGCTTGAACGTCAAAAAAACGGACAAATCGTTTCTCATGGCGTTCAAGGTCTATTGATGTTCTTTTTTGCTTCTTTTTTTTTGGAAACCGAAATTAATGGAATTTATTTAATTTTTCAAAGAAAAAATCTAAAGTAAGCCTAAACTTTGGTATCACTTCATAAAATCTCTTACACTTTGTTTTTTTTTTTCTTATATAATTTCCATTTTGTACAGTAACACTCTCAAAAAATCCAAAAAACATTTTTCTTGTTTCTTATTCCTCCTCCTCTTTTTTAAATAAACTCAAAAAAGACAAAAAAATATCTACCCGACTAACTATTCAACATGATCACATTTTGAATTGTGATAAAATGCGCCTAGAATGTATAAAAAATTTCATTTCACTTAATTTATCAAAAATACGTATAGGTTTTCTCATCATTTCTCCTTATCAACGTTTTTTCTTTCTTTCTTTCTTTCTTTCTTTCATTCTCTTTTCTTTTTTTTTCACCTTTACGAAACATTAAATGCCATATCACACTAGCTCATCTGTAATTCCGTCTTGGCACAATTAAACAACGTTCTCATTAAATAATAGTAAAAGTTTCATTTTTTTCCATTTTTTTGCATTCATTTTTACCATTTTTTTTAATTAAAAAAATTCTTTAACGATAAATAGCCTCTATAATTTTTTTTTACTCATAAATTCGAAGACGAATAGCTAATTTATCAAATGGTTTATGCCTTTCTTTTATTCTCTTTTCATTTCTTTTAATTCGTCGTTAAGTTACTCTTTTGCTTTTATTTTCTCTTCATCTTCTCTTTTAGCATCCTTTGAAAAAAGAGAAATTTGCTGGGCTCTGTAGTGTCCCTATAATTTTTGTTTGCTCTTTCAGCAATCTTGACAATTTTTGTCGTTTTTGTTTTTTTTTATCAAAAATAATTCCAATAAAATAATATTTTTAAACTTATTCTTACCATTACTACATTTAAGATATCGTTCTCAATGAAAACTGTTTCTTGATTGAAATCATGGTCGTAGTCGTTTTTTGTTTTAAATATTTGTTTTGGAGCAATTTCTTGACTTTTAAAATTTCATTCGTCTTTGTGTTTTCTTCTTCAAAAAGTTTGTTTTTTTCCCGTTTAAGTAGAATTTCATCGTCATTTATAATTTTAATGGTGCTCAAAAGTGCTTGTGTTTCTTTTGTCATCTCTAACGCAATTTTGAATTTCAGCAACCAAGATAGTCAAGTTTGGGCATTCTATTTTTCATTTCTCAATGCAATCGATCTATTGAAAACTGCCACATAAGTATGGTAGAAGAATTAATTTTGATCTTCTGAACTTTTCGATTGTTTGAGTAAATAATTTCTCCATTTCCATAGATGGCCGATTTGTGATTGTTGTTTTTTTCAGTTCATTCATTTTACTTGATTTTTTCTATCATTCTAAATCACTAATGGTGTTGTAAAATGAATGTGCGAAATATGAAAACGAGTGTATGAAAATAGAGTTTGCAGATGTTTACATTGTTCGGAATATCTCCGATTATCGATTCGAAAATAGAAAATTTACATCATTCAAGTTGTCATTTGCAGGATTTTTATTGAAAATAATCTTTGACCTTCACAATAATACAAATGGTTTCGATACGCGTGCGCATCAATTAAATGCAGTTACATAAATACTTGAACGCATTTCGTTCCATGTGTTTCTGTTTTTCGTATTTTCGTTTCCTCCAAAGAAAAGGAGTTTTATTAAAGCAAATGCTATAAATGAGAAAAGTCAATTATGATGAAAAATGACATTTTTCAAACAGAAATGAGATGATGTTTGTGCTTCTTTACAAATGTTTTTTCCTCTCTTCGTCGTCTGTTATTTTGCTTCGGTGAAAAAACATTTGCCGTTTCTAGTATATTTACTGATTTCATAAAATAATGCACTTGCAATGAGGTATTCTCGTTATAGTTTGTTTCATTTTTTGCGTTTATTTGTTTTTTTTTTTTTTAATGTTCGATGAAATCTCTCTTCCTTTTCTTCTTTCTCTCTCCCTCTCACTTTCTTGATCCGATTGAAAAAGAAATACTTCGATGCTGACATTGAAATGAACCACCATACACAACAACTAGAATATTATTCGTTTCATTTTAAAATTTCATACTGTTTCTAATACCTAAACAAACTTTTTTCCACTCTTGATTATGTTGTTTTGCTACTTTGATAAATCCGGCGACAGGCCATCTATTAGTGTATGTGTGTGTTCGACAATTTGAATTTTTTCCACCATTTTTATTGGGATTCTTCTTTAAAAAATGGTTATTTTTCGAAATAAAACCGAAATATTAAGCCAACGTTTTTCTTTTTGCAGCAATGTCACTTTGTTTGGATAAATGATGTCAATTACGTAAATTATTATTATGATATCAGAATCGAGACGCAAACAAATATTATGTAAGTATAACCAGTGAGTGTGGGCGTGTGCAACGTCTTCCACCGTATTGACTGTGGATTCAGAAATCACCCCATCTTTCCAGTATTCTTTACATTTTCTTTCACAATAGAATGAGAAAACTGTCAATTTTCCATCTATTTAAATAAAACATAATCAATAAACTGAAGTATTACGTATGTACACTTAAAAACTGTGAATAAGAAATGAGGTGTTCCAATATGTAAAAACACGAGGGTAAAAATTACAAAAAAAAATATAAAAAAAATATAAACGTGCGTCAGCAGTTAAACTAACTGCTCCAAACTGATTATATTACGTTACAATCTGTATTTAAAAAAATGGGAGCAAATGCAATAAATATTTCAACATATGACATTTACATCTCTATCCTTCTCTTTGAATTGATCCTGTCTATAAGTTAGCATGATGTTTATGCTTCCATAAAAATCATTTTATTTAAAAAAAAAACACGTATTTCTAGGCTAATATTTCATTATATTATCTCATGTGAGCACCGTTTCAGTTAAAACAGTTAAAATAAGGCAATAAATATGAATGTAATAGGGTTTATGGCGATAAAACCAGCGGTAATTCAAGCGATTCTCGCTATGATTTCTCTCTCTATTTTGATGTTTGCTATTTTTATTTATTATTATTATTGTTCTTATAGTTGCTTGTTGTTGTTGTGTGTGTATTTATTTTTGGTGGCCAAGAAATTGTGGATGCTTTAGATATATGAATAATAACGTTTATTAGTAAAAAAAAAATAAAAACAAAATCATCAAACATTTTTTTTTGCTTCGGCTCTCAATAATCGGCGTATTTCAGAAAAAAAAATTCATTATCAACATTTGAATGAAATGTTATTTTAGGAAAAAAAATTGAACTGATTAACATGACAATAATCAGTGGTTTGATAACAGTTTAATTATAAAAGAGTTTTTGTAAGTATTTCTCTGCTTTTTTATCTCTCTTTAATTTGTTGATGGGTTTTTTGTTTGAAAGAATTTACCAAAACATGTATTCGTTCAAATCAGTATTTCTCTACTTTCTATTTTAAAATGTCTGTTAGTTCCAAATCAATGAGCACGTGAACGATGTGTTGTTTTTTGCGATTTTATTATTCGGCCAATGTTTATTTTTATTTCTGGATAATTTTGTTTCTTTTTTTCTTCAAATTTGCATGCAGGAAGAATTTAAACATAGATTTCATGTTTTATGTGTCACAAACGCATAAACATGAATCATTTTTTTGAATTAAACAGTAGTACATTTCCATGAATAAATTTCCATTTGCCGAAATGAATATTATCACGGCTCAAATAATAACTTATTTTTACGGTAATACACAAACAAATGCTTTTCTTTTCTTTAAATATATAAATAGTTGGTTGACAAACTCGTTATCTATTCTCAAGAAGATATCTACGTAAATTTCATTTTGACTTTGTGGTTTTTTGTTTCATTCTCATGCTATTTTAGTGTGCATTTTAAAAACTATTCAATCCTTAATTTTTCATTTTCTCGTTCAAATCTTTTTTTTTTAGCTTCATCAAAGCGAAATAAGTACCAATTTGTGAACGAATACTATATATTTTCTACAAAAAAAAAACGATTTTCTTCTGTTTGTGTTGAACATTTTTCTTTAATTGAAAGAAACGATGAAATTGGTTTCTTCGGTTTGTTTGAAGTTTTTGTTTCGTTTTCTTTCAAAATGATGAATAGTTTTCGGTGTTGACGGGAGTATGTGTGTGTGTTTTATATGTTTTTATATTGATTTGTTGAACTGAAATATGTGATTGGATTTCGGTTTTGCTGATATATTTCATTGATGTTATATGAAAAAGAGAATATGGTTTTATTTTACGCAAATTATTGGGAGCTTGGTGGTGTTGGTTGTTGTTGTTGCTGTTGTTGTTGTTGTGGTTGTGCTTGTTGTGGTGGTGCACCGCTCGGTGACGATGACGCATCCTTTCCGGGCTTTTGACTCTTCTTTGGAGCTGGCGGTGGATTCGTTGACAAAATCATAGCACGAATACGACGTTGGGCCGACTATTAAATTGTGTCAAATGAAAAGAAAAAGTGAGGTTAGAAAAATCAGATCAAAATTTATGATGAATAAAAAGTATTCTTGTTGTCCTGGATAATTACCTGAACACTGAAAAATGGCCCAATAATATGAACAGTTGTCTCTTCTTCAGCCGGAGCAGTACCGTGTTCTGGAAGTTTGATTATGCTGCCAGTGACACGTTGCAATTCGCGTACATTTTGACCACCTTTGCCGATGATGCGACCGACCTGTCAAACGATAATTTAAACGATTTTTTTTTTTTAAATAAAGTTCCGGTCGATATATTTTTTTTGAAAATCAGAAGAATGTATATTACCTGTGAGCTAGGTACAAGAATTTCGACTGTTAATCGGACATCATCTGTACCGGTGACAAAGCCTTCTTCGCGCATCTTTTCAAAAATCAGGTACTGAGCTTTCCATTGAGCTTCCGGACTACCAATAATGGTGACCTTACGTTCAGGTTGCTGTTCAATTGGTTTGTCAGCCTCAAGTGGTGCTATTTTAACGGATGACGACGAAAAACGAATGATATTGCGGATGTGAGATCCTTTAGTACCAATTATAGCGCCAACAGCATTATTTGGAATATACAAATAAGTTGTTTCCTGAATATCATTGGCGCCCGGTGGTAAACCAGCTGGCGGTTGATAAATTGGATAGCCAGATCCCGGATATACACCGCCACTACCACCGCCGCCAGTAGCACGATTTGGTCCAAAGCCAATGCCATTTCCAGCAGTTGACATCATTGCCATTGGATGTAAGCCTGGGAACATAATGCTTTGTGGTGCCATCGCTTGCAAATCATTTTCATAACTTTGACGCAGTTTTGAGCTGATTTGATTTTCGGCTCTGGACATATTATCAATTGAGCCTTTCACCGTTATTATACGTTCCAAATTGAAACTGTTAATGTCATTGATAGAGCTAACGGTTATTTTGGTATCAGTATCCTGCATGATGCGTTTAATTGTGTTGCCACTCTTTCCAATGATGCGACCAATCAAATTATTATGGGCAAGAATTTTCAATACAATTTCACTTCTGAAATAAAAAAAAAAAACACACAAATCGCAATATATTTTACAAATTCCAAAACAGTTTTTTTGTCGATTTAAATTCTTAAAAAACAAAAGCTTACCCTTTATTAGTATTGACCGCTTCTTGTTGCATCACTTCGAGAATGCGTTTACAAGCATTTGTGCAGTTTTCTGGGTTGCCATAAATTGTAATTGCCTTTTCCAATGAGCCAACATTATCTTTCCTGTGTACATCAACACGGGCACGACTTTGCTGAGTTATTTGGCGAATGGTGCTACCCTGACGACCAATTATGGCTCCAACCATATCGCTTTGCACAAGCAAACGCAATGGAAAATCGGTTTGGCGTCCAGGACCTCCACCTCCCGGCAGCGCTGGATATTGGCCACGGCTACGTGGACCTCGCCTTTGCTTCTCCAGCGATTCTGCATGAAGTTTTCCACCTTCGAATTCAACGCCATTTAATCCAGCAGCAGCTCTATAATTTTCACAATTAAAATAGACAAGAAAATAACGGTTTTTAATAAGTTTCACTACATATTTTCAAATTTATTGTATATTTTCTAGAGGATTTTCTTCTCTCAGAAATGCCAAAAAATGCAACTGATTTTCCTCATCCGGAGGTAAAGATTTTGGTTTTCTTATTTTATTTTATTTTTATTTTTTGCTTAATGTTTAATTGTTCCGCGACCATAAAGTACCTTTGAGCTTGTTCAACTGTTTCATATGTAATGTGAACAGTTTGAGTGTTTGGATCCTTACTAGACACTGCGTCGCAATGTTCCACTTTACCGTAAGGTTTTAATAATGGTTCGATATCATCAAAGCGAGCATGAAGCGGTATGCCGCTAATAACAATTCTTGTAGAACTACTAACAAATGAAAATAAAAAGAAAACGATCATACGAATTGAATGGAAAATAAAAAGAAAAACAGGATGAATGGAAGAAACAAGCAATAATATTAGGAAAAAAAATGAATCGAATTTAGATGAAGATTTGATTTAAGCGGATAAAATGAAGCGAAAATTCAAAGGTACTATGCATGTGCAAAATGCGAGATAAAATGAACGAATGATGATTATAAATGGGACAAAGTACACATGGTTTCAAACTACAAGCCGAGCAATTTTGATTATTATCCTATAGGATCCAAGCCACTCAACATTATTTATTATAAGCAAATACAAATGTGTGAACAAACACATGGAACACATATTTAAATATAAATGGTTTAATAAAGTTCGAAATGTCCGAAATTTAATGGGATATATTTAGTCGGTACCGTTATGTAACGAAGAATAAAACATCAATTTGCTTAAAGCTATAATGCTTTTACCACATGTGTACACACGATAAATTAATGCCGTCTGGCAATGCAGTTTGCATAATCAATGAAAAGTGCTAGAGAGACGGAAAGAGAGTGTGTCTAAATCGAACTAGTTGCATTGCTGTCAATTTTTTGCGACAGTTGAGTGACGAGTCAAAATGTGCAAGGTTCACAAATTGGCGAACACAGTCACTCTCATCATAAAAAAACGTGGATATGATGCACATATCCAAAAAGAGTCAATGCAATCCAACAACAAACGAACACAAAAGTGATTTCGCATTCGACAATTGACTAAAGAATGCAATCACAAGACAAAAACATGATTCAAAGTCCGAATATGGTATTAGTGCTGTAATACAGTTGATTCGTTTTTTGTAAATAATAATAATTGCAATGGTGCTGCTGTTGATGATGATGATGAAGCCGCAGCCGCAACAAAAAGGAAAAACCAAAATACGGCCAGCCAAACGGCGACTAAGCAAATTGTAACATATCGTTGATGTGTATATGTGTAGACCTTAATTCTTGGAAAAATTGTGGTTTCACGAATTGAAGTGCGCGCCCGAGACGCGACATACAAGACAGACAAAGAAAGAGAATAAGAAATAAGAGCAAGCATATCGGTTGCCCACAAATGTGTTGTGTGGTTACGAATATCGCACACTGCATACATTTGCAGGCACATCGTCCAGAACATATAGTCGAATGGCGAATTACCTCTCTTTCGCATGCCATATTTCACTCGAAAATCGAAACTCTCCCACATTCAGTAGTTACTGCAAAACTGTTTATTAGTTAGTGAATTGCATTTCGATTGCATTCTTTTCGAGATACGTGCGCCCATACTCACTCATTCGCTCACAGTCTTCAGCTCAAGTTAACTCATAAAATTAACCAGTCTTTCGTTTGATTCTTTATTTCATTCTTTTCGTTCAATGCTTCTTTCATTCGAGCAAAATTTTCGTTCATTTGTTAGTTTTTTTTTGTTTTTAAGTTTTATCGCCATGCTTGTGTATATACAAACACGATACTTTTGCCGTTGTGTGCCGTTGTTAGTGGGACAGCCACAGAGAAAAACAAGCTAGATAGCACATTCCATCGATAGTGCATCGACGAAATTCCAAGGAATTGAACACAAACAACCAAAGAACATTGCAATCAAAATGAAACAAATGAAGGAATGAAAAAATCAACAAAACACACACACACAACAGAACGCGCGAGGAAAAATCGCTTGCGGTCATCGTGTGTGATGTGATCGCGCATTGCGAAAAAAATCATTCTTACGATACATGAGCGCATATAGTAGCGCACTATAGTACCGGTTTAAGCCATGAGTAAAAGTTCAACGTCATGACAACGCCGTGGTGATTTAGTTCTTCGTTATTTTGTTTGTTGGCTCATTTAGCTGGTTCTTCATGCAACGGCCACGCGTAAATCGCGTACACACACAATTTTCTCTCTCTCCTTTCAGTCTCCCCGATTTGATCAGTGTGTTTACCATACACTGTTGACTCCTAATTCAATGTTATTAACTTTTGATTTTGACTCTTTTTTATCTTTGTTGCATGTGTTTGATATGTTTTTCTTTTGCATTATCGTCATTCTCTCGTATTTTTCGGCACTGTTGCGTCGATTTGCGCGGCAAAAAAATCACATTTCCGTGAATGGAATTTATGTGTAAATATCGTCGGTGTGATGTTGTTGCAACTGAAAGGACTAGTGCCGCGACGTTCACTCATTCTCTGGTTGTTTTGTTGTTATTTTCTTCGTTTCGACATTCTTTCAATTTTATTAGCTTATGTTTTCGCTTTGTATCTTCTCGCAGTGTTCTCTTTGTTAAACTTGATGATTCGGGCAATTCAATTTGCACCCAAATACAAACACAGATTCGTTTATGCACTACATAAATCTATTTGATATTTGTCGCCACATTTTCGTCACTCTCTCTCTCTCTCTCTCTCTCTCTCGTCTTTATTTTTTCGGGCGTAGTTAACGAATGTTTCATTGCACTTATATATGATTGCGTTGAATGTTCTGTGTATATGTTAGAGAGCGAGAGTATTCAGTGTTCATATTTATATGTGTTATTGTGATATGGACGAAAATACATGCATCGATCTGCCGAGAATTTTTTCTCATAAAATGCAAGTTTCAAGACATACATGAACAAGTTTATTTAGAACCATTACACAATTTATTCTTTCACTACCTTTGAAAATTGTCTGTTTTTTTTTCGATGTTTTTTGTTGATTTACACGCATTTATTTCTATTCGTGGTTTAATAAAATGTTTCATCAATTTATGATAGGTGTATTTGCTTAGGAGTTTGAACTGGCGTTTACTTGTTTGCTTAGTATCTCTCTCTCTCTCGATATTTTTTTTTCACCCGTTTAGTTATTTATTCACCGGTTATGCACTATTGTTTTTTTTTTTTGCAAAAAAAACGTGTATCGCGCGACCGAAAGCAACGACAGAGTACAAAAAATAAGTAAAAAAACGTGCACTCGATCGTTAGTTCGTTTTCGCAATTTTCTCATTCTTATCCCACTCTAACTAATTCGATTTGTTTTCATAAGTCAAATATCGGAAAGCAAAAGATCATTGTACTAGGCAATTTATAGCCAAACATCATAACGAATTGAGATCTGAACACACAATTTATGCAAAAGATGATTGGTGTTTTTTTTTCATGTTTTTCTCTTCCTCCTCTTTCTTCGTTTGCGTTAAATTGTTTACTTAAAATTTTTCCTATAGATTCTAAGCGCCATGAGGCTAGGTATATCGAAAAAAATCAATAAATAATATGCATGGGAAAAAAGGGTGAGCGTATTTCGTTCAATGCGATGTGGTTTACGAAGAAAACAAAAATGTGCCGTATTTCTTCATCAATTTCAAAATAATTTCATATTTATCGTGGCATGCACTCTGGCCGTGATGAACAATGCTGAAATAATATGGAGCATATATACATATATGAAATAAACACATATGTGACACATGCAATGACACATCACATTGTGCGGAGTAAACACACGCGAATAACAGTGATAAATGATGTGCTCGCGCGCGCATTCGTTCGAGAGAACGGTGTTGATACGTCCGGGCCCAGGGAAATGGAAGACAGCGACAAGAACATTGAGCAATGGAGTGCGTTACTCGCATACTAAACATGGGATTAATGGCGAAAAAAAAAACAAGAACAAAAACGACGAAGACTACGTCAACGACGAAAGAAACATTTTACGAAGCGTACCACATTTTCTTCTTCTCGAATGTATCGAGATTGTTTGAGTAGTGTATAATTTTTTTTTTGTTTCATTTCGTCGTTGTGTATAGTACGAGGTAAATGCCCATCTCTATCACATCACTTCAAATCTGTCTCGGCTAACATTCATTACGAGACAAGGATAGAGATAGAGAATGAATGAGTGAGTGGAACTCGATTGACGCCGAAGAAAATGTATGTGAATATCTGTGTTGACGGGGCACGCATAGATACGATCATACGTCGTACGGCGGCACATTCTCTCTCACATATAATTCAGTTCAGACTGTAAATTATTCATGAATGAAATCATTTTTTTCCACTGTTATTTTTTGAAATAAAAGAGATGGAAAGAGAGATCGCGCACCGGAAGTCAAATTTAACTGATAACCGTACGTACAATTTGTGCTGTATGCATTTTTATTACACAATTTGTATCACATAAGTGGGAAAAAACACAACGGTAGCAGCACCACCAACGAAATGAAGACACAAAAAAAACACTGCTGACAAATAAATGAAATTACATATGAGCACACATCCATGGATCGAATCACACACGAATGTCGGAGAAAATCTGTTTCGAATTTCGTCATAACAAAAAAACAAAACGGTGAATTTGTATGAATGAATCGGCTCGACTTGACGAGATAAATCGAACAATCGTTGTAATACCAATTTATACAGCGACCGATCATTAAAAAAGTACGGTTAAAGCAAGCACTGAACTTGTGTTAATAGACTTTGTGACAAATTTGGACTATAGGTCAAAGTTTCTGAATTTTTAAATAACGAAAAAAAAAACCATCATACAATCCGGTTGATCAAAACAATTTTGCTGTGTGTGTGCCAATTCTTTTTACTGTCATGCGCCACAGATATTTGTACAGTCTGCGAAAGTACACACAAAGTAATTAATGATCTTCGCGCAATAAATCACAACTCGACGAAAGCAACAACAATAAAAATATAATATATACCAGCATCAGCAGCAGTAGCTTAACAATCAAACGTTATTCCTGGATGCCAATACACAGAGTGCAATGTTGCACTTATTAGTACGTATCGGTATGAAAGAGCGAATTGCCGCCGCCGCTGTCGTCATCGCACGAGTACGCAAGTGAAAAAGAGAGACAGACAGAGACCGACCGAATCGGGTTGTGTTGCGAAAGAATGTCTATAGCATTTTTCCTGTTATTTCGATTGAGTTGTCTCGGCGCATTTCCGAACACATTGACCAAATAAGTCTTAAAATGCCAGAAATAGATTTCAGTTACAGAACAAAACCGAACACAAACAAGATTTCCTCGAATGACATCACATTCCGCTCTGCTGTTTATTTCGTTTCATTTGTGAATTTGTGCATGAACGTTCGTTGATGAATGTGCGATTGTCTCGCGCAAAACGGGCGCACTCACACGCCAAATTCAGAGTGAGAGTTGAATGAATGTTAGCCGCCTGCAATTTAAACGCAAATACAAACACACACACATTGTGTATATTCATAGATTGGATTGGACTGCACTTTTCGCGTCTGCCGTTTTGTGTATGTCTGATGATGTGCCATTAGATGTGCAAGGTATTTAATTATAACGTACGGTTTTGTTTTTTTTTATCTCTACCGTTCGTTTTTCTCTCCATCTCGATTTTCTGCTGGGTCGTTGCATTCATTCTCTCGCAGAGTGTGTGTGGTGAATTTAAACTATTCGAATCAGATTGTAATATACATTATTTTGAAAACGTCACACAAACTTCATATCAATTGTCTCGAGTCAACACCAATGTCTACTTTATTTCGCTATAACCGTCATAGAATGAATACATCAATAAATACTGATTGACAAAGTCGTCGCCGTCTTTGTTAACGAATGTCAACGATGTTGTTGTCGACGACGACGACCACGACGACGAAAACAGCAAAACAGGCAAGACAAGGACAGGGGAAAGGAGAGAGAGAGAGCAATATTTGTGAATAGGCACAGAGCATGCATGATTTTAAAGAACAATGTGGCGGACAAACACAGGCCATTGGTATGCACTGAATACACTTCAAGTTATTAGAAAAATAGAAAATTGGAATTCATTCTCACCGAAAATTGTAATTGTATGCCATCATTTTGGTCGAATTGTATGAATTGCTGGCTCTCATTTGGTATTCACGTTCTGTTTCAATATTTATCAATAATAATTCAATCCGCTCTGGATATTCAATTGAATTTTCGTGAGTGCACTAATTTGTCAATCACTTTGTTCAATGATTTTGAACCGCTTTGTGTGTGTGTGTTTTTTTTTTTTTGTTCTTCGTTTTTTTTTCGTCAAAGAGGCTAAGCGAACAACTGATAAATGATGATATGGTATTGTGTCACTTGATGAAAAAAAACCGTTATTGACATTCGACTGCGGAATTTCAAGCCAAGCCAAACTTTGATTACCCACGAAAGAAAAAAAAAACACTTTTTTTTCTTAACAAACTATTAAATTATGTTGATAACAAAATTCTCGTTATAACACAATAGTTCACATGTTTTCGTTTGCTTGATTATTCCACACAGTGCACGCACGAAACATGAAACCGTTCACTATTCTTAAATTGTTTGCCTCGATTTGATTTATGTTAAGGGTGAATTGTGTCTATAATCTGCGAATCGGTGGCTTTACTTCCTTTTTCATGCAAATCATGCAAAACTCATTGCATCTCTGCTTGTTTATTGTATGCGTGTGTATGTGTGTGTTTTCTTTTATTTTCGCCTTTTGATTCTTTGATTGATCGTCTTGTGCAATTTTGGTTTCTTTTTTTTCGTTTTTGTGAATTTCTTTTTTTTTGTCAACAACACATTAACGAGAGAAAGAAATAAGATGAAGTAATAACGAAACCAATAAATAATTCTTATTGAAAGAAAGGACAAAATGAAAACGCCACACAATTCATTACACCGATAAAACTCAACTAATTTAATATTTCACCGTGTAATCGTGCACAGGCTGAAACGAGCGGCGCGCGCTACCTCTCGAAAAGAAAATATTTTCGCTCTCACACACTTAGCCACCAGTCAGTTAGTCAGCCAATGCGGAATAGAGAGAGAGCGAATGGGACAGGAAATTTGAGCGAGATAGAAAGAGAATGAGCATACATGTGAAACAACAGAAGAAGAAAATGAGCAGAGAAAAAAAAACGGCGTAATTTGCAATTCGTAAAATAAGGAAGAAATGATGTTGAAAGCATAATGTGGACGAGCAAGAAAGATGCAAAAATGGCAAAATTGCCACACGAGATACGAACACGGAATAATGAGAGCACCAATACGAAAAACACCGCATCGCAGCAAGAGTGTGTGATTACTTTGAGTGAAATGTAACGACAAACAATTTGCTCCATGTATCAGAGAAAGAAAGAGAGAGCGCTTGAGAGAGTCGCAAAAACAAAAAAAAAATCAGAAACGATCGAATGGACGATGAACAGCAACAACAACAACGACAACGAACGCAAAAAAAATATACAGAGCAACAGTAGTTCCGAGAGAATATATTGGGAAAGAAAACGAAAACAACAAGCAACGAATGCACAGAAGAGTTAAGAAAAAAGAAAGGAAAGATGAAACCACACAGACAAATATTATGCACGTTTTCTTGGTTTGGGAGTAAAATGCCACATTCTCTGCTCGAATTCTCATTCCTATTCCAACACATACAGTGTGTGAATATGCGTGTGTTGTTGCTGTTGTGCTGTGTACGCACACGGTGTGCGCTCTCTGCACTCGGCTAATGTTTCTTATTTATTTTTTGTTGTTCAATTGTTTTTAGTTTTTGTTTCGATTTTCATGTTTTCGACTGCAACTACTACACACAGATGAAGTGCATCTACTTCGTTCTCTTGTGCGCTTAATCAGTCTGTTTGTGGTTTGTATGTTCGCTCGCTCGTTTGCTCAAAGTTGCTGTATCAAAATGCTTCAGATCAATGCGATTGACGGGAGCGAGACATAATGATTATCCTCCAGCCGGAATGTTATTACCGGCTCGCTTTTTTCTTCTTGCTATCACTCTATCTCTGTTTCTTTTTAACTCTTTCAATTCTTGTGAAATGTTTTTGTGCACAGTGTGTATACATTTTTTTTCTCTCGTACAGCTATTTTTCGTACTTTGCAGTGAAATTATATGTACACATAAGCATGACACGATTGCATGAATATGGAGAATTTAAACAGAAAAATTTCTATATATATAAACGTACTTTTTTGTGTTTTTGTTTTTAAAGTTACTCTCGCACAATATACGGTTTCTTCATATGTTGTGTACGTATATCGACTTTATTCTTTCGTGAGTTCGAATCATTTTCTACGATTGTTTGTAACACACAGGTTTCCAGTGTGTTAATTATGATTCTTTATTATATACACAAACATTTGGTACTTGTTCAACGAAAGAAAGAAGAAAAAAAATGCCATCACACCACCAACATCATTATCATTGTCGTCATCATCATCATCACCGGCACTAGCGGCGGCATCATTTTTATTCCAATTTTTCATACATCCATCACAAGAATTTCGGCTCAACAAATAATTTTGAGTGCGTATTTGTTTGTGTTTGTGTGTTTATTGCCATGGGACCATTCTATACACAAACAATTCCATGAAATCATAAATATCAATCGAAAAAAAAAAACAACGTAAAGAGAAAGAGAGATTATTTTATGCCAAAGCCATTTAGAATGGGTCGTTTCTACCTGTGATCTTTTACGAAATATGCGTATTTGCATATCGCATTCATCTCATAAAAATGTGAAAAATATTCACTTCTCGTCAATGTGTACAAATTAGTTGGTTAAAATTTTTCGATTGACACTGATAAAATCAACCGATTTCCATTGGAACAGGTAAAACGGTTTTAGAATACTTGATTCTTTCCCATGCCGATACCGTAACGAAGAAATAAACACACATAACCGATATAATACCAATAACATTCCTTTTGAAAGTCGTTCAAAGTTCGGCAATTAGCACAAAATGATCTTGACGAAATGCCGAAGTATGTTTCATACAAACGAAACATTTTTGTTTAAAAGGGGCGAGAATTCGTTTTCGAAACGAAACTGTTTGTGTGTGTGTTTTGGTGTTTTGTTAGAAAATGAGTTCAAACAATAACAAAGAAACAAACATATTTAATAAACATTGACATTGGACTGTGTATGCGAAATGCACTAATTTTTTTAACTATAGAAAAATTAAAATGCTCTAATTTATGTATTATAAAAAACACATCTACTTGGGGTTTGTTTTTTTTTTTTTTGTAGTCAATGGGTGGGTGTTAAATGAGCTAACAAAAGCGTGAAAAGTAATTGGTTTTTACCTTGATGATGAAGGATCAAGTACAGGATGTTGCTGTCTATCTGTTGGCGGTTCAAAAATTTGTTCACGATCTTCTTTGGAAAGTTCCAATTCAGCAAATTGATCCATATCAGCCATGTTTAATGATTTGATTGTTTTTCGTTTAAATTCAAGATGATTTTTTTTAACAAAAACTTTTTGTTGATTCTTGTTCTTTTTTTTTTAATTCAAAATGGATTTTTGTTCAAATACTTTTTGTAAAACAGTTCGAATGCAACTTTTTTTTTGAGTCCAAATTTTATGCAGTTTACGAACCAATCGATTTCAACTTTTTAAATTTGTTCCGACAATAATTGACATAACAGTTGATTTTCAAGTGTTCTTTTTTGTTGTTTCGCTGAGAGAAAACTATTTTCATTCAATTTATTTGTTATATACTTTTTTTCGTGTGGTTTTTTGTTTGTTCCGAATCAAAAAATTTCTGTGTGTCTGTGTTGACTTTTGATGTGTCCAATTCACTTAGTTTTTGATTTGTTTTCAACTAGAATTTGTGGTTGGGAATAAAGAAAAAAACATCACATGAAAATTAATGGTTTGTAAACGTTTTTTTTTTGTTGTAGATGTTTCATTTTTGGGTGTGTTGTTTCTATGGTTTACTACAGAGCTACAGGTAAATGCAAACGAATCAAATGTCTAACATCGAATGAATTTGAGTTTTGACAGCCGTTTACCGGCAACATCTTCGAACAACTACTTCTCGATATTCTATGTATGCTATTGCCTTCGTTCCACCACCAGCCTAACCAATTTCGATCTACCTCATTATCATTCATCGTCTTTTTGTTTAGTGAATTATGCATGGTTAAACTAAATCAGGAGATTTCTCTCACTGTTTGCCGCCTTCTAATGCCGCAATATATTTTTTCTTCTTCTTCTCTCAACTAATTACACCAGAATGGTCTACTTTTATAACTGACTACTGTCCGTATACTTCCCATTCCCATTCACATCGCACATACACACAATCCACACCGGTTGCTCTGTCATTCATTCACTTCATGCATATTTTCGGTACCACCAATAAAATCTCTTTCGATCTAAATATTGAATAGTTTAATTTGAATCCTGTTTTCCACACTGCGAACAAACAAACAACCAAAACCAAACCAAAAGAAAAAAAAAAACAATTTTTATGTTCAAGTCTTTTGTTTTTTTTTCTTCTCTCCTGCTCTATACATCGTTCTTTTTACCCTTGTTGCACTCGGGGCACACACCGAAATTCATATTCAAACGTATTCTTCCTAATTTTTTGGCAAAATGATCGCTATATCTGTATATTAACATATGTATATATGTTCTCTCTTTCCATTCACTAGACTCGAATACGACAATCAGCGACAACAACAACAAAAACAAAACTCCTAAAATTCATAGAAAAATACCTACGAATCGAATGAAAGAAGAAATAGAAAGAGAAAAAAAAGAATTACCAGCTATTCTCATTCAAGAATATAAATATGAATTAAAGCTCCTCGGAACACAAACAAATTATGTCAGTGTATATATACTTCGTGCGCTCCGTTCGACGGACGTGAAAAAAACCAATTCGTATACATTTGATTTATTTTTTTTGTGATTGAATTTTTCTCATATGTAGTCTATTTTGTAAATCAATTGAACTTTTGTTCGATGTTTCGGTGTGTATTTGTTTTTTTCTATTTTTTCGTTTTGTTAGTCAAAAACTTGCGCCACAATTACACAAAATCACCGGAACTATGCTATTCTTTATTTTATTATTTTATTTTTCAGCACGAGAATTTTTTTCAAAAAAATTGGATTTCAAAAAAAACTTAAACGAAAAAATTTACAATATAAAATTAAAATACGAAAAAAAAAATTTCAAAAAAAAATTTTTGCGAAAAAAAAATTAATCAAAAAACGGAGGACAAAAAAGAATACGGCCGCGACGAGCAGCAGCACCGTTCTATTTCGTTTGAATTTTATTCATCAACTAAATTTGGTCGATCTCATACATTTTCGTTAATGTTAAGCAGAGCGCGCACACACCAGAACCCGCTCGTTCTACTCTCACAACAAATTTCTGTGTTCTCTCCTTTTCGTTTCGTTCTATGGCCGCTTGATCAGTGTTAGCGAGTAAGCAAGAGCTTCTTTGGCATTTGCCGCAACATGCACATGTATGCGTTCGCATGTGTACGTGTATGGTTGAATGGAAACATGCTCACGCATATGAGAGCTCTTTCGCTCTCAAGGCGATTTACAAAATACTATACTCTTTTTTTTCCATTGCCATTGAGGCATGAGATATTCTAACACAATTACATAATGCCTCTATGTATGTGTTATGAAGAAGTGGAAGCCAAAAATGATCGAAGACAGCACATGAGACAAATACATGAAGAAAAAAAAACGGCAACTATATGTGATGTGTACGTGTATGTAAAATCTACGGAATAGTTCATTTGTTCATCATGGTCTATACCAGCGGCAGCAATAATAGTGCGGTAGCAATACCAGCTTCATACATCGAATTCAATTCTAAATCCGATCTAACAACCGATCAGAACTGTTTCCATGCTCTTGCTGTGTCAATGGCGCGGAATATGAATATATATATATGTATAACTACGACATTGCTTAGCCAAATGTAGCTTCAATGTGCCTGAGGAGTATACACAAATATCTATTGCGTGCGATGAAGATGAATAGACCTGAATTCGTGTACATGAGGTATTAGGTAAAAATATAGGTAGAATTGACAAGCAACAGAGCAAATAAAAAGATAGAGAAGGAGACAGAGAGAGAGAGAGAGAGAGACAGGATATACAACGTGCGTGCCTTCCGAAGAGCAGCTCTAAAACAACATTAGAAAACGTTGTAAATGCCGAAAAAGATTTTTAGAAGGCAAACGCCAGATATACCCAATCTATGTGTATATGAAATACGTCAAATGGATGCCTATATGTGCAGTTTTTTTGTTTCGCATGGCCGTTCTTACTTTTTCGTCTTCTTTTTGGCTGGATTTCGGTGCTGTTGCTTCTGCTTCGGCTATAGCTGCTGCTCTTTATTTATTTTTTTTCTTCGTTTCTTGCCATACTCATTTGTGTATGCATAAGTATATGCGAACATATAGTGCGAATTTTTCGGCAACGCTATGGATTTCATATGGTATGGTTTCCTGTTGATGCTTTTGATGTATTATTTGTATGGGTTTTTATGGAGGATTTTTCGATTGTGTTGTTGCTATGAAAATGTTCTGCATATAGTTACCTCACCGGAGCGAAGAAGCAGGATTATATTATTGATTCGTTCGGTTTACTTCTTTGCTTACGCTTTCGTACTTTACTTCACATTTCGCACACAACATTTGATTTGTCTAACACTTTTTTTTAGCCATACACCGAAAAAACGGCAGATGGATTAAGTTGCGCTTTGTTTCTTGATTAGAACCCTACCCCAAAATGAACTCAATTATAATTATATCTATGGATCAATCGAATTCGGCTTTTTTTGCCATATCTTTTTTCGATAAATAAACCATTTAGTCAGCGAATGATTTGGCATCGTATAATTGGCCTGTTTTCCGATATGCATATGATATGAAGATCCGTTTTCTCACGACTCAAATTACTATCAACATTTATATGGAAATGTACTAGTAGAATATATTCAAATGGAAGGACACACACAAAAAAAAACATTCACGGACAACACACATCGATGTCGTCACGGCGCGGGAACTTGTCTATTGGTTTTAATATCAAATTTGCCGGTGAATAGAATTTCATTTGAGTGAATGGAGAAAAAAAGAGCTAAAATAGAAACCAACTAAATAGAAAAGAATAATTTATGGAACAAAAAAGTCTGCACATTTTTTTGTGTTAGTCGTCAACGATATAAAAAGAAAACAAGCAGCGCTTATTTTTATTGTTAATTGAATTTCACTTCTAGTCGTCGAGGTTTCCCCTCGCCAAAGGAAACGTTCCACAAAAAAAATGATCCTTGAAAAAAAATTGTGAGTGATCTAATTTTTGAATAACAAAAAAAGACACACACGGTAAACAAATAATATGAAAAACAGGCCCTTGTGAGTAAGAACGATCCGATGTCTGACGGCAGAACATCATGATTTCACCATTTATTTTTGGTGAATCCTTTATTTGGTGCCCGCTTTTATAAAGTATGATTTCATACGTTAGAAATATATACTATTCACCGGGATGGTTATTGTGATCACGTTGATGATGACGATGAAGAGAAGAATTAGTTTTTCTATTGTTTATTTTCACATCGTCGACTGTTCTGTTCCGTTTTCATTTAAAAGCGGCCAAAAATCGTACAATGAAAAAAAAAAGATATAACGTTTTTGTCACCAAGAACCGTAGGCTGTAAAACTGTATCATTTCTCTTGTGCCATGGAAACAACAGAAATTTCCAGATCGAAACGAAAAGCGAAAGTATACGTATATTGTGTTGGCGGTTGGTAACTGTAATACTGATGCTAAATTTTGACGACGCAACATGTTGCATTTTGGCTTTTATCCAAATAAAGAAGCGAAATCATATGAGCCAAGACTGAGACCGAAGGGAAAACGGTTGTGCGTGGATGAAAATGAAAATGGCGTGCGCGTGTGTGGCATTGACCATGTTCATTAAAATTTTTGCGAATAAATATACATAATCGATGCATATACACGTACACATTGTTGTTGTTGTTTTTTTTTTTTTTTTTTTTTTTTGACAAACGGTACATGATCTTGTTGTCAATTGATTCTGCCCATTTTACAGTGTTCAGTCAAACAGTGAAAGCGTTTGACTCGTGTGCTGGTGTCAACGCACATGCGCACATCATCCATTTTACCAGGATGAGCGACCTCTTTCATCCGCAAATGCCTCATGCACACATAACATCATAACATCATTTGCAAATGTAGAGATGTATAATTCCTCTGGTAAAGTGTTCAATTGAAAAATGATGACCACGAATTGAAACTAACACAATGAAAGTTGTCTCATTCAATTGAACACGTAGAAAGTAAAAATGATGTCATTGTATCCTTTCATTCATAATTCGATAGACGCAATTAAAGTTCGTCTATGACTAGTGCACCAATGAGGTCATATGTATGATTCGCAATGAAATGCCGTATGTATAAATGCCGGCAAATGTGCGGTAAATGTTCGCAAAATATTTCCATAATCGTTTTCATTAAGAAAATTTAACTCCGCTGAAAGTGTTAATGCTTGAATTATGCAATGAGCTGCATAAATTATATATAATTAACCGTAGTTAATTTAGATTGAAACAGACCAAAAACAGGTTCTGTAAAACATAAATAATTTTCGTTACAATTATGAATATCGATTGATTTATTGTTTAAAAAAGTGTGATTTTTGAGATAGCCATACATACATAGAAATTACAGTCTGAAAGATTGTCTGTACTGAAACATGGCCAAAACATAAACACAAAGCAGCTAGCGTTTTTCGTGTAAACGTTTTTGTTTGTATTCGTCTTTCCTT